GAGTGAGTGAGTGAGTGAGTGAGTGAGTGAGTGAGTGAGTGAGTGAGTGAGTGAGTGAGTGAGTGAGTGAGTGAGTGAGTGAGTGAGTGAGTGAGGATTTGATGAGGAATAATGAGTGTAATAGTCGTCTGATAAAATCTATGACAGGAATCATTCTGTGAGTGTATCGTTTCGAGTAACATCTGAAGAATCGTGTGATGCAGCCCAGTAACCCCACAACAAACAGCATGAAGTGCCGTTTTCGCTCATGTATCTCTCCTCCCCCCTCCTCAGATGACCTGGCCCACACCATGCTCCCAAGGAAATAGTCCGTATGATGCTTTCTTCACACCAGCAACAGCGAAGAAGGCAACTCGCAGCGGTCTTCAGCGCCTCGAACGATCTCACCGTCCATGATACCATGAACGTACGCGTCCCCAATCACCTCAAAGACGTGCTGGTGACGTTGCGAACACTCTTTGTCGCTTTTGCTACTACCGTCAGGATTCCGTACCAGCACTCTCAGCTTCTCGCGCTGACAAGTTACTGCTCCAGCTCTCCTCCGTCGCAGGATCAGCGGCACCCGACAGCCCAAGACGACACACACAAGATCGCCGCTGCGCACACTCGCTGGACCGACGCCCATGTAACCTTTCTTGCTGGTGAAGAAGGCTCGCCCACACGAGGAAGTCTCAATGGCGAATTGCAGCGAGTTTGCCCTTTGATTGGCCTCGATGTCTGTCCAACCCTGGAAAACCCCCTCCACGACCGTTGTTCGCCGATTTTGATACCGGTCGGGGTGTGACCAATCCCGGAAGGCTTTGAAGTCGTCGTTGTCGATTCTGCGATATCCACCTTTGGCTTTACCTTCATCTGGCTGATTCGAAATCCCTCTGTAGACCAGGCCGCCACAGAGTACCATGGCGAAGGTTTCCAGCTGACTGCCTTTGGAGAAGTCACCTCTCATGAGCTGTGTATGCGTCCTAGCCTGGTCATGAGCCGTGAACGCCACCCCGAGCCATCGGCGGACGGAAGCTCGGATCCGATTGAAGCCACTGGTTGGCATGGCCTCACCAACAGAACGAATCTCATCAACAACGAAACCTTGAACCTCCAATATCGACAGCATTGAGGTCCCATGAAGTTGGACCAAGCCTGTCAGATTCGATGAGGCGTCAAAGAGCTCGAAGTGGCTGAGGCGCTCGTTTTCCGCCAACATAGGTGGTACGGTCCAATCTACCACCCAGGAAGCCAGTGGCGGTAATGTGGCAGGAGGCTTCTGCTCCACGGCTGGAATGGTGAACAGTTCGTCATCAGGCCTCCCAGGGTGTCGGTGTGACTCGTTGCTGCGAGAGCTTTCATTGGAGCTCCGTTTGTCTGATGCTGAATAGTTCCTTCAAGCACCGAAAGTGATTGTGTACTTACGATGATCTTGACCGTGGTCATCCACAAGACTTCAGCTGTTGAGCGCGCATAATCTGGTATCATGGGGTCAGAACGCTCCCAAGCTTTGACAAGACCAAGCAAAGCAAACACTTTGTCTCGGCTATCAGTTGACTCCCTCGAGCGAAATGTGCGCAGCAGAGAGAGCAATGTTGCTGGGCGTGCAGACATCCATTCTGCTCTTGTCGTTTCGATCTGTAGGACGGTGCGGCTGAACTCAACCAACGGATCGCGCATTTGGCTTATCTCTCCCCCTCCAAAGCCTTCCATCGGGTGTGTCACGAGCTCCGAAGCAAAGTTGGCGGCTGCTTGTACAACGGTAGTCCATGGCAGTGACAATTCTCCGTAGTAGACGCTTGCTATCCGAGACACCACGGTCTCTTGGACAACCCAGATTCGCCGCCACTATGCTTCTTAGCCACAGAGCATAGCTTTCATGAGAAATGTGCCAGGAAGGGTACTGTAATTTTGTTCAACTTACCCAAGATACGTCCATCATCCGCACCAGCTCATTCACGCCGGTAATGCTGGTACCATCGCCGTCCGTGTCGAGATTGGTCTGGAATACCGCTTTGTTGATGATCTTCCCACCATCCGCATTCGACTGATGATGGCGAAAGCGAGTGACTCCTCGTACACTGGTCGATCGGGCGGACGATCTCCGAGCCAGATGACTACCTCCTGACTACCTTCGTATATCTTACGCATCAGACCGACTTGATGGGTACGCTCCCTAACATTCCGCTGGTTTATGCATAGCGAATCGACCCACACCCGGACAACACTTGTCTTATCTCGGAGCCGTCGCAGCGCCGAGCTCAAGTTCGCGCCAATTTTCACAAGTTCCCCGTTGCAACGTAGGAGGACGTCTCCCTGAGGGAATGCCGGAATGAGTCCTTCAATACCACCGTGATGGTAGTTCTCCCAGACATACGACAAGGCTATGTAAGGAAGGGCTTCGTCAAGGGTAGTCACCTCGAGACTACACTGTAGCTCGTCGTCGTCGCCGGCCCCAGCGCGGCTGGGAAGCAGTTGGAGGATTCGTATAACAGGTAGATGACCTTCCAGAATCGTGTAGGTGCTCACTGCCATCACTCCGCAAGACTGGTAGGTATCATCAGATAGATACAACGCCAAGGAGAGTCATGTACATGAGGCACAGGTCAATATCGGGCTGTGGATCATTATCCGAGGCAGGGTGACCTGCCGTGCACAGCATCGCCGTGCTCAATGAAAAGGCTTCCAACGAAGGCTGTGTACATGTTATTCGGTTCGCCTTTTCTCGGTTGCCTTCTTTTAGGCAGCTGGGCTGACATTTCTGCAAGTATTCGATTCTAGAGCGTTCTGACTATGCAGTGATGCATAAGAGGGCTTGGCGTGCATCAACGCTGCTCGGTGAGCTTGTCATGGTTTCCCATGTTTTTCGGTTGTGGATTCCTCCTTCCGCTTCTTATACAGCGGTGTATCATGGTGGACAGCTCAGCATGCATGGAATGCGAAGCGCTCAAAAGGACAACGAGGGTCGCGAAACGTCCGACAACCCCATGAACAAGTTGTGTGTGGAAAAGAGTGCCAACTTCGGGGACTAATGCGGAGAGCGAGGGACTGTTGTCTTATGGCACACACCTTTCGCGTCAGAGTCGTTCCTCCTCCCAGAGATCACAGGCTTACTCTCTTCAGCCCGTCGCTTCAACACGGAAGCGACGATCTCGAAAACACAGCCAGAAGCTGTGGCGTTTCGGCTCCGCAGTATTCCATGATTGATGTCAGTGACTCGAAGTTGGCCTAAAGCTAGAAACCGAGGTCAAAACGCGCCGCAACCGATTACGGTGTTTTCCAGCCCGAAGCTTGCGCCTTGACACGCTGAAACCCCATTTCAACATCGTGCTCGGGACTTTGAGCCTGTGATGCTATCCTGACAAGGCGTAGACTTTGATCGACAGAATTTGCGCGTGCGTCGCTCTTGCCTGAGTCGCTTCATGGCTCCTGCCTTCAGCGTGGAAGTAGCTCAGGCAGTAAAAGTCTTGGCATCATGCTCCACCTAGGCATACAGCTCTATCATACAGCCAGTCCTGTCTAGAATGGCTCTTGGACCTATAGAGACTGTCGGACCTACATTTGCTGGGGCTCCCTGGGTACTCGTTCCCCATGGCCATTCTTTCGGTCGCCTGCCAGGACAGACACTCGAGTTCTTTGTCCTAGCTAATGAGTCAACGCTATTCCATGAATGTCATCTAGTCCAGACACGCATCATACACAATAGAACCTAAGTCTGCAGGGCAACATTTTGCCTCGTTATCCCCAAGCTCTCCCGCTGCACCTTAGGCTGCCTTGACGCCTAAAACTGCCTCACATTGCCCTTATCATTGTAGGGACAATCCATGACTTTCCCACCCATACTCTCGACCACAGCCCCAACATGTGGGTCATCATGCGGACTGCTACGATCGCCACAGCCACTTCTCAAAGGCCTTTCCACTCAGCGCGGATGGCATATCCTCTTTGACAGTCTTTAGCTTCTTCGTCTTTCCAAAGCCCTCCCACCGCCGCGGATTCGCAGCGAGACTCTGCAGGTTTTCAGCCTCCTCGCTCGCCCCCTCACATGCTCTCCTCGCCTCCTCGGCGCGCTTGGCAAAGACCGCCGCCCGCGCCTCATCCGAATGCTTCGCACAGATCTGAAAGGCGTCATAGTACGCCCTTGGCACCCGCAAGTCCACGACGCGCTCCTCCCCGTACAAGCGCAGGATCTCCTTGCAGTCCGCCAACGCCTCCATGGGCGGCCTACCCGGCACGCCAATCGCCTCATCCAATCGCGCCATCGCCTCCATCCGCTCATCGCTCGCCTGCGACTCCGCTTTAGGCAATGAACATAGTTCGCACTCACACTGAAATCCAAAGTAGGTCTTCAACGCGGCCTGCCGCTCCTTCTTGGGTCCCCCAACGTGATACGCCAGCGTCAGCTCCTCCCCCTCCGCCACATCCCTAACCGCGTGCACCTGCTGCCGGCCCAGCCGTGCGTCCCACGCATGCTGGCAGTTCGCGTTGCAAGCGTGGTTCATGCGCGCCACCAGCGGGAAGATGCCGCCCACGTCGCTGCCCGGGCCGAGCGGATAGCCGTTTGAGCGCATGATGTTGGAGAAAGGCTCCGATCCCGGGCTGTTGTTGTGCAGGGAGAGGAACGCGCGCTGCGACTCCTTGGGTAATTCCCGAATGATGCGTCCGAGGTCTCGCTCGAAGGTAGCAGGGTTGGTGAGCGAGGCCGTGGTGAAGAGCGGGGCTTCGCTGATCAACAGCGTGCCGCGGCCGATGGGGCGCGTGGCGAAGACGCCGACGCCTTTGCCCTTGACGGGGCGGATTTCGAAGGCGTCCTCAGCTGCCATGACTTTAGGCAGGGCTCTGGCGAGCAGCGCTGGGCTGGACGCGCTCTATCTGTCGACGTGGGAAATCTTTGAGGATGCCGAGACTTGGTGGGTCTCGGAGTGTCGGATTTGCGACATCATTGGGCGATGAGCATCAAAGTTACCAGACACGTCCCCCGGTCGTACACAGAGCATTGAGTTGACGAAATATGAATGCGCTTAACAAATCAAGGCGGTGAGCAGACCAATGGGGAAAAGAGATGATTGTAGAACACCAACGCTAGTGCGATATATTCCCGAAAACCTCGAGATCTGAGCCTCGTTGCTTCAGTACAAAAAAGCGCCATCCGTGGCAAAGCTTGTGCCTCTTGAAGCCAACTGCCAACTGATGATACATCCTCTGCTTCCAGATCAAGCATGATGCAGGTCTATCTCCGTCCCAACACGCCCCCGAACCGCCTGAGGAACAAAGCATAGTAGACCGCGCCGAATGCTCCACCGCCAACATGTGCCGCATGACCAATACCTGTCTGCGCCCCACTCTCCGCCAGATAAGTGTCAAGTAGGAAGAATCCACCGGTCATCGCCCACAGCGGCAGCTTTAACACGCCGAACAATGAGGCCGTGGACGTAGGAAAGAGCATGGTCGCTGTCATAGCCACACCTGATACCACGCCGCTGAAACCCAGTCCCTGACTTGGTATTCCTTTGTGGTAGTATTCGGAGAAAAAGCTCGACGAGATGGCTGATCCCAGAAGGATTCCCACGTAGTGCCGCGTCGACATCCACATCAGCGCCGGAGCGAAAGACGTAAACGCCATCATGTTGAATCCCAGATGCAGTAAGTCCTTGTGACTGAGGTTGCACAACAACCACGATACGCGGTCGTCGTCCTTCTTCGTCATGCCCGTGCGATGAATGGTCTTCTCGTTCAGCTGGTGGTAGACTTTTTGCGGATCAGGTGCGCGCCAGTGCGAAGGCATGAGCTTGGCTCGCTGGAGTCTGTTCATGCCGTTGTTGACGGCATCGTAGACGAGGCCGCGCTCAGCGTAGTTCCACCCGAGGAAGATGCCCACGCACGCGCCGACGGTGCCTCTGGTGATCAGCTGATTCGTCCGCCAGTGGCGTGGCATGAACGAAGCCATGTTGGCGAGGCGGCCTCTGCTGTAGAGCTGTTCCTGCACAGCTTGGAGTTGGTCGCGAACGAGGGTGAGAGCATACGATGATAACTCCCTGAGATGGAAGATGAAGCGTCAGACTCTTTTGAAGGAAGCGAGACACGAGGCGGACGCGCCAAGAAAGCGAGGCTGAGCAAGGCTGAGCATTAAAAGGAATACCAGCAGATTTACTATCATTGCACAGTGCATTATTACTGGCGAAGTGTCATTGGCCATGCGACGAGGACGACTGAGCGTATAGCTGGCATTGCCGAGACGCTTATGTGCTATGCGGCTAGTAGGTGACCTGGAAGCCGAGTGAAAGGCCGCATCGCTTTCGACCGGAGCTAGTGTCGTTCGCTGTTACGCCATCCTACACGACCTGAGTAGCTGCGTTCCGGCACCGACTACGGTGAGATCGTAGAGCTGGTTGATACAAGTGAAAGTAACGGGATGGCGCAAGGGTGGCGTTTCATTCGCCAATGCGCTGTCGGCCCCAGATCTTGGGGCTGGTGCTTTATGTTGTAGCGACTATAGTAGCCAAGAACCATGAGAGTATTACAACCCTAGACCAGGTGGTCGAATCGACCTTACCGGCAGTGCTGAAACTGGCAGTGAGTTGGCTTGCACGGACATTCAAATGGGAGATTTTGAGGACGATTGAAGCGTCAAAAGCACATCTGGCAGGCCAAGCAAAGGATGGCAGCGATTCGTGTTATGGATGAATGAATTGAAACACTACTACCGGCTCCCTGCACCATTCGTGGAAGTTTGTTCAACGATAGTGAAGGTTGAAGCAGGTCGTGGAAAGAAGGTTGTTAGAGATTGGGGGCGACGGGGCCCGGGGTCGCCGGGCCGCCGGCCTGAAGCGAGCGGCTGCGTAGGCGTGGCGCAATGCAGGGGGCCCGCTTCGTTATCAATCTTGCCCTTCAACACTCCTGATTCAAATGGCAGGCAAGGTTGCCCTGCAAACTGACTTGGATGATCTTGAGACAATTCAGAGAGGTCCTCGTACGGAGCCAGCACTCTGCCCAGGTTTCTGGTCAACCATTGACCGCGTGAAGAAGGCGAGTCTTCCGCCACAAGTTTTCGCCGGGTGAAGTGTAGCACGTGGCGTTAATCTTGGACCGGGTATCAAGGTTTTGTGTGCCTCTAAACGAGGTCGTCAAACATTTGAGTACTTTTGATGTCATTGCACCGAGTTGACTGCCTCCACCGGTGCCTATCATGAAGCGCTTAGTGAAACGACTGATGCGGGACGATCGGTACCTTGACCTCCTACAACGAGCTCGCAGCAATCCTTCGGCCCCTGCATGGTCCCAATACTACCTTAGACTGCCCACGACTAGGCCTTAGTTGCAAGCAACGTTCGTGGCTTGTCCAAGCCACACTGCGCTCTCACTACAGTGAGACACTGCCAACATGGGCCCCGACCTTCTCGACAAGTTGGCGACCTTCAATCGCGCGCCTGCAGCGGAGCTACCGCGCCCAAGGCTACGGAGTAGTCCCCAGAACTACCCGAGTCCAGCGTCTGAAACCTTGGTATATACCTGTCCAGAGGTACTATGCTTTGACGGATGTCCTATATTACCCACCCCTTTGTCAGTCGCCTTGCCGCCTCTGTAACTTCTGCATCAAAACCTTGATCGTGAGCCATAACTCAACCGTCCTAGATATCAACGCGAAAGTAAAGCTGCTCTAAACGATGGGCGCCTACCGGGAAACGCTGAACGGCCTTCCGGCCACCGATAAGAAGGTGTCGGAGACAGACCTTATCAGTGACAATGGAATGATTCTCCTGAATACCATCGACAAGCTTCGGGGCTTAGGCATCGATAAGGATATTCCGCTGCCACAAATCGTCGTTGTTGGCTCCCAGTCTGCAGGCAAAAGTTCTGTCCTGGAAGCCATCTCTGGAATTTCCTTCCCCGTCAACGATGGACAGTGCACAACATTCGCTAGCGAGATCAGACTTCGACGATCAAAGGAAGAGGCAATCGCGGTGAATGTTGTCTCTAAAAGCGCCTTCATGGAGAACAAGAAACCTCTTGAGATCTTCGGCTCCCAGGCAGGTACCGACACCAAGAGTTTGGACTGGAGCCAGATGCCCCGCATAATTGATCAAGCCACTGAGACTATGAGTAGTGGTCAAGGACAAAAGTTTTGCGAGGACATGTTACGGATCGAAGTGAGCGGCCCAAATCAGGACCACCTCACGCTCATCGACCTTCCCGGCATATTTCATGTTCTGAAGCCTGGTCAGGACCCGACGGCGCCGCAGAGAGTCAAGGACACGGTCCTCCAGTACATGCGAGAGAAGCGTTCAATCATTCTCGCCGTTGTGTCTGCGAAGGATGACTATTCCAACCAAGAAATACTCAAGACAGTCGAAGCCATTGATCCGTCCGGCATTCGGACTATGGGGGTCATCACGGGCATTGATATGACTCCAGATGGTTCGACCCGTGAACAGGATTATGTCTCGCTGGCGCGCAATGAGCTTGTTCCTCTTGCTCTGGGCTGGCATGTTGTGCGAAATTTAAGCTTTGAGGACCGCAAATCCACCAAACCGGATCGTGACACAAAGGAACTGGAGTTTTTCGCTACACGCAAAGCGTGGCAGAGCGTCCCGGAGCAGGACTGTGGAGCTCCACAGCTCAAAAGAAAGCTTAAGCAGGTGCTTCTTACTCACATTGGCAAAGAATTGGGAGACGTTATCACCGCCCTCGAACAACGAATCGAGACCAGTGAGAAAGTGATTAAGCAACTCGGTCCAGGGCGCACGACTATGTTCGAGAAGCGAGGCTACCTGACGCAGATCGGCGCACGGCACCAAGAGCTGTGCAGAGCTGCTCTGAATGGGACATATGAAGACCCGTTCTTCGAGACTACGGGCCAACGCTTGCGCGCCACGATTGTTGATGAATACGACCGTCTTGAAAAAGCGATCTCGAACGGGCACAGATGGGATTTCTGGACACGTCAGGACGCAGTCCCTACCCCTAAGTGGCTCGAGGATATTGGCGCGGCAGCTTCTTTCGGACAGATGATGCCTTGCCACATTAGGCTTTCGGACTATCTTGCCAAAGTTGACACTGTCTTGAAGCGATATCGTGGGCGTGAATTGCAAGGCACCTTCGATCCACTCCTGATCGGAGTACTCTTCAAAGATCAGGCATTTCGATGGCGGAGCATAGCACAGCGTTCGCTCGAAAACATGATGAACTTTGTCAAGAGTTTCATGGAGAGGGCTGTGATGCACCTGATGGAACCGAGAAGAGCGCAGCTTCTGCTAAAGCACCGTCTCTTTCCCGATTTGCACAAGCGTAGACAGACTATTATGGAGAAGCTGGAGGAGCTGCTGAAACCGTTTCAGAACAGTGCGCCGAGGACTCATAACCCGCTGTTCCGGCAGTCGTATGATCGCCTTGAGAAAGACCTGGTCGGCAGAGTGGCCCGGGATGATGCTAGTGGTGCCGACCTCAAGGATCCGGAAGCCTGTGAGGAACTTGCGCTGAAGATGCAGTGTTACTACGAAATCGCCCGTCCGACGTTCGTGGATAACGTTATCAATCTGGGTGTGGAGCAATGTCTTCTCGACGGACTCGCTGACACCCTGTCTCCACTTTCGATTTCCAGCATGACAGATCAAGAGATTGATCAGCTTGCTTCAGAGTTCCCCGAAGACACCGTCAAGCGCAAGAAGATCTCTCGAGAGCTAGAAACCCTCCGTTCCGGACGTGATGTCTGCCGAGAGTTCGACCAGCATGAGCCAAGGGAGCATTTCCCATCTTCAGAGCCTGTGTTCTCAACGGGAGGGACATCGAACGCCACAATGAATGCAAGTTCGATGGCAGCCAAGCCTCGATCAAGGAACGGTGCGAAAGTTGCACTGCGCTCTCGACCAGAGCCGGCCAACTCGAGCAAATACTTGGGCTCCGAAGAGGAACTGTGATCAGTCCCTATCTATGGTGGTAACAGTTGGTTCCGTACCAATACGTTAAAGGCCAGTAGTCCAAGAATGGTCTCGGTCTTTCCGCTGTGTCCATAGCTTGTCCAACTTGCGAGGCGGCAATATCTTATGCCTCCCCCATACCACAGCCTTGCCAAGCACAGAACCCCAAACCCCCACGCCCAAATGGAGACATGAGATGACTTCTCCATCCCGCCCCAACGGCGGCTACGTTCACGATTTTCGAAAGACTGCCGCTTCTTACCCAGCAAGCGCGTACAAGGAAATTGTGGAGATGCATGGCCCACGGTCCTTATGCATATAACGATGCAATAGGGCATTGCCGACTGTGGCTACATGCACTTGTGTCTACCGCAAGTGCCACGATTCTCCTACGCGTAATTGCTTTTGGGCAGTATTAGATCTTGCTTTTGGAGAGCTGGACTTGAACGGCAGAGAGTTCTATCTCTCGGTGATTCTACTGACGACAGCATAGAGCATAGAAAACTCACACCAGAGTCCCAACTTGCACTCGTTCACGATCAGCACTTCAGCCCACAATAAAAAGCTTCTACGACTTATCAACTCCGCAGCGTTACACAACATCCGTGTCGTATCCGCGCCTGCATCGACAGCTGCATTCTCCCAGAGCAGCGTCTCCACCGCCCCACGCAGAACTGATATAAAACAATGGCTGAATCCTCCCGAACTATCCCGATCGAGCCCGCCACGCCGGTCCCCACCCTATCCTTCGGCGTCGTCGGCATAGGGCGCATGGGCCAGCGCCACGCCCTCAACCTGCTGCGACTGATCCCCAACGCGAAGCTCGTGTGTGCGTGCTCACCAGCCAAGGCCGACCTGGAATGGGCCGAGAAGGAGCTCGTGCCGTACGGCGTGCAGGTCTACGCGGCCTTCGAGGACATGATCCAGCATCCCGGTCTCCAGGCTGTCATCGTGTCGAGTCTGACAACGCTGCATTACTACCACACCGTGGAGAGTCTGAAACGAGGAGTGCATGTCCTCTGCGAGAAGCCGGTGTGCGAGACTGAAGATGAGGTGTGTTTTCAAGCAATGAGGGCGGCTAAGGGCCGAAGACTGGCACGGTCTGCTAACGGAGTCTTACAGCTGAAGCAACTCATCGAGCTCACGGAAGCAAACCCGGAAATCCGGTTGATGGTAGGGTTCACTCGGCGCTTTGATGCTTCATACGCCGCCGCGCTGGACCAAGTCCGTTCCGGAGCCATCGGCAGGCCTGTGACCCTGAGATTCCAGTCCTGTGAGAAATACGATGACTCGCCTTTCATTCACAGGTACGTCCCACAGAGAGCCCCCTGGTTCCTCTTACCGCTCGTCCGGTCCGGCCCATCGCTACCACCTTCAACCGTGCGGACAATGCTAACCCCCAACCCCCATGGCAGCTACCTCTCCCGCTGCGGTGGCATCTTCCTCGACTCGGTCGTGCACGACATCGACCTCAGCCTCATGTACCTCGGCGACCTCGCCCTCCCCTCGCGCTGCATCGCCTTCGGCTCCGCCTCCCTGCACCGCCACCTGCGCTCCCCCTCCGACCACGCCTCCCACCGCGGCGACGCCGACAACGCCGTCGGCATGGTGCAGTTCCACTCCGGCGCCATCGCCTGGTACTACAACAGCCGCACCGCCGCGGCGGGGTACGACAACGCCTCCGAGATCTTCGGCGAGCGCGGCAAATTGTCCGTGAACCTGGTGGCGCGGCGGGATCGTCTGGAGATCGCCGACGGAAAAGGCCTGAGCTGTCAGAGTGTCGAGTCGTGGTACGAGCGCTACAGAGAGGCGTTTGTGGTGGAGACGCGCCATTTTGTGGAGGCCGTGTTGCAGGGGAGGGAGGTGGCGGTGCCGATCCGGAGCGTGTTGACGGGGTTGAGGATTGCGTTGGCGCTGCAGGAGAGTTTGGGGAGGGGTGGGGCGGTGGTGAGGTTTGATGAGAGGGGGGAGAGGATTGTGGACGAAGAGTCGGCCGCGAAGCTGTGACGTGCGCGAAGAAGCCAGAGAGCGGGCCCTTGAGAGACTTGCGGGGGAATCTGGTTCGAGCAGGGGCACATATCAGTAGAGCACAATTAGACCAAGTCGGTATCGTCCATGCAGCTCGTTTCGTGGATCGAATTGTCCGCGTAGTGTAGATTCCCAAGCTGTAGAATTTCCAAGAGATGCCTTTTTGCTCGCTAACCCACACGCTCAAAACGCAGTCCCAAAAACGAAGACATTTTCCCCCTCAACCAGGTCTCAGTCTCTCTTCCCTATCCCGTTAGAATAGCCCCCATACCCCCCGTACCCCCCATACCCCGAACTCCTCACCACACCCCCGTTTCCCATCCCGCCAACGCCGCCCCCAGCGCCAACATTCCCACCCAACAACCCGTTCCCTCTCGTCCGCCCGCTCTTCTTGCGCTCCCACAACAGCATGCCGAGGGCGCCAAAGCCCGCCGCGGCCGCCAACCCCATCAAGCTCAGCAGGCTGAAGCCCACGCTGTGGTCCCGGACGCCCAGGACGGGCCGCCCCACCATGCCCGGCAGCACGTCGCCGTCCACCCACGCGACATTGAACGTGAACTCCAGGGGCTCGTAGCGGATGATCTTGACTCCCTCCTTGGGCGACGAGAGGCTGGGGTTCGGCACGCTGTACGCGGCGGAGGCGATCAGGTGGGACTGCGGCGCCGCGGGCGCATTCTTGGGTTTTTTGCTGGTGGTGGTGGAAGAGGACACGGGGTCGTCGATGGAGGTGTGGAATAGGACGTTGATGTTGGTGTGTAGGTGCAGATGCGAGGTCTGGAGCGTGCCCTGCACGGCGATGGTGAAGGGGGTCCAGGTGTCCACGTCGGACGTGGAGCCTACGCCGGCCGAGGTGCCGCTTTCGAGCGCGTCGGTGGCGTCGAGCGGGTAGGTGGGTACCCGACAGGTCAGGGGCACGTCGCTGTGGACGAAGAACTCGATCAGATGATAGAGCTCGTCGGGGAGGGAGTCGATGGTGCAGGTCTGCGTGAGCGGCGTGTTGTAGGGGAAGGCCAGGGGCTGGGATGTCTCATTGCAGGTCGGGAAGGGGATGTATTGCAGGTTGCCGTGCGAATCGGTAATGTGCTCGCCTGTGTCGATTGTGCGATTGAGACAGGAGACAGGGAGAAGGTCGCCCGTTTTGTAGCCACGACGCTTTTGGGAAGACAAGGGGGCTTGCGGATCTGCGGCGCGGACAGACGCAGATAGGGCGATGTAGAAGAGGCACAATGCTCGTAGAGGGAGAGGGAGCCGGAGCATCGCGGTGCGACAGTTGAGGTGAGGCAAGGTGAAGTGCAAGGTGTGACCAACGGTCTGAATACTGCTGGAGTCGCGGCAATGGCTGTTCGCAGTCAGATGCGGCCACTTTTTCGTGTTCCCCAAAAACGATCCCGCACATGGCAACCGGCTCCACATTAAAGACTCCGGTCCCTGATTTCGGTCTCGATTTTCAGCCTCGTGCCGCCTAAATGCTCCCCACCAATTCGACAGAACGTGACCATATGGTGTCGAGTAAACGTCCTCCGATATCAGTCAGCAGGCGCTACATCTCGAACAGTGAGCGCAGAGTATTTGAGAACTCAGTCGAGCATGGTGCAGTCATTGGCTGACATGATCACTGACGAGAGCGTGGGCATGAACGTATACGAAGTCCTGGAACAACTTGGACATCCCAGGGACATTCAGACAGGCTTCTATAACTATTCAACCACAAATAAAAATTGGTTGCTGTGCCCGTTCGAAGGATGGGTCGAGTTGACAAATAGGAAGAAGCGGCGGTCACAGCCACCGTTGGCCGCTCACAAGGAACGACTTAATGCGTGTTGATCAATATTCCAGCATTGAAGTATGTATATTGGATTGACGTCGGATCAGGGAGTAGCATGGAATATCTGAAGCCCAGATCGATCCCACTGACCATTCATAGCATTGCTTCTGGGTCTTCCCTGCCAGCGCTACTATGTCGTCTTTGACGTCTTTTTCTCCGCTTCGTCGGCGAGAGGGTGCTTGGGATTGCTGGAGAGTCCAGAGACCTGGTCATTCTTGCCCTCATCCTTGCCCTTGGATTCATCAAGCTGAACTCATGTTAACTCTTCGTACGACGAAGACAGGGCGGCGGAAACAGGGGCTCGGGCTCAAGCTCAAATGACAAGATGCATTGACGTAGGAAGGATGACCGAACTGACCTTTCCACTACCGGGCTGGGTGGGGATGTCTTGCTGTTGAGAACCAGTCTGGGTCTCTGGCTCTGGAGACTGACGACCTGCGTTGGGAGCAGACATGTTGGGTGTGTATCGGATCTGACGTCGTCATAAGTTAGACTGTGCTTCAAGCTGGTCGCTAGACAGTGATCACTTACAGGAAGGTTAGGGTCTGTATTTGGAAGATGTCTGAAGTAGTGTTATGAACAGAAGACAAGAGAAAATATGTTGAAACATAAATGATGGCTTGTCTGCCCCTCGATGAGGCAAGAGCAGCCCACCTCGTGCATGACGTATGGCTGGCAGCTTGACGGATATTCGTGCCCGCAAATTGCTTCCGGTGGGCTGCAAACTCTTCTTGGAAACTGTAGCTGCGTGCTTAATGAGCCTTGAGCTGGATGAGACATGGGCATGGTGAGCATGGCATGTGGCTTGATGCGGAAAAGATATCAGAATTGTGTGTCAAGTCGGTTGAAAAGTTCGAGTCTGTTACTCTTTCAGTATCCTACGTCTGGTACGCAACTCCTTGCCAACATGAAAGCCTTGCCCAAAGCTATCCAAGCTAGCAATAGCCATTTTCCAGACTCACGTGCCATTCGCACACCTTAGACGCTGCGGAGGGAGGGACTCGCGATACCCATCGTTGCCATCTTCAGAGCCTTGCACTTGCGACAGCTGCGGTGCTTATCACGTCGCATGACGACCTGCACGTAATAGACACAGGCTCGGCCAGCGCGTAGCTTGCAGTTTTTGCAGTCCATCTGGTAGGACTCGTAGTGACCACATTTCAGGTGGCTCAGCCGTTCAAAGCACATTTTGACGGCGCTTGTCGCAGGTAGTTGAGGTTGGCTTCTCTTGTCTCTAAAACGGGTCAGGTAAGTCGCGTAACAAGCAGGCTAGCAATGCGCACCGTTGCAGTCTATTCTTTGCTCTTCTTCAACTTTTCTTCTTGATCATTCGCCGGGTCCTGGAACTGCAGCGGCGCAGTTACCCAGGCTCCTTAACGGCCTCACAGAATCTCTCTGTGCTAATAGTGGAAGGCTTGTTCATAGTCTGGCGAAAAGACGCTTTGGAAAAGACGTTTGGCTACTGTTTACAATCGGCAATGCCGGTGTGGGGGAGGAGCGGATAGAAGACAAACAGTGGCCGCGTGTTGAAGAGTAAATTTGGTGCCTGCGGGGCAACAACAGGCGGTGTAAGGTAGAACCCGCTACGCCGGTGCGCCACTCCAGGTGTTCGAGCGCCTAGTTGATTCACCTATCCACTCTCCTCCCGGGAATGCAGTGTCACAGTCTGTCTACCTATGGCCGGGTGGCAACTGCCGTAGCGCGGGCGCGATGTGTCGACACTGTGTACACGAATATGGTGATGAACTCCTGTGACTTGGAAAAATTTCGTGGTGAAAGGGTATTTATTGCTTTTCTTGGACTATTGAAACACCGATAGGGCACCCTCGCCCTCTAACCTTCAATCGTACCGCGGAGGCGGGCATTGCATGCATAATGAAAACTGAATGAAACGAGAAGGGGTTCGTTTGATGAGACTCAAACGCTGCCAGAAGGCAACTGCTGTCCCGACGCCTGTGCGGCTTCCTTGACCTCGCTGGTGGCAGCAGTCGAAGACTTGGAGCAGTTCGCGCACGCACAGTTTCCCGGTGGGCATGGGCACTTGGAGTCGGATCCACCACACTTGCAGACAGTCTTGTCGGTGTTCTGAACTGGCGTGGGTTGGTTGTCGCCGGCGGAACTCTTCGCGCAATTGGCACATGAGCATTTGCCTGGGTAGTCGTTAGCCATGGGTTGAATCTTCCAATTGAGGACTACTTACCAGGAGCACATCCGCACACACCTTCAGATCCTCCACAGTTGCAAACGGTGTTCTCTGTACCGGGAACCTGCTCCGGCTCGTGAGACTTGCCAGCCTTGAGATCTGCGAGTCTTCGAGCCTCATTGTGAACATCGCGGACCTGCTTGTCACCTTCAACGTAGAAGGCACGGACCTTCTGGCCAGTGGGAGTGTTGAGGGCCTTCTCGAAGTATGTGTTCAGACCAGCCCAGGCACCCATGGTTCGCTCAGTCACTCCGTATTTCTGGTCGACGCCCTTCGCCTTGTCACTGGCCTTGTAACGGGAGTCGAAGTCGGTCAGGGCTTTGGTGAAGCGATTGCTGAGGCCATTCTTCTGGTCGAACGCAATGGCGGATTGGATAACATTGTCGGACAAGGTGTAACCATGAGCCAGATACTCGGCAACGATGCGTGATCTAGGCTTGTCTTCTTGAGAAATATGGTCGTCGGGAAGGGAGGAAGACACTGCAGCACCGGCCTTCTGAGCGACATCCTCGATGGTCCCTGCGGTTGTCACATGAACCTGAGACTTGCCCAGCTGAGTGTTGTCGAGGAGGAGAGCGGTCTTCGCAGCGGTGTCCTTCTCAAAGGTCACGGTCGCGGACTTGTGGGAATCGGTAGCATCTGACTCGGGCTTGATTGACAAGGTAGTGATCTTGCCGCAGAAGCTGAAGAAGTCCTTGACCTCTTTCTCGCTGGTCTCGTGGGCAATGCCGGAAACATGCACGGTGGTAGACATCTTGAGTTGATTAGAAAATGTGATTCTTATTGATCTTTGAATTGTTTAAGAGATTGTTTAGTAGAGGAAGAAAAGGTGGCCGTAGCTTTTTATCATGCAGCAGGGGCGCAGCGATGGCTAACTACGTCGTCGCGGGGCAGATCTTGACGCGAATGTTCTATACGTCATATCATGCGCCACAACGCCACTCAAAATTAGGCGCCACAGATCGAGAACTTCTTGAACTTGAAACGAACACGTATATCGTATCTGCTGCAGTTGAGGCGTCGTTCACCCCGGACTCCGGTCCCTCGCGCTAAGTGATATACTCATGAAGCTGCTGCCTGCACATGCGAGCCTCGAGGCTAAGCATTTGTCCATCCTATGCTTTCGCAATCCAGCCCGAATGTATCATGAAGTCGTAAATCTTGCTTGCTTTGTTCCCCTCGATCTTGCATACCCCTTTGGCTTCTTTCCTCTTCATATGCCCACCTTGCTTCATTGCCTCCCGCAGCAGACCCTCCTTTAGTGCAAGATACGGCTTCGGTCGAATATGCACAGCATTGCATAGTTGAATTTCTTCCTCGCTGAGCAACTGCAGGTCGGGTGCGACAGACTTATCATCTTCGAGCCTCCACGGCGTAGTTCCACTAAGAGGCTGTATCACGTGGCGCACCTTGGGTTTTTGCGATGGCGTATCTGCACCAGTCGATTCCGCGAACATCTTATCGAAGTCATTCTCCACCGCTGGCTTCGAATCAGCGAACACCGGTACCGTCTTGGGCTTCTTCTGGAACCGAAGGGGGAGTTCGGGGGTAATTAATTTCGACGCCTCCGTGGGTATGTCTCCCTGCTGTTGCTGCTGACCCTTCTTCGGAATTTGTGGCATGCGATCGAATTGGCCTTGTGGTTGATTGCGGGCAGCCCGCGCTTGCTTGTCGCTTTCAAACTTTTCGCCATGTTTGAGATCTGTGATTCCCATCTGCTTCCACTCTTGCAGTGTTGAAATAGCGATCCTTAGGTTGTGCTCGGTGAGCAAATCCTTGTTGAATGCCTCAAAATCTTCATGGTTCATCATCCTCGCGAATGGTTTAGCTTTGTGCATCAAGTCTTTCTCTTCTTTCGTTCGCTTCTTATCGAGGAGTTGGTTCTTTTTGTAGTCAAGCAGGTTGTGCTCGAAGATGATCTTTTTCCTGTCTGTGCGTGACATGAGCCGCGAGTTGTAAATGTCGAAGACAGTCATCTTGAGGGTGGTCTCCTCATCCATTTCCCCCGTGATCGGATCGATGCCATCGCCCGGTTCAAAAGACATATGCTGAACGGCCTCTTCCGCATCATTGGCAAACTCGGTCTCGAACTCGAGTCGACCGGGCATGAAACCCTGCACCTCATGACATGCCGGTACCGATGCGGTCGGCTTCTGCTTGGGTGTAGCTGGAGGGGCGTTCTTGGCGACCTCCTGCCGCTCCTCTATTCTTCGCTTCTTCCGTGCCTGGAAATCCTCCTTCGGAACCTTTTCGAAAAGCTGCGTGTCCTTCGGGTCTGCCAGCGCAGGTAGTGGGAATAGGGGTGAATCAATATACGTGTTGATGTAGTGATCGCGGACTTCATCCTTCTCTCTGTAGCCGCCAATGTGCTCCGAGACGTCGGCCCAGGATCCTAGACCATACCTTTCAGAGCCCTCCAGAAGCAACAGCTCTTCGTCAGCGCCCCAATCATCGGTATAGATGGGTATCGAGTTCTGCTCCACAACGTGGTATTCATGCGTCTGGGGATCATGGCCCTTGCTCTTTTCGCCCTGGCCGAAACACGGGACGCATAGATCGTACTCACGACAGGCCGGGTTGGCACATGAGATGCGCACAGTCGAGGTTATATCGATCGAGCAGACGTCACAGTGGTACTTTGTTCCGCCATCAGAGCCACGGGAGGCTGCGTTCTTTCTTATAACGCCCATGCTGCGTTCGATTCTTGCATCCTCCTCCGCGAGGGAGTCTGTCTCTAGGATGCGCGCGTATTCATGCAGAGTATCCGGCCTGGTGAATGTGAACCTGTATCGCCGCGGTGGGGCAGGGGTTGGAGAACGCGATCTCTCAGAGTGCTCGAGTGCAGGATCATCAAAGGTATAGTGAACGACGCGTGTAGCCCGAGCAGGATTTTGTCGCGTGGGCGTTGGAGGAGGGGTAAGTTCGTCGAATGAGCGCTTCTTCGACTTTGGAGTCGATGGCGAGGGAGAGTTGACGTTGATCAGCTCTCGGCTTTCGGCGCCACCGCTAGGCCGCTGCTTATTGGGTGTGAGGGGAGCCATCGCATTTCAGCCGAGCCTCCGGAATGCTTGCCACGTGATTTTGGTCTAGGGCGGGGCGGGAAGACCTGGTGGGAACCCTGTGCCGGCGACCACACCTCGCTGCGCCGCCTTTCAACGGCCGGAACTGAGGGACCACGCTGTGTAACGACGGGGCAGCTCACTCTGTCCTTCTCTCTCTCTCTTGCTTGATACTTGTCGCCTTCTTCTGTGATCGCCACGACGGTCACCTCGCCACCGAAATTTGTTCCTTTTCTGAAACGGCCGCAGTCGCACTTCCGCCCCTCTCAGTGGTCCCTGATTACCGTTGCACCTAAAGTCAGGTACTTTTTGGTGGATAGCCGCGTGGCTGTTCGGTTTCGCACCTGGCTTTAAGAACCCCGTCTCGTGACCCTAGACCTTGAAGCTCTCAAGATGTCGTGGAAGTTGACCAAGAGTAAGCAATGATTGTTGTGTTCGTTGGCAAGTGATTGGTAATTGACGGATTTCCTAGAGTTGAAGGAGACGCACCTGGCACCTCTGACTAGCGGTTTTGGTCGTTCGACTTCTACGTCGACAGTGAAGGCAGAAGACGAGACTACCCCGCAACAAGAGTCCCCCAGCCTCTCGACCATGCAGAGCAATACCAGTGTAACATCTGCGAATGGCATCGGTAAGTGAATGTTTGCCCCTCTTTCTGCCCATTCACGCTGATATGGTCCAGCCGCCTCCGAAGCCATGAGCAACCCCCCAGTTCAAACCACAAAGCCCGGTATCCTGATCGTGACCCTCCACGAAGGCAAAGGCTTCTCGTTACCACAGCAATATCAGCAGGCGTTCAACAACTACTACGGCGGAGGACACGCAGGCTCGGTCCGTCCTAACTCCTCGTACTCTGCAAACTCCGTAGCGGGCTCTTTCTCACAGAGCAACCGACCTGTCTCGACCCATGCCGGCATCAACGCTGCTCCTACCATTCACGGCCGCTACAACAGCAAGCATCTCCCCTATGCTCTCCTTGACTTCGATAAACTACAGGTTTTTGTCGACGCCGTCTCAGGCAGTCCCGAGAACCCATTGTGGGCGGGTGACAACACATCGTTCAAGTTTGATGTGTCAAGAGTGTGTGAATTGAGTGTTCAACTATACCTTCGCAACCCCGCAGCGAGACCTGGAGTCGGCAGAAGCGAGGATATCTTCCTTGGAGGTGCTCGTATCCAACCACGTTTCGAGGAGGCCAAACCGTTTGTACCCGACCCAAAGAAGAGCAAGAAGGACAACGACAAGGCCGAGGCACAGCATCAACAGCAGGAAAAGCAAGCTGGTCAACTTGGCGCCGAATGGGTTGATGTGCAGTTTGGCACTGGCTCTATCAAAATCGGTGTCAACTACGTTGAGAATCGTCAAGGCAGTCTCAAGATCGACGACTTTGAGCTACTCAAGGTTGTTGGGAGAGGAAGCTTCGGAAAAGTCATGCAAGTCTTGAAGAAGGACACCGGCCGGATTTACGCCCTCAAGACAATTCGAAAAGCCCATATCATCTCGCGATCCGAAGTTGCACACACCCTCGCCGAACGCTCGGTGCTGGCACAAATCAACAACCCCTTCATCACGCCCCTCAAATTCTCCTTCCAGTCGCCCGACAAGCTATATTTCGTTCTCGCCTTTGTCAATGGTGGCGAGCTGTTCCACCACCTGCAGAAGGAACAGAGATTCGACATCAACCGTGCCAGATTCTACACCGCTGAGCTTCTATGCGCTCTCGAGTGCTTACACGGCTTCAAGGTCATCTACCGCGATCTCAAGCCTGAGAATATCCTGCTCGACTACTCGGGACACATTGCACTCTGTGACTTTGGTCTCTGCAAGCTAGACATGAAGGACGAGGACCGCACGAACACTTTCTGTGGCACGCCCGAGTATCTCGCTCCCGAGCTCCTTCTCGGCCATGGATACACCAAGACTGTCGATTGGTGGACTCTGGGTGTTCTTCTCTACGAAATGCTTACTGGGTTGCCGCCATTCTACGACGAGAATACCAACGAGATGTATCGCAAGATTCTACAAGAACCACTCCACTTCCCTGGCCCGGAGATTGTCCCCGCGGCTGCCAAGGATCTTCTAACTAAGCTTCTGGACCGTGATCCGCAGCGGCGTCTAGGTGCTAGCGGCGCCTCAGAGATCAAAGCACACCACTTCTTCGCCAATATTGATTGGAGGAAGCTGCTCCAGCGGAAGTACGAGCCCAGCTTCAAACCTAGTGTTGTATGTTTCTCCCAACCCCTGTGAAGATTGGAATACTGACCTGTATAGGCCGACGCTCGCGATACTGCCAACTTCGACAAGGAGTTCACATCCGAAGTACCTAAAGATTCGTATGTCGAAGGTCCTGTTCTGTCGCAGACCATGCAACAACAATTTGCCGGATGGTCGTATAACCGTCCTGTCGCTGGGTTGGGTGATGCTGGTGGCAGTGTCAAGGACCCCTCTTTCGATAACATCTGAGTTCCCGCTGCTCATTTGCAGAGATGCAGGCGTTCGTTGCACGGCACCGGAGTTCATAGTGGTGGAGCTTAGCTCAGGTAACGAAGCGAACAGACAAACACACGATTGTGTAGACGACAAAATGGCAAGCGATGCATACACTCGACCTTCTTGTTTCACAAGCAAGGTGCTTTGTGAAAAGGCATGCAGTGCAAACAATGTGAGACGGCAGCCCCAGGGGCCTAAATGTGCTAAGGCATTCTCATCTTGCCTTGCCTTTTTGCTCACCAAGATTGGCTTTGTCAATATGGCCTGCAGTGCCTGCATATGAATTTCCAGCCTGCAATGCCTGAAGGTGAGTAGGCGGACTATCTACTGTTGACTCTCACCCTCACTCTCACTTTACTCACTCCTGGCCGTTGGTCAGACCTGCCGTGTCGTGAGATGCTTTGACTCTCTAAAGCAGTCCATTCACTTGAATCCATTCTGACCTACTATATATTCACTCTCATCTGATGGCTTACTCTGTCTCACCAGACCCTAGAGTTCTTCGCCGTGTTCGAGGAGTGGAACGAAGCCGTCAGGATGGCTCCAGGACTCTGTGCTGATCGTTTCACTCCAGAGGTACATGTGGCTTGCGACTCTTTCCACGATGCCGTCGATAACGACACTGCCAGCGACAGCGACACCTGCAGTATTGCCGAGCCTCATCAAGCGGCTGAGGACGCCATGTACTCACGCTGCCTGAGCGGGTCAAATCTGCTGGCAATACTCACGCTCTGTGACGCTTTGAACCCAGACGACCCCAAGCTCAACCGTTCTGACATCGTTCGCAGAGCCTCGATCACGCTAGGTATCAAGAAGGCGAAATCCTTCGAACCCCAGAGCGCCAACAGTAGCGCAACTCTCCCAACAAAGGGATTTTACCAAGGCATCGAAGATCTGATCAACCAGGAGGTGGCGGCCCGCCTGGAGCAGCAGCCGCTTCAATTTCACCGCGTAGATCTCGAGTCCGACAACAAGACCTGCCAGCTGACGATGACCTCGGATCGGATCAATGAAGTCCTGATGCAAGAAGTTGTCTGGCTGATGGACGCGAAGGCCAAGATTGTGCGCCTGAAGGAGCTGGCGGTTGAGTAGTGGACTTGATTCGGAATGGGTACGGAGACGCGGCCGAAGCCGGAAGAACACAACACTCGAGCTGGAATATGAAAAGAAAGTACTGCCCTCTGTCCGAGGACAGAACAAAGCCAACTCCCCTGAAGATTAGAGCTCGGAAAGCATGAACCAAGAGAACGCAAAGAGCGGCAAGAGAGTGGTCCTCAACAATGGATGACAGAAAATCAGACAATGCTGAGACCTGGAGAGGCAAGATCAAGACAGAAGGGAGGCATGTAGTGTCGGCTCTTCACAATCGAACGGTCTCGATCAATGAACACAATTCTGGCTTTTATTCCTCTCTCTCCGTACTCGGGGCCCTTGCCCGCTCCGCCCTCATGCCTTCGCGCTTCGCCTTTGTGTCAAGATAAGTACTTCGTCGGTGGCAGAGTGGCTGCAATTGCTCCCTCGAGTGAAAGCAAGAGATCTCTACACGGACTAGTGTAGCTTGGTGTTTGTTTGCCGATACGCAATCGTGTTGGCAATCTCCTATACCAATCTGTGACCATGCCGATGATTGTCCAGATAAGCAACCATAAGTGCTTACTCTTTCTGCCTCGCTGATGTAGATTCTGCGCAATCTACATGCCTAAGCCAATCTGCTTATGGTCGAAGCGAACCTTTTGAGAAGTGCAAGACTCCTCGACACACGGTACTACCTTGTCTACCACGAAGATTGATACAGCAGTACAGAATTGAGGTCATTCACTGCCTGATGCCAAGATTTCGCAGCCTTCTGATAGCGTAGTGAGTACCTCAGCTACGTTTCCGGTGGAGATATTCAAGGTTCTTTGACTGTCGAGAACTTCTCTCCGGCCGCACAGTGTGGTACCCTCCCCGTGGCCTACTCTTACAGGGCCGACCAATCGTAGAGATATATTCACTATCCTTAACCAGAAGAAGCCTCCGCATTCAGTGACTGCCTACCCAACCATTCAATGTTTCAATGCCTATTAACTCAGCTTGAATAGTCCCCGGCCACTGACAAGGCTTCTGTTGAGGGGGTACTCATTCAATGAACTACAAGTACAAATCCAAGGCCGTCTCTTCATCCTTCTGTTCTCGACAACTTCTACCTACGCACGCAAGCCCACAAAGCACTACGTCAACTCCTTCGATACTACCCCTCACACTTCTTCTTACTCAGCGCCGAGCACGTATCTTCCCTTGCATCCACAACAACAATGGCTCCCACCATGAACTCCACCCACTGCATCGTCCCCGTCTCTCTGCTCGTCGACTTCTGCGAGCTCCAGAAGATGCTGGCTCGCACTCCCAACCCGATCGACTCCCACCTCTACAGCAGCATCACGGCCGAAATCAACCATAAGGTCGATGAGACCATTGTCGCCTTCCCTAATACCTGTGCAGATGTTGATCGCCTGGCCGAGCAAGCCTACCAAACTCGCAAGAGCAACCTCGAGCGGTTGCAACGCAAACAACAGAAGAGAGAGGAGAAGAAGAAGAACAAGCAGCGCCTCGCCAAGGCCGATTTAATGACGCCCAACGACCAGGTCAGAGCCTGGCTAGCCAAAAGGGAGAGCGAGACTCAGGGCAGGCGACCTCGCGAAGAGGTAGAGGTTGAGGTGAACCGCAAGCGAGTGAAGGTGGAGGTGAAAGAGGAGTCGTCCTGAGTTAGCGAGCAGGCAAAGCTTAGTTTCTTGAGTTGTGGACCGGGTTTCAGGATACTGTGATCAGTTAACGAGTGCGTGACGGGCTGCTGGTCGGACTATGGTAACTTTCTGCAGAGTCTAGTGGCGAGGTAAATTGAGTCGTACGGGTTGGTACATACTGGTAGCTGCAAACGACTAGTTGCATAGAATCAGCATCCTATTACGCCGTAACCTTGTCCATTGCAGCGATTTATACAAGTTGAGACTTATCACAGTCCTCGTAACCCCTTCTTCGCCAAGTGTCGGTGCTGCATCCGTTGTCGTCAGTGTCCAGCTTGAGAGTCCTTGAGTCCTGGGATCTTATGCTGCCGAGGCCCCAACGGATCGTACATCGTTGCCATGTCCCTCAAGAATGCCAGAATGCCGTATTATACCTGGCTGAAGGATCTTAATTGGTATCAGCCTAGTTGGCACAGACCCAATCCGTGCCTAAATCCGTTCAACTCTCAGCTTCCTGCCGTCCGGCAGCCCACAGTATACCTCTCTTGATCTGATGCATGAACCAGTAATTCCGGTAAGCCTCGTCAAAATGTCCAAGCGCTGTATAGTAGACTCGACCACCCTCGAACTCCTGACACCACGACAATGGGTGGTCCTCACCCATCTTTCCCCCTTGAAACGAAGCGGTGTCGCCCTTTAGCAAGATCTGTAGCCTTTCATTATCGCGAGGGTGGCTCGTAAAGTTATACCATTCATCGTTCCAGGAATGACACCCGCCACATCCCTTGAGTATCTCATGGTTCGCATTGGCCTCTTCCACAACCACACTGCCCTCTTCGGGGTCGGGATGCATGTCGAAGTGAGCACCAATCAGATCACCGTACCAGCTGTCGCTCAACATGCCGGCGGCCGCACCATGGGTGGCCACAACGCCATTGCCGCGGCGCAGAAACTCTCTCAGTGCTTGAGTCTGGGCGAAAGACAGGAAATCTCCTGTGCAATGCAGGAGTACCACGACGCGACACTTCTCCAGGGCTGAGGCGGTCATCACGGCCTCGGCATCTTCGCTCGCAAATGTCGTGAACAGGCCCGTCTGCTGGCCGCACCCTTGTATGGCGTCTATAGCGACTGGAATGCAGTCGTGGCGATATGAGGAGGTCTTGCTGAAGATGAGGACGTTGAAACGTTCTTGGTCGGCCATCTTGGGTCGTTGTTCACGTACCTTAAGCTGTTAAGTACCAGCTACGCGCTCCGGTGGGGTCTGTCCATCGTCGCTCAGAGATATCAGAGTGGACAAGGAATGGACACTATAGTGTAGTCGTAGGGATCTGCGTCTCTCGTACGGCTAAATTACATCATGACCGGATAATTGCTGCATGGCGCTCTTGCAATGTACGACCTTGGTAAGCTTCACGGTACGGACAATCGGCGACTGGACGTCTTGGAGAATGATCATGTTCAACAGCTGCTGGCAGCAACAGATCAGACCGCACTTAGGTCCCAGGCACCGATGCCCCCCAGATAGCCCCCAGACCACAGAATATCCAGCACACAGTAGCACAGTACAAAGCCAGACTCAAAGCCTCAACAAGTTTCCTCCCACTCCCATCCCCCGCTTCCACCAGGGACTCCGCCTCCGCCTCCGCCCAGCGCCCCGTCTCTCGCAGACTTCAGTGCCACATTACATCGTTGTGCTACTCCGTGCCAAGCCCAGCCTTGTCGTTCACCCCTTTTCCCTTTCTTTCCCCCTTAAGCTGTCCGCTTCCCGCTTTTCACTCTTCATTTTCCACTTTCTTCCGACAATCCATGCCCCCCTCGCCCCGACAGAAGCACCACACCAGCTCCGCCTACCCGCTCACATCCAAGAACCCGGCGCAACACGCCGTAGTACAGCACAGAGCACACAGCACAGTATATCACTTTACCAGATAGAGGAAGGGAGACAACACCAATGGGCAGAAAATAAGAAGGCTCAAGAGGGGGTATCAATCAATTAGGACTAAAAAAACCAATTCGCACGCTTCTTCTTCCATGCTATGCTATGCTAGCAGACAAAGGCAAGAAAGTTTCAAATGCGTCGGAATGAAAGCAATGGTGGGGGTATGTATGGGTTGAGTCGTGAAGATCGTTTCGGTGTTTCCGCAGTACTGTACACGCCCCCAGGCCCACTCCACCCTCCGCTCACTTCTGCCCCCAGACCCCCAGCTTCGATAGTTTTTTCATTCCATAGAGCTCTCGCTTGCTAAACTCGCTTTCACGGGGACTGCAACCATCAACCCCAACGAATTAGATAGAAGACGGAATCATTCATTAGTGCTTCTCGCTCAAGCTTCCCGCTCTCTGCACCTCGGGCACGGCCACAACTTCGGCCTTGGTTTCGTCGGTGAATTGAAGATCCTCCTCCAGCGTCACCGTGTCCTTGACCTTCAGCCAGACGACAGGCACGGCGAGGAGGATGGAGCCTGCGAGCAGACCCCAGGTGGAGGCGAACTCGGTCATGTAGGGCGTCAGACCGGAGTCGATGCCGGGAGTGATGGCGGCACCAGCGGACTGGATGCCCTTGTAGAAGCCAGCGAAGTTGGCAAGCTTGCGGCCGTTGTTGGTTAGGGAACCCATGAGCCTGTGACGCGGGTGTCAGTAAATTCGGGTAGGTAAATAATGGGCATGTGAAGCTTACCAGTAAGCGCATGTCTGGAAAGCGGCATCATAGAAACCATAGAACATGTAGAGGAACATGGGGCCAATGTAGCGACCGCCATCCGTCCAGTCAAGGGGAACAAAATCGTCCGCAGCCACGGAAGCGCGGGTGTAGCTCTTCTGGAACTCGTAACCGCCACCCCAGATGACCATGGTGATGACCAGTAGAGCAGCAAGGCAGAGCTTGGCGCGCAGGGGACGGGAGATCTTGTCGAAGTCAAGAGCGTACCCGAAGACGAGAGCGCCGACCATTTGCATGCTCCAGTACAAGACGTTGTTTAGGGAGCGAGTGCGCACATTGAACATGGGGAGGTTGACATCCTGGAAGTGGTAGGTGTAGAACCAGTTGGAGGCAAGGAAGAAGGGGAACATAAAGACAATGTACCAATCGGTCTTGAGGACTTCGAGAAGGCCAAGGAATTCGGACTTCCATGTTGGGTTCTTCATGAGAATGACGCGCGAGCCATCCTTGCGCTCGACGAAGTGCGGGTTGCAGCACAAGAAGGTGGTGAGCAGGCCGAGAACCATGAGAACGATGAAGGCGATATAGGTGCCATCGTTCACAGAGCCTGCTGTAGTCGTGTGGATGTTTTGGCCCAACGGCACAAGGGCGCCAATGACGGCACCGAGGTTGAAAATGACCCAGAAGACGGAGATGAAGCGGCCCTTTTGACGCTCGAGTGGGTAGGCCATCATGATAGCACCTTGGGCAGTCCACAACAGACCAGCGCAGACACCAAGCAAGACACCCGAGAAGATAAGGAAGCCGGCGTTCTGAGTGTGCTTGTAGACCAGGAGGGCGGTAACGTAGATGAAGTAGCCAATGCCACCGAACGCAAGAGTCGGACGAAGACCGATGGTATTGCAAATGCTGCCACCGAAGAAACCGACAATGGAGAAAGTCGCATAGACACCAATGTTGGCTCGGTTGATATCGTGGGGATCAACTACGCCGCCGGCGCCCAAGCCGTTGACGGCGTTGAACATACCGGGGCACAGGAAGCAGACGAAGGCCACAAAGACGATCTGGAATTCTGGGGAGGCGTATGGCGGCAGGACGCCGAAGAGTCTCTTGTACATCCATGGCTTGCCCATGCGGCGCTCGCCGCCTTGAACATCGTGAGATTCGAGCGAGGGAGGCGTATCAGTGCCGTTGGCAGTGGTAGTTGCCATTTTCTCGTCCGCCATAGGGATCAGTAAAGGTCAGGGACAGGCGCAGTCGCAGACGCAGGGAAGGTATTAAAGGAGGTAGAGGGCAGTCAAGTGACAAGTGACTAGCTTCGGACCCGGAGGTGACACTGGACGTGCGGGCGGGAAAGGAAGATCTGCGCCGCGTGGTGTTAGCTTTTGTCGCGTGCCTCGAGAGAACAGGAACCGAGCAGAAGCGCGTGGTGCAACCGAGTTATAGATGTAGATAGGTAGCAGAGGAGGGGGCGGGTGGTGAGGTTGCTATCAAGAGGAGTAGCATCGCTGCTTACCTTCCAGACGCCTTCAGAGCACTCCAATGCTGGAACGCCAGATAGCGACGGGCTACCAATAATGCGAGGGTAGCGTGTGTTCGTAAAGTAGACCTGCAGAGAGCGAAAGAGGTCTTTCGTATCAGGGACCCTGCACTTCTCCAGCTTGGGGTGGAGTGAGCGCCCGGGCTTAGGCCCCGCTATTGGCGGATCTCCAGGTAGCCGAGAATCAAGTGCAGGGCAGTGGTGAGGGGGCGCCCCCAGCACGTGAGGCCTCTGATTAAAGAGTTGCAACCGTTTGGCGCCAACGTTGCACCCAGTCGATTACCACCGTAGCATCCAGGGGCCAGCAACTTCTAGGCCTCCTATCGTCTTCAGCCTTTCCCCAGAGTCCTCAGCCTTGCCTCTGCTGTCCTGATACCACCACTCATCGCCGCCACGCCCGAAACGTGGCCCCTCTATTGCAACCTTCTGGTCCAACTGGCCGTCTCCTCCGCCCTGTAACCTTTTGGCCTTCCATCCGGTTACTAACAAGGCGTTACTCCGTACTGTCCTGCACCGGCTTTCTCGGTGAGTGTGACCTCATTTTTTCCATGCCAGTGGTTCGCGTCCCACCGTGGGCATCAGATCCTGCGGTTCGTACTTATCTCATCAGTAAGTTGTGCACATCTCTGCTTCCTGTTATTCCTGTCCTCAGGACAGAATCAGCCCTTCCTTTGTTACAACGTTCCTTACAACCTAAATGCCCACGATGCTTGACTCCACGCCTCCCGTAATCACCAAATTCGTGAACGGATATCTCCTCCGCAACGGCCAACTTGTCGAAGGCGACCTCTGGATCTCTTCTGCCACGGGCCGCATCCTCGATAGCCAGTCTACCTTCTACGCCTCTCATATCAAGCCCGATCAGACCATTGATCTAGAAGGCAAGATTCTTTCCCCCGGCTTCATCGACACTCAACTGAACGGCGGTCATGGCTTCGACTTCTCCATCCCGGAGCCCGACTTCGCCACCAAGTTGGCTGACACCAACCGTCGCTTCGCTGCTGCTGGTGTCACCTCTTACCTCCCAACAGTAATCAGCCAGAAGGCCTCGGTTTATCAGTCTGTTCTCCCATATCTCGGTCCTTCCCGCTCGGATCGCGATCCATCCAACGGCGCCGAATCACTCGGCGCTCATGTAGAAGGTCCATTCCTTGCACCTTGCCGCAATGGTATTCACAACAAGTCCATACTTGTGCGCGCCAAGTCGTGGTCCGATGTGGAAGAAGTGTATGGTTCCGACAATCTCAATTCCGGCACCATCCGCAAGGTCACCGCCGCTCCAGAACTTGGCAACATGACGGCGCTGATTCCCGAGTTCACCTCTCGCGGCATCGTCTTCAGCATGGGCCATAGTGACGCCGACCTAGCCCAAGCCTCCGACGCCATTGCCGCTGGTGCCACCATGGTCACGCACATGTTCAACGCCATGCGGCCCTTCGGTCACCGGGACCCCGGCATCTTCGGTCTGCTTGGCTTTCCACCATCCCGGCCCGGCACTCCCACCGCCTCCCGTCCCCAAAGTCGGCACAACAGCCACCCACCCTCACCTGCATTGTCCAGCAAACGCGACACCCCCCGTAGCTCCCTCTCCATCTCCAGCACCCCGGACGACGACGACTTCTGCGCCAGCCCCACCCAGCAGAAGAAGCGGCCCACACTCCCCTTACCCACCTCCCCCCAACCCTGGTTCGGCCTCATCTCCGACGGCGTCCACCTCTCACCCGCTTCACTCAAGATCGCCTACTCGGCCTTCCCCGCCGGCGCCATCCTCGTCACCGACGCCCTCTCCTTCGCCGGCCTGCCCGACGGCGTCTACAAATGGACTAACGGCGACGAGGTCGTCAAGAAGGGTCCTGAGATCCGCGGCAAAGCCAGCGGCCGCCTCGCCGGCGTCGCCGTCAGCCTCATCGACTGCGTCAACAACTTCCGCGACTTCACCGGCTGCGGCACCGCGGCCGCCCTCGAGGCTGTCACGAGCCACCCGGCGCGCATGCTGGGCGAGGATGTCGCGAGCAGGAAGGGCGCCTTGGATGTCGGTATGGATGCTGACCTAGTCATGCTGAGCGGTGGTGAGGGTGAGGCGTTGAAAGTCGAGGGCGTCTGGAAGTTTGGCGTTAGGGTCGCCTGAGCTTTTCGTCTGGCTCAGAAGGACGAGGACGAGGACGAGGATAGGCTTGTATACCACCGCATCTTGATTATTGATGTTGCAGAGTGAGCAAAAGAGCATGATTGATGGGCGCATTGCGAACGGAGTTGTGGGGCTGTTGAATTTGATCCTGGGTTGGTCAGATGGCATTTTTTGGATAGAGCAAGGGAACTTCAGAGGCAAAGCGACACAGGAAAAGAGAGAGACAAAAAGCCAGCTCTTGCGCAAATCTTGCATCGAACCTTAGAATGTAGTATTAGGCTTGTTTACGATGTTATGAGTCCATGGCTTGACATTAGAATGTGTATGATTATGTCCCTTGTGGGAGTCTTACGATTGATCGATTCATCTATTCGTTTCGTTTTGCTCGTGTGGTGTCTGCTTGTGCGCTGATGGAAAATGTTTGTGTGATGGCGGAGTGTCTCCTACGAAGATGGATGGGTTGTGGGCCGCTCAGCAGGCGCGAGGCGGGGATTCAGGGGGTGCGGTGGAGGTCTGGTCTGTCAGTGGTGGGGATGTGAGGCTGGGCTTCGACGGTGGGTATAGAATGACGCTCTGGAGGCGGCGGAGATGGAGGTTCAGGATTGGAGCATGTCCGTTGATCTCGAAGCTCATCTTGTAGTATCTGTTGCCGTCGGCGCCGGTCTCGATGGGAAGGGCGGTGATGGAAATGGCAGATAGCTGGGCATAGATGTCGGCAAGCTGCTGTACTTCTGAACAATGTTAGCTTCTATGACATACATTTGGCTCGGGTTGCAGACCACTACCAGAGTAGCGAGGAGCTGGCTTGTCGCGCTTGGATTCGTAGACGTAGATTCGCGAGACATCCGGATCGAAAGGACGGTTGTCCATCAACTTGACCCGGTAACGATGGGTGCTCACAGCGTGGTCTTCATCGATGGTGTCGCCCTGTAAGACATTAACATCCACTCTCGATGAGGAAGCAAACAGGCCCGCCTCCTTGACAGTCCAGATGCCTTGGGAGGCATCCAAGACTCTGATGCAGTCTTTAGTTCTCCATCTCAAAGAAAAAAAACAAATGTTGACTTACTTCGCCTGACCAACATGGATCAGGGAGTTGGGATTTCATCAGCGACAAGCATCAGCTGACTTCTCCGCCATGGGGGTAGTAGGTACCTTCATCAGCTTCTTCACGGACCTTCACAACGAATCCAATACAAGCAAGATGACTGAGACTTGACAGCGGTCTAACCGCCCTCGACCACGAGCCGACGCGAACGGTGTCGAAATGAATATGTCCCATCCTCGACAACACCAGAAGTCCAGCAACAACAACCTTAACATGAGTCCCCGACCGGCTCCAGTCATCAATGATCAGGTCGACATAGTTCCCAAGCAGAATTCCAAGCAGCGCGCCACTATTCAGCAGCCGGGCATCAAAGTTCAAGAGCCCGAGACAGCATGCTAACTCCCGTCTGCGGGCAAGCAGAGAATTGAGAAGCCTGAGAACCAACTCCAAAGTAGCGAAGAGTTTGCGTACGCTCTTCAGGCCAGGATCAGCCGGAGAGATGCGACAATCAGTTACATGGAGGACCACATTGAATTCCTTAATCAGGAGCTCGACCAGCAGAAACACAACCTCAAGGTCGCCCAGCAAGATCAAGAAGCAAAGTCTGCTAGAGATTCGAAGAAATTTGGCGGGTAGCGAGACGAGCTGAAGACCATTGAGGAGAACCGCTTCCTAGAACCCAGTCTTGAGCAATGCAAAGAGCGCATCTTCAAGCTACAGCCATTCGAGGGCAAGCCTGACACGGCAATTGCTTCCTTGTACGAAAATCTCTGCGAGTCCGTCACTACCTGGGTCGCTGATCTCTTCGACGAGCTGAATGATGCAGGTGTGGCAACAAGCGCTACGCCAGCTCTGGCTACTCATTTTGCGCTGTTCAAGCTCTCTGGAGGCGCTGCAATATTTTGTGAGCGTGAGATTAGCTTGATGGGAGAATTTGCAGTAGTAGGTGATGCGACGCTTTCTTCGTTCATCATGCGATACCTGTTGCACAATATTCTACACAACGATGGAATATGCTTTGCTGCACCAAAAGCCATGGACGACTTCTTGAAGGGCATCATGGGAAACCTAGGGACACTGGAGCCGGCGAAAGGTCAGTAAATAGACCATCAGAAGAGACTTTCCTGACCCAGAACAGACCCCGAGTCCATCGCGACATGGCGCGTCGATACTTATCGAGCGCTAAGAAATACCAGATAAATCCAGAAGAGTCAATGCGATTTGACCCAGGAGCTTGTCTGGGTGGTGACGAGATGCATTCAAGCCAGCTGCGGAGGCTATACCGTACCCGAGATGATGCAGAATTGCACCAAGTTGGTCAACGATGCGATCCGTCTTGCTCACGAGATGCGACTCACCACCACCACGTATAGTTGGGGGACCTTCAATGCAGGTGCAACAGAGTCACAGCTCTTCTACAGTGGCGAGCTTGGAAAGTACAAATTGGTAGACGCCAAGACGGGTCAGAAGCTGAAGCGCTCGTCTGTCAAGGACCTTGCTTCAGATACAGTCATCGGCGACAAGGTTTGCACCATATTTCCAGCTCTGGAGCGGAAAGGAAGCAATCGGGGAAAATTGGCCCTGGTCGAGGAAACCATGCTTGTCAGCATCAGGGAGAGATACCGTCAGAAGCCGAAGCGTAAGGCGGTGGTGGACACCATTGCGAAGGGATGAGACCGTCGACTCGGCTTCCAGAAGATGTCCTCGGATGCAGTGGGCGATACACCACCATCGAACTCAGGTGGACGTCCAGAACGAAGGTGTGAGAAGGCAAAAAGGACATGGCAGTACGGCAACAGACGTCGTGGAAACGAGCTGTGTGACACTTTTGGGCTGACCGGGCCAACGTATTGGCACTGGTCGCCCCACAATAGATTTTCGCCGCAGCGGCCTTCGTAGTGGCGGCATCAGACAAATGAATCAAACTGCCATCACTGTATCCGCGCTCTTTACTACTCACCACACGCTGGAAATTTCTAACATCTTGCGTACTCGAATTGACCGCTTTCGTTGACTCAACTGGACTCCCATTACAAACTAAGAGAACAATTCAAAATGTCGAAGCCAACGTGCGTATCTTGACCCTCACAACCACATCAGATGCTAACCAGCGAAAACAGGTGGGCTGACGAATACCTCGACGATGCCGACACCGACACACTCCCCGCTCCCTCCGTGACAACCGGCCCCGACGGCACCAAGACGACCGTCAGCTACAAATGGAATGACGACGGCAAGAAAGTAAAAGTCACCACCAAGACCAAGACAGTCGTGCACCGCGAGCGCGTGAACCCCGCGATCGCAGAGCGGCGCGCGTGGGCCAAGTTCGGCCTCGAGAAGGGCAAAGGCAAAGGCCCGCAGCCCGACACCACTTCGGTGGGCGAGAACATCGTCTTCCGCCCCTCGCGCGACTGGAAGGCCGTGCAGGCGGCCGAGGCCAAGGAAGGCGGCGGCAAGGCCGAGGAGAAGAGCCTGAAGGAGCAGCTAAGAGACAAGAAGGTCAAGTGCCGTATCTGTCAGGGCGAGCATTTCACCGCGAGATGTCCTTTCAAGGACACCATGGCTCCGGCTGATGATGGCACTACTCCTGCGGCGGACCCCATGGCGGACGAGGGCGAGGGCGAGCCGGCCAAGGGTGGTTTGGGCGTCGGTGGCAGCTCATACGTGCCGCCGCATATGCGCAAGGGCGCGGCCGGGGCCGGCGAGCGGATGGGTGGCAAGTTCGAGAGAGATGATCTCGCGACGCTGAGAGTTACGAATGTGGGTTTGCCTGGATTTTCTTCCTACTAAACCACATGGGCGTGCGTGCTAATGACTTTTTTTTCCACTACAGGTATCCGAGTTGGCCGAGGAGCAGGAGATGCGCGACATATTCGAGCGCTTCGGCAGAGTGACCCGAGTGTTTTTGGCAAAGGACAGAGAGACTGGCAGAGCCAAGGGCTTTGCTTTCATCTCTTTTGTCGACCGGGCGGACGCGGCGAATGCGTGCGACCGGCTGGATGGCTTTGGCTACAAGCATCTCATTCTCAAGGTCGAGTTCGCGAAGAAGCAGGCTTGAAAGACGGCGGTCAGCGGTTAGAGGGAGAATACTCCAGGAATTGATTTACAGATAGCTACGGTGATCGGTTTGGAGACGGGTTGGTGTGCGCTTGAGAGCTCTTCAGCAGCCAGAGATTGCATCTGCGCTTTTCCACGAGCCTCGATGCACTCCGACGAGGGAGAACTCAGCTTCGACGACGACGGGATCACGAGCATGCATACGAACTGAGTTTTCAGACGGTGATCCTAGCGGCCCGCAGGCAGGTGAAGGCGCGCCGCTATGAGATAGAATGCAACGAAGCTATGATGCTCACGCACCCTAATCCTTCAATTCACGATTTTTCCGGTCTTCTTGATCTCTCCGTAGCCACCGTCTCATCTCGAGGTGGACTGGTTTTATTTAGCCTTTGCCACAGCAGCGATCCTTGACCAGCTGAGCATACGGCCGCGACCGTCTTCGAGGATGAGACTTTGGATAGGGTAGAAAAGGTATACGCCCGTGGTGGTTAGTGCAAAGTGTCAGGCCTCGTACTCGCCAAGCGAGTAGCGGTTGTGTGTCTCGATTGGTATACCGCACCGAGGCCACGCCCAACGGAGTCGGATGTATTCCGGACGAGCGTAAGTAATGAAGGTGCGTTCGGCCAAGTCGGCTGTCATCCCAAAGGGAAGGGTTTGAAAGAGGAGCATGCAGAATGTAGGCACATACTTTCTGCTTTGGACACGAGCCTGGCCCTGTTCGAGGCGTCGGGGAAGAAGGTCAGGCTCAAGTATGGTTTTTGGGGCGATTCGGGAACATTCCTTCAGGCATTGAGTACTGAAGGTGTCGTTCACGAACCAGAGCACACGCCTCGACAATGCCGGAAAATTGGTGGCTTAGGATCGTGACGTAGGCCAATGGCAGTGGTCGCGTCAAGGCAACTGATTCGCAATGCAAGAGGTTGAGACCGTTTCTGTCCGCCGGCTGCGGCAATGGGCAATGCTTCCGGTGTCAGCATCCAAGACACAGACGGGGAAAGAACTTCGACTTCGGAACAGCGAGGAATTCCGCCGACACCTGCTAGATGGAGGCACCTGTCACCTGTCGAATATCGGAGCAGGAGCGGAGAAGGGTATAGCTGAAGCAGGGCGCTGGATGCCTGCTGCCTTGGAAAGTGAGAAATGCCTTGGGGTTGCCTTGGATCCAAATGCGAGGCCCACTCACGTGGGCATAGGCTTGCAGTGGGAACTCAAATATCACAACACACCAATCTGCGCGCGGGCATGTCTGAGTATGTCCTGAGGACATGGCATAGAGCCACTAGAATCCGGGCGACTGATGCCGGGAAAGTCGCTGCACCCGATTGCGAGCTCGTGATTGATCGTCGCCGGGCAGGCTGCAGCTTTTAGGCTGCTGCTGAGGTGGCCAAAGCATTTCGATTCGTCTAGGATGGCGTCAATTGTCGAGAAACGGTATGGGCGCCTGTCAGCTGCTCGATGAGCTGCAGGCATTAGTTCAAGGCGATGCTAAACAAGCTGAACATCGTTCAGATCATGACTCTCGGGGGTCCAGGAGGAGACTCGTTCCGAGAGGCTGACGAGAAGTGTTGGCGACTAATGAAATGCACTTGATTGGGCAATGCAATTCCTTTCTGCATCAGCCCGGTAAGGCAGGAAGAACGAAAGTGGACGATGAAGGGAGCCAAACAATTGTTTGGAAGCAAGTCAGTGTTCTGGACCTGCATCGGGGAAGCACAAGCCGCCGGAAAGCCGTTGTGCGAGGCAGGGATGGCGGTGCTTTCGGGGCAAGTGTCTTGCACGACACTGCTACAACCGCCGCCGGTCAGCATGGAACGTTCCGCGGTTCTTCAGTGGCTTTTGGCGCAACGACAGGAAGTGCAAAGCATCGAGAATGATTCCAAATAGTTCTTCAGTGCTACTCTGCGCCACATGCTGGGGTCAGAGGTCGTACGGGCAGTTTCGCTTCGGAGATGGGCTGCTGTGCATTGTTTTTCAAGATCGTAGATGCCACATCGTACTCCAGACTGGGGACCAGACTGGGGACGAACCGTTGGCCTTAGCTGAAGTCTTGATAGCGGTTGCTGTTTGGCGGCCCTTGCAGGGTTGTGGCATTTGTCACAGCAGCACCAGTGTCAGCGTTGATTGCGGAGATTGTAGGCTGGTCAGAGGGGCGGTTGACGCCGCACGTTCACGAGTCAACGTCAGAATGATGCGCGTCTCGATTGTCACGGACATGGTTGATCCCCCGGCAAATCCAGCGTGGCTGTTGGAGCCGGAGAGGTGGAAGTAGCATCGACATCGTGGCCATAATTCCGCCCTTAAAGGTGAACATCATGGCCCTTGGAACCCACTCACCATATCGCCCACTAGGATGCAGAGACACCCTCCCCGGTCTCAATGGAACTCGGAGTTCCGGATACATGAGCTGTGGTGCGTTAGATGGCCAAAGCGAAGATAAAACATGCCGAAATTGGTTGCGAGGTCGATGAAGAGAAAAGAAGGAGGAAACACAGGTCGCGTCTCTCTCGGGCTGGCCAGCAAACCTGGGCCAATCAGATAAGAGGATTTTACGACCCACCTCAAGCACGCATTGCCTCCCTTGCACTGCTTTGCTTGATGCTCGTCAGCTTCCTTGCCTCATCTGTCCCGCCTTTCCATCTCAGCTGCCCTTCAATTCATGCGCGGAGCCATCGTCTTCTTCCTGGTATCTACCATCGCCAATGCCGTCCGGCTTTGGCGGGTCCATAATCCTGGTTCAGCGCAAGGATCATGTAGCCCTTCGACTGCAAGCCTACGCACGACATACCTGCAGTCGTTACTTCCATTGAGACCTGCTTCTCGGCCCATGCCGCTATCCTGTCGATTTCGTGCCTCTCTAAGCCACAATGTCGGTGCCTGCTGCCCTAGTCCGCTGTTCTAAACGAGGCAGCCCCGTCAACCTTGTAACAAAGAGCCAGCCGATTGCCGGGAACTCTGTTGCCAATAAGGTTCCTTTCTCTGGACTTTCGATCTGGCTGCGTCAAGCGTCGGCTGCGTGTCAATCGTACCAGTCGGAACATTTCGTTGTCTCTGGTTTGGTCCTTGACGTGGCTTCACTCTCTCCACCTAACCTGGACAGGCTCTGTCCCCGTCAAGCTTCATTGGACCGTTGCGAATTGGACTGGCCGATCAATCCTTCCCCTCACAACCGGATCCCTCTTCGACCGGGCATCGCCATTTTTTCGACCAGGCGCAAAGGGTTCTTCGAGCCGTCAGCTTCCCAAGAATGATGATTGATCCGCAGAAGAAGCGAATAGGTGATGCTTGACAGCACATCTCTCAGAGAGAAGCCACAATCTCTCACACCCTGTTCGATGCACGTGCTGCCAAACCCTTATTTGGTCTGCGATCGCCAGCATATGGTTCCGACCAGGAGTGGAGCCTCAGCTGAAACACTGCTCTATACGGTCTGTTGCTCGATGTCTTTGTTGCTGCATTCTCGTTAAGCACTGCTCTCTTTCCAAATCACCATGATTAGGCGGTGAAGAGCAATGATACGATGTCCAAGCCCCAAGACCCCATGTCGTGGCAAATTTAGGCCTAAACTCATGGATTCTGGGTATGGCTGCTTGCATGAAGGTCTCGGGGCCGCCTCGAGGCTCAGATGTGCCGGTCTGAGAATCCATTGGCTTCTTGTTATGCAGCTTCCCTTGAGCGTAGTCCTGGCCGGCTATGCGTTTGGCCATTTCCTGAATATGCCCCGAATTCTTGCATGACAGAATGCCAGATCTCCAGACAATGGACGTGGTCCTTTCTCCTTTCGCTCAAGCCGACTCCGATGCCTGGCTCTAACGTGCCGACTCCAGACTTCTGAAGCAGCGCCGATAAATATACGACCCCTCGCTCGTCACTTCATAAGTGGTTCTGTTTGACTCGACCTCGAAGCGCAATACCTCTTTGTTTGTTTTCTTCCACTAGGTCTTTCCAGTCTTCCGTTCGATGACATCTTGAGCGGCTGGCCTTCTTCTGGATCGGCAACACAGGTAGCACCACATCCAAGAATTACCTTCGGTCGTTCGAGCTCGGTCGCAATCATTCGATCAAAGCTGAGAAAATCGGAGCTCGTCATCGAGACGGCTACCCGAGGGCTGCGAGCATTTGGAAACTGGCGATAATTAGCCAGTCATCCGCACGTCGGGGTAAGCACGAACACAGCAGCTTTCTTGGAGTCAAGAGAAACTGACCGGTGTTGAATGCTCCAGGTCCTGTTCATGAAGAAAGGAGTCTTTCAACCGTTCTCGTACGTCACTCAATCGTTCTCGCACGTCAAGTCGGTGTCTTCTCGCAGCCTGAAGCTCGCGTTTCTGTCTATGTGCAGAGTACTGCGCAGTAAAGAGGTCACTGCATGAACAATTCTCTTGATATGAGCTGTGCTGACAATGACGTGGAAGGCTTTAGCAGACCTATAGCCATTCCTAAGGCGCAACTGGAACCGCGTCAGTTATTGGTAGCCATTCAAAGTGACCTGCATTGGACTAGGTTACAGATCAGCGCTCCGGGCCTTAAGCGACACGAATACTAGCCAACGTCTGATACGTCGAACATCAGACGAAGGTCCCTCCGACAACCAGGATTGGAAGTAGCTTGACGCAACAGACCAATCCGTGTCGTTGTCTCATCCTTACGCAGTGGAGTTGGAGCATCATTTACACGAGCCGTGATGAACCCTAGTACGTATATGCTATTTCCACACTCTTTCACGGCTTTTCCGCAGAGCAAAATGGCCCAATCTTGCAGGAGGTCGGTAATCTTTGGCTCTGGCGATATGCAGATTAAAGCCAGCGCACACTTCTACCATGACCGTGGAGTGATGGCCACATATGCTGGCTCGACCGGGGCCACCGCCCCCGCCCGGTCCTACTGCCTTAACCGAATTCAATTGGCAACTGTGCCCCGACCAACCAGGCGACTCTCTGCAGAATCAAGCTGGTCATCTCGCATTTTCGTCTTTATCAAATTGACGCCGTAATTTTCCTCGTCTTGGTCTTGTTGTCTGACCGTTGCTCCAGCACTCCTACATCATCCCTCCTCATTTGAGTTGTCCCTTGGGTCGGACCTCAAATACTCAACTCAAGACCGGTCATATTCAAATTTGAACACTCTGCCGACCAATGACTACCTCTTTTCCCAGACGAAACGCGGGCATAGCCTAACAAACCAGGCGACTGGGTCGACTTTCAGCCTTGAGCACAACTCGCAGCCGCTGTTGTCAGATCAATCGTAAGTTCTCGAAACTTCCACATCCTTGTCAGTGAGCAAAGTTCCCTAGCCAAATCAGCGGTTCGGATCCCAGTCGCCATTTGCAACCAACAACAATTCACTATGAACAACGAAAACCTGGTCGCACACCCTCAGCCTGACCTGAGAATCGGGGCTTCCGATTCTTGTACAAATTGTGCGATGTTTTCCCCATCCTTTATGGCTCTTGGTTGCACCTTCTATGTTGCACACAATCCTCAAATGTGTACTCCTTGGCCCATCCGGTGATACTGACCAACACACCTTCTATAGATTTCAAGCAAGCTCACAGCTACTATTGAGTCCTCCTGACTCAATCAACGGATCAGGGACTACGAGTGGCTACTCAACGTTGTCGACATTTGCTCATACAACTCTACCTAAGCCACATGTGAGCAATGTATCATCGTCTGACAACTTCAACGGTGTATCTGGTGGCCTCCTGTCTTCAAGCTGGGGAGATGCGTCGATGACGGGATACGAGCGACACAAAGCGTATGCTGTTCACTATGCTATCCCCGTTCTTTGCGCAACGCTGACCGGTGAAACCTTCTGTGCAGTGCAGCCACACTTCCGTCTTCCGCATATCTAGCGAATGGCATCTCGAGCCCATTTCTAACCAGATCGATGGATCCTCGTCAATATCAGCCCCCGGGACACCCCCTTGGCTCATCCTATGCCAACTCTAATCCCATGTCGAGACCCCACCAACCACCTTATTCACGCGGTGGCCACTTCCTTACCCAAGATCACCCCTACGCAGATGTCGGAGCCATGTCACAGAACGAATCGCCTGAATCCAAAGGCCCGGACTTTGCTAAGACGATTAATCACCAGAAGATTCTCAACAGACAAGGACATCAAGTCAAAGCAGAGATCGGGGCCAATATTCAAAAAGGATTCTTCCAGGTGGACAATAAGTGGACGTGCTATCGAAGGAACTATTTTGCCGTCAGCTGCTCTTTTCAGCTCAATCCGTTCCAAGACGAGACATTCTACATCCTCCAAGACAATCAACACAAGCAGGTGTACAGTTGGGCTCTATCCATCTCTGCAAAGACAGGCCCGGCCAACAATCAAGACAGTGAGCCAAGGGGCTTGGTACAGCATACACCAAAGCGAGACAAGCATGGCGAAAGTGTTCCTGGAAAGCACATTGTGGCACCACAGAACCCACATCATCTTTATCCTCATCATCACCTCCACCACAACCACCATCATCCTCATCCTCAATCCCACCATCATAGTGGCTTAGCCATGCATAACCCATTCTATGCATCCGCCGGATCTGGCTTACCCGCACTCGCACGCGGACACAACTGGGATTCCACTGTCAACGGCGAGCAAGCACCTCCGAATTCTTACACGTTCGAACGGATTCAGTTCCAGAAGGCGACCGCCAACAACGGTAAACGGCGGGCACAGCAGCAGTTTTTCCACGTGGTAGTTGAGCTTTCGGTCAATATCAGCCCTTCAAGGAGTCACCCAGAGTGGGTACTGGTAGCAGACAAGGTATCCGATGCGATGGTAGTACGCGGCAGATCGCCGGGTCACTACAAAGACAATCATCAGCGCCGCGACAGTCATGGACATATGGATGATAGTCGCAATGGAGGTAGTGGGTCTGATGGTGGACACATGTCTTACACTCCATACGATCCAAGTAGCTGGGGTGTGAGTGACAACGCACACAGGGGCCATCAGGCTCATTTTAGTGGAGGCACGCATCGAACATGCTTGTCTTCGAATGGTTCGCCACCAAGTGCCAGCTCATCTGCGACGCTAAATGGCTCGCCGACAGACGAAGACTTCAGCTTGTCCGATTCTGAGACGCTCAAGTCAACCAACATCTGCGGCCTCTCGCGACTGACACCGCCGTCTGAGACCGGCGTGGACTCAATCTTTCCAATCAGTCACAAACAAGCACTCGACGACGATAGCGTTGATGATGAGTCACCGTACCACTTCAATCCAACTCTTTGCGACAGTGTGAGCAGCCACGCCATGGAATACCCAGCATTTTCGCAGTCCAAGGCTCTTTGCGCTTCTTCATGAGAACGGCGGCGCTTCGACGCGTGCCGCACAAGGGAGGTTCGGCAGGGGCGCGAAAACATGGTCAGTCAACGAGACCCATGAATGACGAATGAGGAACGACATTTTCTTGGATAGGACGACGGCGTTTGGCGGTCTAGGGCGGGGACAATCGGAAGACCCAAGGAATGGCAGCTCCAGATTCAATGATCAAGATACCCCCAGTACATGGCATCGGAGCATGGCGCATTCAGGCAGCAGAGAAGGGATTGGTAGGTAAATGGGGCTCGAGCAGGCATTATGAGGTGCAGATTCGGGCAGCACAGGATGTAAGAGCGACTGTAGGTCGCGTGAACGGGTCGCTGTACGGAACCTCCTGGTGGTTCATGAACCTGCCGCTACAAATAATGTCAGGCTGTGGGTAAAGGGTTACGGAGGCCGAGTGTATGATAGCTCCAATATTTATTCGATGCCACATCACTTTCTAGGGGTCTAGGGTCTGTGATTGCCCTGAAACCCCCTGTTGAATCCGTCGGTAGGTGCCGGGCAGTCATTCAGGGCGGGTTGTTGCAGCCGCCGAATTCGTGCCTAGCCTATTTCCTCCACCGTCGACTCCTCTTACTCCCAGTTCTTGTGGCAAAAAGTACTGTCAGCAAGCACACTCATCCTAGTGTTTCGCCGACTTGAGCACAGGAGCTGAGTGTGACAACGTATGGGCGAGAATTGGTCGCAGGAACCGGCGTTCCGTTGTCCAATGCACTGGAGACACCTACTCGATTACTCTCACGAAGTACCAGCAGATGCATATCAGCTGAGAGCACTACCCCTGTACCCGATGCTCGAAGTACGCAGCAAGATGCGCCAAACGCTCCTAGGGGCTCGTCCAGACTCCAGCCTAGGCGTCTGGTCCCCGCATCTATGCCACTGACTGGCTCCGTCCGCCCAGATTTTAGCTAAAAGCATGCAAAAGGTCAATGGAGATTTAAGGCACAACCAACAGCCAGAAGCACTGTTCTGCTGGCAACCTAACGGACAATGTGACCGAGATCCAGCAGAACTCTAAGCATACAAGGTGTCACTCGCCACACATTGCCCTTTGAGAGCAAGGCACATTCCCAGGGCCCGCTCGATGCCGTCTGCTCAAGAAACGGTGAACGAGCTCAGATCGTCGATCTTCGTGCCCACCGATCTCCCTAGCTAAACTTCCGTATCCTAACCCCCCGCAACAGTCTTGGTGAAAGGCCTTCGATCTTCAACACCACGGAATGAAGAGCTAGTAAGGATCATTACAAATCTATGGGTCGAGCAGCCGAGCTCAAGCGGCGCACAACCAGTGCCGCATGCAGGCAAAAGGCTAGTTCTCCTGGTGCGGGCCAGTAACCAGAAGTACCGCACCTCCTCCAACAAGTGGCGTGGCTATGCAACACCCGAGCACCTGTTTCCGCGTTCTAAGGTCATCGCGGCGCACAATGCTGTTACCACCATGCGTATCAACTAAAGTGGCCCCCGATAGAAGCGCTCACTTGCATGTCGTCAAATTTGGATTTGGACATAGTTTGCGCGTAAGCTCTCGCGTGGAATATACCAGAGTACCCGGCAGGAGGCCGGCAGTTCAACTAAAGCCTACTAAAGCTTTTAGCGGCTTATGATTTTCCCCCCCGGCTTCCCACATGAACTGAAGCAACAGCATGCTACAGCGGCAAATCCCATGCTCAACTATTCCACAGATTTGCAATGCACCAGTGCTGGACTTGCCAAATGATCACCCCGATTAGATAGGGCCGATCACGCAAGGACGCTTGCCGCTCGAGTGCTCATGGTGGGAGTCCAGACCGACCAGGCCCAAGATTGTCCAGGCAACTGACTTCGGCAGCTCGGTCTTTCTGTGCACTCGCAGCGGGCTGGAAAGACGCGCATGCGCGTCATTGACGGCACTTAACCCCTAGCCCTCGGACATTGGCCAGCCCCCGGTCGTCAGCTGCAGCCACAATGACACCAGACGCACACATGCTCCGGGCTGAGGCTGAGATGTTCCCCAGACCAGATAATGGCCACCAGACACTACTCTCCCCCTCTCTCTCGCCTCATGGTCCAACACGTCCGGGTTCGAGTCCGAATGTCTGGTGAACCGATGTGTGACTAAGGTTTCGACCGCGTTCAGGCAGCGAGTTACGAGCTTAACCTTAATATCCACCGCCAAGTACTTACGTCGCGCTTTGTCGGTCAATGATCGGCCCAGGACATCACACGCACATTATGCTAGAGGAGAAGGTCTTGCGCCGAGATGTACTAAGCAGTTATCTGACAAGCCGATAACTCACTCCGTACAAGACGGAGAGCGGACAACATGTCGACTCTGGCAGAATACCCCCCCCCCCCAACCCAAGGAGCCACGAAGAACAAGCCATGCACTGTTCGGATGAGGCAGTGCGCAAGGCCTCATGAGAGCTGTGCAGCATCAGCCGGCCGCTCAGGTACCATCTTAAACCAGGCGGTGGGGATCGCAGGTGGCGGGGGCAGGACGCAAAGAGTTGGACTTGCTGGAACTGGATCCGTGGCTGGCGCACCGTTCTGCGAGGTGACGCTCATGAGGCGTCGACCTTGCAGGACGGCCCACGCGAGCAGTCGTGCCGTATATCGGGCTTGACTGTTGGGGCCGATAGGGCTCACGATGACAGCGGTAGCTGCAGAAGCACGGACTCACGGAGCATCACAACTACTATACGAAGTACGCGCTACATGGCGGTGCGGGACATTACCGAGAAGGACCCTACAGCGCCGACCTACCACTATTTCTGAGTGGGAACTGTCATGGTGAGAGGGGTACGAACTAGATACTTCGTAGAAATTATCGATCCCGACAACGCGGCGGCACGGCCGTTGCCTCGCGGATGACGCGCTCGCCACCGAACACACCGGACTCACCAGCCTTTGCACCCCTCGATGCGGACTCAAAGCAGCCACGCCCAAGGAGATGTTGCCGGAGTCCAAGGACAATATTGAGGCGGCGGTAGCCTAAGGTTGCTTGCTCTCTGCTCTGCTGGCCTGCTGCCATGGGCACGCACACTCGAATGCTTGGACGTGGTCGCTGAAACGTGGAGGAAGGCCGTTGAAATCCCCCTCAGCTGGCGTCGTCGTTGCGGTCTTTGAGCCGCCGGCTTGTGCGGCATTACTATATTCTTGATTCTTCCTGCTCAGAGGCCAAAGATCTGCATCTTGCGCACCTCTGGCTTCTCTGCTGTTCCTGGTGCCTCGGGTATCGATGTCGATATCGACCAGCCGCACATCGTCCCGCTGTGTCGTGCTATGCTGAGCATTCATTCTGCTGGCGGACTCCCGGCTTTCTATTCCTTCACGCATCCTGGCAGCTGTCACTCAATCCCGCCTAGATCCCATCATGATACTCAGCACACCCCCACCCCTCCTCCATCCCCCCTTCCCTCCCAATCAACCCTTCCGATGAAACCGACTCTCTACAAACGGCATGGCCCTCACCTCCGCGGCCCTCACCTTGCCCCTAATCTTGACCCCCACCTGCGTCCCCTTCTTGTGGAACCCATTCTTCACGTACCCCATGGCGATATTCTGCCCGCCCAGACTCGGGCTGGGCAGGCCGGAGGTGACGGTGCCGATGGTGTCACCATCAGGCGTCACGATCTCGGCGCCTTCGCGGGCGGCGCCGCCTTTGTCGAGGAGGACGAGGCCGACGCGGCGCTTGGGCATCGTGGAGGGCTTGGCGAGTTGGGGGAGGATCTGGGAGGCGCCGTTGAAGGGGGGGTCTGGTGGGTGAGAAGGAAGAGTTAGCGGTGGACCGGTTGGGTTGGAAAGAGGAGGGGAAGGGGGTGGTGGTGCATGGATGGATGGTGGGGACCTACCAGGACTGTCCCGGCGCGACTTTGCTACAACCCAACCTAACGCGGCCATCCCGGGTGTGACGGAGGTGTCGATGTCGTGCCCGTACAGGCACATGCCTGCTTCCAGGCGCAGGGAGTCGCGAGCGGCGAGGCCGGCCCAGCGCGCGGCTGGGTTCGAGAGTAGGGCTTTGGCGATGGATTGCGCGAGTGGTGCGGATGTCGTTATTTTCCTGCAGCGGAGCTCAGTCATATGTTCTTGGGTTGTAGAGGGGGGGGGGGGGGGGGAGGGGCAAATTTGCGCATAATAAGACATTCATAGCCCGCGAAGGGCGTGTGAAAGGGGCTTTGTGAGGCGAATTGCGGTGATGATGCGTGTAGGAATGGGAACTCACGTGTCAGAGGACGACTCCGGTGGGATCGAAATCTCGAAGCCATCTTCACCGGTATATCCTGCGCATTGTGTCAGCAAGGCAGTGACTTGAATTGGGAGGAGCTTCTAAAGCTTTTATATATCTTCTGGCGAAGAGTGATGATGGATCAGGAGAAGAGATGAGAGCAGTCTGAAGAGCAGGCCAAGCCTCTTGATGAGACAAGTCGATGCTGCCAACAAACATGGAATAGGAACATTGGAGGAAATCGACAGGACTTACCAGTACGACTGATCAACAAGCTGGGCGTGTTCAGGTCTGTCCCTTCTTTGGTGCAATCGCTTGGGATGCTCAGCTGCAGCCACCTCGACTGGCCGAAATACAGTGTCGAGAGGTCGTAATCTGTTTTGGGAGTGGACCACGTTAGAAGCTGGGGGGTAAGTGACGATGAAGCGATGCGAGAGCCTGAGCGGGAACTGTAATCAAACGCACGGGGAGGAGGTGCGTAGGACCACAAGTTCCACAGGTATTGTGTGGGCAATGGGGCTTCTATGTGTTGTGGATTGGAGCGGGATCGGCTGGAGCTATGGAGATGGTTGCTGTCAGGGTGGGGAGGGGATTTACCAGTTTGGTCATCATCCGAATCGCGGAAGATGAGAGGCTGTAGGACTTCGGCGGCTCTGGGGCCCTGCAACGCGAGAAGGGAGTGGTGATCGAGGATGTGCCAGGTGATCTGATCAGACGAGGCGTTTTCTGCTTTCAAAAAGGCATCCATCTGGGACTGGATGAATTTGAGGTCGTCCTCGCGGCAGCCGGCATTGGTAACAAAGTAGAAGGAGTCGCGCCCAAGGCGTGTGATGACTGTGTCATCCACAATGCCACCGCTGGAGTCGAGGAGGACGGATAGAGTGGAGGTGTGCTTGGCAATGTCTTTTATGGCGGAAGGGGTAATGGTCTCAAGGAAGCGGCAGGCCAGGGCTCCTGAGAGCTTGTGCTGCACCATGTGAGAGACATCAAAAATGGAGGCGTTCTCGCGAGTCCACTTGTGAGACTCTGACTGGGACTGGTCTGGATAGGTGAGTGGCATGGAGAAGTTGGCGAAAGGGACCATTTTGGCATTGGCAGCCACGTGCATATCGTATAAAGGCGTTCGATTGATGCTGTCCGAGGTAGAAGCAAAGCGTCGCTGCACAGTATTCGGGGCCAGTTCAGACAGTTGTGAGGAGCGAACGTGTGTTATCTGTGGTAATGGTGCAGACTGTTTGGGTCGGAGAGCCAATATGCTCAAGGCACGAGCGGTTGGACGCCATCTTGAGGTCTGGCATGATGCCCGGAGCAAGGGCTGGAGGCCGCGATTAGGCGGCATCCTGACAAGAGATAAGCTGGGCCTGAGCTTTCAGATGAGGCGGGAATTGAGCCGACTCGAAGATCCAAGTGTATAAAGCTGGTGTTTTGCCTCAGTCGTGTTCTGTTGGAGATCCGAAGATCCTTCAAACAACACTTGCTGGATTGAGCTACTATGTCAAGCAAAAGAGGAGTTGAGGAGGAGTTGGATGCCAAGCGAAAAGTAGGTTTCGGGCCACGGGGCGTTCTCGCCGGACGCCGCGAATGCCGCGCTGTTTACTTCATAGCAAAGACAACACTACTGTCACAAGGCGCAGATTGCACTCACAGTTCGAAGAAACCAGTACACGATTGGACAAACACGAACTACTCAAAGGGAGTGAAACCTTCCAGCTCGCGCGACATTGACGATGCTGAGACCTGGCGGCCCATCTCCGTACCTGACGCCATCAGAACGCCATCAGCAGTATCGCGGCAACAAACACCCTAAGCACGATCGTAAGTGTTGTTTTCATGACAAGCGAAGTAACCAGACCTCGAGATTCTAGGTTGTAGGTACTCTTGAACTCTCGCGTCCAGGCTCTGGTCCGGTCAGTGCCAAGATACAGGATACGGTGGAGCACAGAGACGCTTTCTTTAAGAACAACGTCATCGGCCAGCGCTGCACACCTCAACTCCCGCGAGAGAGTGCGTCGCAAATATCCGTTCCCTGAAGCGCTTCGCAAACCTCCCTCTGCGGTGCTATACCCCCTTGACATTCTAGGGACAGTATGTCTCTACTCGTAGTTGTGTTCCTCCTCGAACTCGCGCTGTACCTCATCACCACAGTTGGTGCGAAGCCGATCAATGAGTTGGTACGTGTCTTCCATCAGATTCAGAACGTGTTGTATGCTAATGAAGGATAGCTATGGCAGCTTTGGTGTAGGACGCCATTTGGCCACTCCAAAGATTTTCAAGACCAGATCCGACTTCGACGAGATGTCGTCAACAAGAAGCGGGAGCTTGCGGGCATTAGTGCGCAAGACGATTTCGCGAAGTGGGCCAAGCTGCGACGACAACACGACAAGGCACTGGAAGAGCATGATAAGAAAGGTACGCATATAGGGATGATTTGAGAATGGCACTGACTGATGTGTACAGCCGCTGCCGTCAGCGCTGGCCGCAGCAACTTTGACTCTCGAGCCACTATGTTTCGCTGGGCGTGCACAAGTGGTGTCAAATTTCTTTTACAGTTCTGGCACGCAAAGACGCCCATCTATACCTACCCTCGCGAGTGGTTCCCATGGCCCATCGAATTCATTCTCGGCTTCCCTCGCTGCCCGTATGGCGGGGTGAGCATCAACATCTGGAGCAACTCATGCGCTCTTGTCATTGCTTTAGTAGGCGAGCTTGTTGCATACGCATCCCGCTACGTGCAGGAGATCCGGAGCAGACAGCCACAGAAGGTAGCAATGGAGGCAAAGAAGGCCAAATAGACCACAATATAACAATCTTCATTGCCCATCAGACATGGTTCAATCGTTCTCGTCAACAGCTCACATGCCACTTTGGGATCATGCTTGCCTAAGTGCTTGACTCTATAGATTGTAAAATCATCACCTGAGCATCTTAATCACCGAGTCTGGTCCCTTCGACAGGACATCTGTGGTCACCCACTGCTTTGCCTTAAGCTACAGACTCAAAAATAGTGGTTCTCCGCGCCTCAAGAATAAGCCCCATCGAGTTATCTCACGCAGAGACAATCGCATAACTATTCATCTTCGACGAATCGCGCAACCGTCGCCTCCAGCACCACTCCAGCCTCGGACCTAACTGGCACCCTCAAGACCTCTCCCCTCACGTCCACCTACGAGTTCCAACCAGGCTTCCAGGCCACCGAAGTGTTGACGGACTCGTATCTTCATCCATCCGCCCTTCCACTCTGCTCTTCACCACGCAGGTTTCGTCGAGGGCATGCGAACGGCATCGAGGTCGGATCGAGGGTATGGAGAAAAGGTGCCGTGCGGAGAGACGGCGAGTGTAAGCCGCGTTGGGTATGCTTTTATGGCGGCGCCTTGCGGCAAGTCCTGCACAGAGTACAGGTGGTCCGGGGACTTTCTCCCGAAGCGAGGAGGGCATGCATCTTGCCACGAGGGCGGACGCTACGCGTAGGCTTCGAATGCGATTCTTTGAGCGCGGAGAGTGTGTAGAGGAGAGAATGCTGCTAGTGCTTGCGAACTTTTTTGAGCATGAGATTTCGCCAAGGGGAACTTGCATCTACGGGTCGTATCGTCCGACGTACAGCAAGTCGACTTCTTTGCTCCTTTTACATTCTTTGAAACATACCATTCCTGAACACGAGTCGGATCATTCTGCCAATTTCGTTCGAGTCTCTTGAATGAATCTATCCGATGATGCTGCAGGAGTGTGAAGAGCTGTCTGGCTATCTCGGAGACCCCTCCGCCGCTTCCGCGCCCGAGTAGCAAGCACCTGACTGCCAATCCATGGCTAACAAGCTGATCGTACAGGCTAGTCTCTGCCTCGTGAGAAAGCCTTCGTGATAAGACGCACCGCAGAAAACCGATTGATAGGTATGTAACGATGTAAGACTAGACCCATGGTAAGACGAGTCGACAGCAAGCGGATGTGCCGACATCAATGTATACTTGGCGGCTGTTTGCTGATTCCAGGGATAGTAGTGGCCTTCGGCCATGCTATGGTCTGGTCTCGGACGAAATCTAACGATCTAGACAATCGCGACTTTGTTGTTTCCTTAAATCAGATGCAGGAGTGCGATGCCTACCTTGCGCAAACATCCTCCAGCTGGACAAACCAGCGCCGTTTGCAGCTTCATACATCGCAAGCGCGGATTTGAAACTACTTATTCTTGTAGCTTGTGCCGGCTCAAAGTTTTCATCCTTCGCGACCGAGCTGGATCCTACGATCCCGAGCATGTCGAGCTTTTCCAAATGCCCGACGGCCAGAACTGAAACTCCCACCTCCGCCATGCTACCAAAATGTACGGTACGGTCAAATATCAGGCAGCAATAACAACGCCCCACTCGAGCACGCCAACTTGCCCTGGCGGCTTCAGCGATGGCCAGTCCACGACCTTTTCGTCCCTGGGTCCCCTGAACCAAACATATCACCATAGAATCTTAGATATCTGGGATCGTGGCCTACAACAACAGATTGTCTGGTATCCGACTTCGCCCAAAGCACACCCTGCCTTGCCTTTCTATAAGCAAATCCTATTTCACTCGCTGATTGTCACCTCTTGGCCAGACAGGCACGTCACGAAACACAATAGTGAAACCTCTTGTTGGTGACAATATCACAGCGGTGACTGCTGGCCCAACAACAGTCACTACTGCCCCGCAAGGCGCATTTCAAGTGACGGACCGGCATCACCAGTGATTATAGAACTATAAAGCACTGACAATATTGAATATTCTGTGCGGTTATTTCTTCCTTCTACACATACTTGATCCGCAGCCCTACAGCTGTTGAAGACATTTGCACGACATTTGCGCGCAAAGCAATAATCTAATCCACTCACGCCCTTTCACTCTCCACAATGGCGGATCCATCGAATCAACAGCTTTCCAAGGCGCGCGACGCGTCGACCGAGCCCCCATCTTCCATCTCCAAGCTTGTTCCAGTTCCTGGCAATGACATACAAAAGCCGCAGCCCGATCAAGCCAATGACCAACCTTTTGGCGACGGTCGCGATGCTTGGACAACTCCAGGACCGAGAGCATTGGGAGACGCCTTCATCAGCAATGGCTCTCCCCCTTCTACCGGCATACAACTCTTGGATTTGCCTGTAGAAATTCTGGGACTGATCATCGCCGAAGTGATCAATGTGTCCCCAATCTCGTTGGGATGGTTCGGCTATTCCATCTTGCCGCGCACCATAAAGCCCAGCTTCGCCCTGGCACCTCATGAGAACGTTGTTGATGGCGACAGATTTATGCCATGGTATACAAATCTCGAACAAGGATCTGGGGGGTTACCTGCCAATGGGCTAGCCGTTCTTCGCGCTTGCAACAAGCTATATGAGCTCGGTCTTCGCGCCCTCTATGGTATGCACGAGTTTACCACTTATTCGGCTGAAGCATTCCGGTGTTTGTTCACCAAACACATTGGCCCAACAAAACTAGGCTTCATTCAGAAGCTGACGCTGGGCCTGCCTCACGCAGTCAAGACGAAACCTTCAATGTATCTTGGCCGATATATGAGAATGGTAGAGAACATGACAGGTCTGCAGAAGTTAACAGTCACAACCACTACGCGCGGCTTGCCTCGAACCCACGTGCCTTGCAGCCATTGGGTGGAAGTCAATAGAGGCCTCCTTCACCTCGCGAGCTGGACCACATTGAGATCACCAAGACTCAAATATGCTGTTTGGGAAGAATCCGGCACGGTACTCAATAATAGGATTGAACAGCGCTGGTCTGATGGCCGACTTAGCGTTGTCATCGGCACCAAACGCCCGCGGAACCTCAGACAGATGGCCAATCCCTTAGCAGCGATGGAACGAAACTCGCGCCTCTGGGATGAACGAGCCGCCCTTCGGGAAACGCTCCACGCGAATTATCTCGCTATCTGGAACTACGAGGAACAAATGGTCGACTATCTTGCTTGTCAGGTTCATCTCGAACTCCTCAGCATCACCCCGTTCGTTATTGTGGAAGATGAGTGGGACGACTACGATGATATGATTGAGGAGATGCAGCTGCCATCCCTGCCAATATATCCCCAGCTTCTTCAGATCACGGCTGCGGAACTAGACATTTTCCACCGTGAGCCCGAGACGATCGAGTCTCCTTCTGGTCTGCTCCTGAACAGCTGGAAGATCCGACGGGTGGGCTTCGAGAAACTTGGACAGGAGGAACATTGCCGGCCCTACGAGTACCAGCTGCCGCCATCTGCTTCGGGTTCTGAATCGGTCACACCAGCCCTTGAAACGATGAGCGGCAACGTGCTTGCGGAGGAGCTATATCTCCACAACAAGAACGAGTTCAGTAACATGGCCAACGTTCCAGAAACATTCTCGGTCGAACGTCTTTTCGATCTCGCTGGCAATAAACAGCAGAGAAATGTCAAAACCGAACTGTACAACAAGGACGGTCCGCCAATTGTGCCATATGTGGAGGAGGAGCAACTTGAAGAGGAAGATTTCTACCTGACGGATATGTTCGAGCTTGTATGGCCTTTCACTGAAGCAGCGGATCCGGCGGGGGCTCCTGACCTGGCCGATGACCAGCCTTCTAGACCTGCATTATCGACACGGCATGAGGTCGAGGAGCAAGCTTCCACAGCGAGGCTTCCAGACGTCACCATCAACGATTTGCACCCACGTTTTCGCCTTTGGGTGACCCCGGACAATGCTAAACAAGACGCCATTCGCAGCAATAACCATCGCCAGCAAGCATTTCCGGAGCTGCATGAATACGATTCGGACTGGGAGAGCCAGGCGAGCGATGAATGGGACGAGGACAGGGAATTTAATACGCGGCAGCCTCAGTTCGACCCCTTTCAGTAATTTGGCGGATGTATTTCGTCTTGCTTCCCAATGCTCAAGCAAAGAGGTATCAGGAGCGTTCCAGCGATGATCAGAGTAGTGGTAGATAGACCCCCGAATTCGTACCTACGAGTTTGTGCAATCGACTATACGCAATGATCTCTCATTCAACCCATTGTTATCGTCAAACAGCAGGGAGATAAGAGAAACCTCAACAGTGAGCCGTTGACTTCTATCATTCTGACAGTCATTCATCTACTAACACTACTCAACCACCACCCCAACTCCACGCCCAACCTCTCCCCCTGATCATACATAATCAGATGCCCCGCGCCCTCAATCTCCACCACCTCCCTCGCTCCCAACGCCCTCCCCAACCTCCCCGCGATCTCCACCGGCAACCACCTATCCTCGCTCCCCCACACCACCAACACGGGCATACTCTTCCCCACCTCCGCATACCTCCGCTCCACGTCCTCCGGCACACTCCTACTATTCGCCTGACACATCTGCCTCACAAACCCCTTCCTCCCCTCCTCCCCCCTCAACCAGGGCGCCTTCAACGCCTCCATCGTCTCCCTCCCCAACTCCTTATGCGCCGCATCCCTGATATAGCTCTCGACCACCCCCTCAAACACCGGGCCAGTCAATTGCGTAAACACACCTTCATTCTCCGCCACGAGCTTGAAGAGCGGGTGCCCAAAGGGGCCGATGGCCACCACGTCAATGAGACACAGGCTCGCGAAGGGCACGCCGTGCAGCAGGTGCGCGCGCAGCGCCATCAGGCCCGCGTGGTCGTGCGCCACGACGTGCGGAGGCCGGTTCTGCCAGCCCTGCGACGCGTCCGCGGTCCAGAAGTCGAAGAGCGCGGCGGCGACGGCGGATTGCTGCGCGAGGTCGGCGTCGAGGGATTCTGGGGCTGTGGGGATGGCGGCTGGGAGTGGGGTGCCAAGGGGAGAAGCGCCGAAGCCGGGGTTGTCGAAGAGGTAGATGTGGAAGTGGCGCGAGAGGCTCAGGGCGAAGGGGTGCCAGACGAGGGAGGACCAGGGCGTGCCGTGGATGAAGATTAGGGGTGGGGAGGTAGGGGAGCCGAGGGAGGTCCAGTGGATGGTGTGGCTGTGTGTGGAGGTGTTGTGGTGGAAGCGTTGGTCGAGGCTGATGGCTTTTGGGGGGGCGGGGTTGGTGCTGTTGGACGGCATGGTTGGAGGAGATGCGACGAGGTGTTGTTATGCTCGTAGAGTGAGGACGGTGAAAGTTATGGCATAAGTGTTATTGAGTAGTGATATATGGAGGGCGCCATTGTTTGCCAGGGCGCGCAAACCCTGGCGTGACGTAGATGCACAGAGCGCGTATAGCAACACTTATCAGGGTACTCATGGCCTGCATCGGCGCTCGAAACCCCGACTGTCAAAAGACCCTTGCTTGGAAATCTGAGTGTCGTTGTACGCCATGACACGAAAATGCCTCTCAGTGTCACTGTTAGTTGGACTCTAGGGATCTTGGCCTATCGATGCTTGATCGGAGTCTAGCAGTTCGGTCTGTTATGATAGGCCGAGGCGTATATCCTTTCCGCGGGGGGGAGAGGTGGTGGGATTGGCCCAGACGCCTAAGCTTTAGGCGTGTGTTGCGCCCAGCATTCCAGGCAGTAAAAGCGCATCATTGAGTGGTCACCTATATCCTACTGTATCTGAAATACAGCAGAGTAACTCATCACTTGACAAGCTTCAAGCTTGACCATGTAGATCCACTCCTGGTCGCTCTCTACATCGCGTCTTACTCCCGCCGAACCACCGGGCCAACTGCATCAAACTGTAACCACCTCCACAAACCGCCCACAGAGCATCGCTCTAGTTGCCAAACTGCAACAACCTCTCCTGCACCGGCAGATAAGTTCTCGGTCTAGGTCCATCGCGCTCAAACGTGCCGCTCTTCGGCGCCCCAAACACCAGCTGGCTCTTCAAGTCCCAGGTGGCGGGCAGCTTCCACTCCTGTAGCACCTGCGTCGCAAACGCCGGGCTGAAGTTGTAGTGCTGGAGATTACAGCCCACACCTTCGACCGAGAGCGCTGTCCACACTGCAAAGTTGAATGTCAGTATGATGGTTTCATGACAAGGGGGTAACTGTTGTCTTGCGTACCAAAGAACTGGTGCATGCCACTAGAATGCTCGCTCCACTGCGGCAGCATGCCCGCCACAGCGGGATTCTTCTCGGCCATGCCATCGAGGGCCGCCTTGTCCTCGAACCACATGACGGTGCCGTACGCGGCCTTGAATCCCGCGACGCGAGGGGCCAGTGCTTGATAGGCCTGTTCGGGCATCATCTGCTTCAGTGCGGCGTCTGCAAAGTTCCATAGTTTGTCGTGCTCGGCTCCAAACAGGATGACGGCGCGGGTTGATTGCGTGTTGAAGGGTGAAGGGCAGTTCGTGATGGCGTGTGCCACGATATCTTGGACGCGGCCGTTGGGTATGGGGAGGGACTTGGAGAGGCCGTAGATGCTTTGTCGGGTTTCGATGGCGCTGAAGAGGGGGGAGGTGGTCGCTGAGTGGTCTGAGGTCATGGTTGCTGGTGCTGATTGGAAAGGGTCGAGATCTTGCTTGGGGGAATGACAGGCTGGTAGGAGTGTGCTCACTTATATTCACCACTGCTTCTTCGGAACGTCCTGTTCACTCGGGTCCGGCCTTAGCAATGCTCCGCTCACGAATGAATCTGCCACAAGTCATACCGTCGTGGGCTTCGCAATACATTCCGCGGCCTTGGGCAATCTTGACTCCATACGGCATCGTCAACCATGCACGAGAGAGCTCGCTCGTAGTGAAGCCAAATCTCCAAATGGACTAGCGCATACGAGGTCGATTTCTGATTGGTCCTGGCCCTTTCTGCGTGACAGGCACGTAAACCCGGCCAGCATCTCCGCTGTGCTTGCTTACTTGATCAGCAGGGGCAACTGGGCCTGCTTGCCTGTAGAGGATGGATTCATAGTTACGTGGTACCTGGCCGAGGTGTACAAGGCTGCGGCTCGGTCGTCTTCATCGCGCCAGTCAGTACCCTGCTGCTCCGAACGGACCCTTAGGCTAGGCTCACTCAGTTAGGCGGGCAACAGCGCCAGCGAACAGGCCAGCAGGGCGCGCGCCAGACTTGACCTGCAGATGCCTCTCCGTATGTCATAATTCCTGCACTTCCCGTATGTAGAGTTCTGTAAGGCTTACTAACACTTTGAGATAGCCCGTTCAGCACCGCGCTTAAATAACCGGAGGAAGTGATTGGTTCCGGTCGAGCCGTCGACACGAAGTGGAGCGGTTAGCCTCGCCCCAGCATCAACTACGAACGCGTGGTCAGTGTGAGTGCTGCCTACTGGAGGTCTCATGCCACTGCTGGGATCACAGTGAACACTGCGGCCTGGGCACGAGCCAAAACGAAGTGCACAATGAGGCAACCAACATCTTCGGATCCCAGTCCGCACCAACGACACGGGTCGACAAAGTCTCGCGGGGGTTGCCTCACCTGCAAGGCCCGGCGTGTGAAATGTGACGAGACTCAACCGCAATGCCACCGTTGCCGCAAAGCTCGACTGACCTGCAAGGGATACAGTGAACCCGCGCCCAAGGTGGCTGCTGCGGGCTTCGTTCACTATGTCGTCGACGTCGACAACAGCCTCAACCACCTACCCGACATCGATCAGCGCGAGAGAAGGGCATTGGTGGTATTCCACCAGTCCATCGGCCCTGAACTTGCGCGATCCTTTGCTTGGGCGCTATGGGCTCGGGACATTCCACTGGTTGCTGTGCATCACGATGCGACGCGCCACGCGGTCATTGCCCTGAGCACTGTGTACGAGCAGTACTTCCTTGCTCTGCACCAAGCGCATGCCGGCATCTCGGTCTTTGCACTGGAGCAGTACAGCAAGGCTTTGTGCGGCACGATGAAATTGACTCTCAGGCACAGCGCCGAGACCGTGGAGGTCGCCTTGCTCAACTGTCTGCTGTTCGCCGCCATTGAGAATCTCCAGGGACACTATCGGTCTGCCATGACCCACATGGACAGCGGCCTCGGCATCCTGGCCGAGTACTACGATGCAAAGACCGATACCTATCCCGAGGTTTACGTACCGAGGGTACACTTCCGGCAGGCTTTCGTCCGCATTGAGAGTCAAAGGCTCGAGATGGGAGACATGGGATATGGCCAAGCTGCACCTCACCTGGTCAAGTGTGTCCGGCGCATTCCGGCAGCGTTTCAGTCGTTGACGCAGGCGACCCTGGCGATGAACGTTCTCGTCAACAGAACACTCCTGTTCATGCAGGACATTGAGGCAAGTAGCATCTACCTGTCAGACGGAGAATGGCGGGTGGCCTTGGTGTTGCAGAGGCGCCGTGAGCTGCTGTCGCGCTTCGAGGCCTGGTGTCACGCCTTGAACAACATGCAGCCGGATAACACCAACAACGTCGGCAGCCTGGCGTTGCTCGAGTTCTACCGCACCTACCTCGGCATTCTGCTCCGCGTGGACCTGCGGGGCGGCCAGGTCGGCTTCGAGGCCTTGGAGAAAGAGTTCCAGGATATGGTCATCCTGGCCTCGCTCTTCATCAGCAGCGTCAGCACGATCCTGCCCGGCTACAAGCCTCCGCAAAAGCGAATCGAGGTCACCGTACATTCGTACGAAGGCGTTGAGCATGTCCCAGAGCCTCGACAATGTCCGGGCGCATGGCTGGGGATTTCCCCGGATTCAACACCGGTCGCTGGGTGCGACTGGGCGGCCACTCTGCCTGAGCCACGACTAAAGCGGCCTGCAACGCCGTTGCTTCCGAGGCCGGGCGACTTCTACAAGCCGTCGTATTCGGTGGGCTTGTCAATCATCGAGCCCTTGCTCACGGTTTGTATCCGATGCAGAAACCCTCGCATCAGGCAGCAAGCGTTGCAACTACTGAAGATGTGCAATCGCAAAGAAGGGATTTGGGACTCACTGATCACGGCCACGGTGGCTGAGCGTATGATTGAGCTGGAGGACAGCCAAGGTGCCGACGCGCACAGCGATGGCGGTACTACACGGTTCCTCATCGCCAACATGCAAGCTTTTGTAAGTCATCAGGTCACACAAATCCCCAGGCTGGGAGCAGATGTCGTCGGAACCCATGCCTGTCGCACGTTTGCTAACGATTTCCAGTATGTCGATTCAGGCCGCGCGGTCGTCTATTATGCCAAAGAGTACATTGCTGATAGCGCCGCGCTTTCGCAGGAAGAGCCACGGTATCAGCCGTACGTTCAGGAGAGATGGGCCTTCTGAGATGCCATACTATACACCTAGAAGAGAGCAGCGTATGCCGCGATGTCTCCCAGATCACCAACGACCAATGCTGCACCTAAATTGGCTTTGTCGATGAGGACGGTCACTCGATATGACCGTGCAGCTGATCGATTGTAATCTGGGGGCCACGGTGTCAGCTTGGCGTACGGGCCGCACCTGCTTGTTGGCTACCAGCACGACGGTGCGCAAACGGCGGCCAGCGTCACGACGCACTGGTGGCATCCTGGATACGACGAAGCGGGTGAGATGTGACGCTCGCGACCGCAGAATAATAATAACTCACTGCATGTATCAGCGTTTCCGAAACCTACCCTAGGAGCCAAGCGTGCAATCTCCCGGTCAAACCTTGTAGAGAGATGGCCATCTGGAGAACACGACATGTTTCTTGTGTGGACGAGATGCTAAGAAGTGAGCTGCAAGGGTTGTGGTTTGCTGCGTTTACCGAAGATTTTCAGCCCTAAGGACAGACGCTTCTCCATGATGCCACCTAATGGATGGGAAAAACTCAGGCGACCAAGTTGGTCCTTTTGGAGCAGATTGACAGGAGACTGCGAAGCGCTGGAGCCGTCAGATGATCCCGCCGAGGTCTCAGCAACGCCGCTGTGCTTGTGGGATGCAGTGCCTGTCACCGGCCTTGTTACAAGCATGAACAGGCACGGAGGACTCCGTACGGAACAGCCACTCTGCAATCGAGAGCGCAGAGCGTGACGAGCACGCGGAACCAGGCTGTGACTTATTGGGTAACAGCTCAAAAGTGCGGAGCGCGGGAACAAGCTCGGCAACAGCGGCAGGATTTGCCATGTAGCACACCAATTCTCCTTGTTCTGGGAGGCTGAGACTCGTGTTGCAGGTGTCATCGTTCCGTACATACAGTAGGCGCAAGTTGTCCAAATGATATGTCGATGCAATCATTTCAAGCTGTTGACGATCGGCCATCGTTGATTACACCTGCCGCCAACAAGGTTAGCCATAAAGAGACCTCATCACTGATTGGCCACAAGGTCGGGCGGGCCACGCAGGTGGCTGATGGATACAATAAAGCCGCCTTCCTTGCATATGTATTATAGGGGTGGTGGTTATATACAGCGACATTTGGGCTGCCCTTTCAAAAGATCTGTGACACGATGATTCTTGACCGATCCCGCAGCACAAGAATTCTCCTCAGCGCACCAAAACGGAGGTACAGCGTCGGCACCCACATCCCCAGGGATCAGGGGTAGCGCCGGGAGGAAGATTGGTGTGTCACAACAAGACAGTGCCAAGTCCATCCAGTCGGTAAATTTGATTGAGCTGATGAGCTTAGCACTGCTAGCCTGGCAGAAGAAGCGAGGCAGACTGTGGGAGCAATGGGAGCAATGGGAGCAATAAGGAGCATCCTAGACCGGGGGGTGCCTGAGTGGAAGCGTCACACGTGGGTAGGAGTGGTGCGCACCTGCTAAATCTGTGTGGTAAATAGGGTCTTGGCGTCTTGTTGCGGATTAGGGCATGGCTTGGCGAGGCTTAGGGCCAACGTACCAAGACCCCCTGAACCACTTCCTCTCCTCTATCGACCCTCAACGGTTCCTCTCCTCCTCTGGATCTTGCCTGCACCTTGCCTGTAGCTTGCCACCATCCGCCTGGCCCGCCTTTGCGATGCTCCCAAATTTCCACCTTCTGCTTAACCGGGCCGTAAGATGCGACTTTCACGCCTGATCCTCGCTTCGTCCCCTAGTCATAGCTTCTCTTCGATTGGCTCGACTTGGTTTCTCCGGGTTTTCTGTACGGTGTGTTCAATGCTTGTATCCCCCCTGATTCGTCCCCTGGCCCTTCGCCTGGTCTGGATTCCGTATTTTTCGAGCAGAAATCCGATTCCACCACCGCCGATGGCCGAGCTTAGTGGGATCCTTTCAACACCTCACTGCCTCGCTCACTCACGCTGTTCCAAATTGGGATCAGCAAGTCTAAGGCCACACCATATTGGTGGATATTCGTGATGTTGGAGTCGCCCGCGCATCTCTCCACTAGCTTGCTTCTAGTGGCGGAGCTGTGATATCTCGCGCCTTCCTTCAAAACCATCTGCCACCCACCACGACGCTCTCCTCCTCCTCACTGTTGTCCTTCCTTTTTGTACCTTATTCTCCCTTTGCAGGCAGGTTAGCTTGCGTCCTTTCGTTAATCATGGTCTTGAACCGACCTCACGCTCTTTTGGCTGCGGCCACCCTTTTGCAGTTCACCTCTGCCTCCATCGCCGCCCCCCCGGCCGGTGAGGAGGTGGTTGTGACCAAGACTGTCACCAATACTCACACCATCTGCCCCGCAACAACCAAGCCTCCCGTCTGCTCCCCATCAGGAGGTCTTATTGACAAGATTGGCGATACGATCGGCGACATCATTCCTGGCATTGGAGGTGAGGGATGGGGCAACAACAAGCCCCAGGACCCTAAGGAGGATGCCGACCTGTGGCAGAGCTGGCTCGACAGAATGAGCAAGGATGCTGCTGATATCGCCTCGTCGATCGGGCACGCGAAGCCTACCTGGGGTGACTGGAAGCCCACTCCTACGGGCGATGACGGCCCTGGCCCTACCGGTGGCTCTTCCACCACCTCCGGCTCCGGCACCAACCCAACAAATCCCTCCGGCTTCGCGAAAGAGTGCACAGAACCTATCAAAGGCAAGCCCCAGAACAAGTGCAACAAGGCTGGCAGCCGATCCAAATGGTGCGACGGCAAGTCCATCGACTCCGACTACTACAAGGACTACGACTCTGGCAACACTTGCAAGTACACTCTTGAGATCACCAACACCACCCTCAGCTTCGATGCTGGCCCACAAATCTCCTTTGCCGTCAACGGCCAGACCCCAGGTCCCGTCATTGAGTGCAACTGGGGTGACTGGGTTGAGATCAAGGTCATCAACAAGCTCCAGAACAACGCCACCACCATCCACTGGCACGGTATCCACCACAAGGGCACCAACGACCAGGACGGTGTTCCCGGTGTGTCTGAGTGCGCTGTTGTTCCTGGTGGCTCTCGCACCTACGCTTTCCGTGCCAGCTCCTATGGTACTGCCTGGTACCACTCTCACTTGCTCGCTCAGTACGGTGATGGTATCCGTGGTCCCATGATCATTCACGGTCCCGCCACCGCTGACTACGACATTGATATGGGCCACGTCATGGTCACCGACACCTTCCCTGCTGGCACTGCTTTCGCTCAGGCTGACCGCATTGCCCACTTTGGCCAGGCTGGTCTCGTCACCAACAACTACCTGCTCAACGGTAACAACAAGTCTCCCTCCGCTGGCACTGGCAAGCACACTCTCTGGTCTGTCCAGAAGGGCAAGAAGCATCTGTTCCGTTTCATCAACGGTGCTGCCATGGAGATGTACTCGATCCGCTTCGATAACCACAAGATGAAGGTCATCGCTGCCGACTTTGTGCCCATTGAGCCCTATGAGACTGAATGGCTCAACATCGCCTGCGGTCAGCGCTACGATGTCATCGTCGAGATGGACCAGCCCTCGTCCAACTACTTCCTCCGTGCTGTTACCCAGACTTCTTGCCCTTCGACCCCTGTTAACGATGGTCTGGGCTTCGCCAACGGTATCATCCACTACGATGACTCCGTCCTGGCTCTGCCCAACTCCACCTTTGGCAACCGCACCAAGGCGTCCTTTGCTACCTGCGTTGACGAGCCCATTGGCAAGCTGGTGCCCCACCTCAAGAAGACCGCTGGCTCCGTTGAGCTGTTCACCGATGGCCAGAAGGCCCTCCCTGCTGGTCGCATTGCTCAACCTGGTACCAACAACAACTCTGTTGTCCAGTGGTTCTTGAACAACCAGCTCATGGACATCAACTACACCCAGCCCACTCTCCAGACCCTCGCCCAGAACCCCGCCATTGTTGACAGTGTTGAGGCCACCAACGGCTCCAGCATTGTCCGCAACTCTGTCGTTCTGCACCAGAAGGGCAAGTGGTACTACTTCATCATCCGCAACCTGTTCTTCGCCTCTCACCCCATGCATATCCACGGCCACGATCTTTCTCGTAAGCTCACATCCACTCCCTCCCAACTACCTCGGCATTAACATAGCTCTAGTTCTTGGCCAGGGCAACGGTGACCCGGTCATCGCCAACCTGAACTTCGTCAACCCCATTCGTCGTGACACCATCATGCTCAACGGCTCTCCCGGTCCCGCACAGGGTGGCGGCCCAGCCGGCTACTCGGTCATCGGCTTCGAGTCCGACAATCCAGGTGCCTGGCTGATGCACTGCCACATCGTGTGGCACGTTGAGGGCGGCATGGCGCTGCAGTTCATCGAGGCACCCAAGGACATCAATGCCGGCAAGTACGCCGACAAGTCCGAGTTCAAGTCCGAGTGCGCCGCCATGACCACCTACGACGCCATCCCGGGCAACAAGAAGCCAGAGGGCACCTCCGGCCTCAAGCGCGGCCTCGAGGACATGGTGAACGCCGATGTCGTCCGTCGTGACATGAGCCGTCATGCTCACGCCCACCGCAGCTTCTAAGTCTTGAAGGGCTTAGTAGGTGGTGGTGGTGGTGTCGATAAAGCGTGCGGAGATATGCCCGTCACGAACGCAAAATACAAGGAAAGGTGCCCATCATGTTTGTTAATCCTCACAATCGGTCGGCGTCCCAAGAGTGCGTGTGACGGAGCACAGGACGATGTGTGTCTAGTGCACAAAAAACTTCACCTATACTAAAGCGAGAGGGGGTGTGGGTTCACCATGTTAAAGCCAGCTCTGTCCATGTCATAGGCCCATAATCATTTCTTGTCTGTTGCGACAGTCGCATGTCGTTAATCTATACATAGCCATATGTTTTTCTCTTCTTGCCGCCCCCCTCAGAAGAACCGTTCAATTGTTCTTTTCGAATGCGCCGTGCGTGTAGTGGACAGAGTCAAAGACGTTTGACGGCCCATGGCCTGAACGAACTGTGCTCTCCACGATGAGGGCCCGGCGGTTGCGCGTCCTAGGCCCCACAGCCGCAATTTACTGCCATGAAGTGATCGTCCAGGATCTTCCAGCCAATGTTCCTGCCGGGTACGGAGGTACCCAGCGATCTTCCGACGCAGAGCTGAAAGATCCCACCTTACGGAGTACCTGCACCCCTGACTCTGATCACTCTTGCGAGATCCGGTTTCTCCACCGACCTCACAAGCACATACGAATACGGTAAGCCAATCTCTAAGCTCCGACTCTCCGACTTCCCTTCTGTGCAGTGTCAAGCGACACACAGCCTCTGTACGAGCCACTACTCAGGCGAGAGCAACTCAGCGAACGACACTGACGCACGAGGTACCTCAAAATCTGGAAAGGAAGATTTCTCCCCAAGTCTTCGCTTCGCAAACGTCAAGGCTTCAGGGGTCAGCAAGCAGGCATCGCCCGAGAGAGCTCTGCTGGTTGGCGCGCTCCTTGGCTCAACAGATGACGGCGACCGAAAGCGCCGGGCTTCGTTAGGCTCATGTCATGGTAGCTCATGGCTGCTGGAGGAGCGGGGGGCGCAATCTGCGGAAGCGCTGCTGTACCGCGGTCCGCAGCATGCACCACATTCGTCGTTTTGGGATAGGAGGTAGCAGCCAACTGGCTACGGTGGGATAGATGTAGGATGCTCTTTCAGCTTTTCTTCCATCTGCATTATTAGGCTACACGTTGGAGCTCTTGACCGGCAGGCCTGAACAATACTAGAGCCGGTCTAAGGCCACCTACTACCGCAGGCTTTTCGTTCGTGCCGTTCGTAGCTCTCCATTCCCGAAGTATTCGCACCGACAACGCCGTACTCTCGGACACGTTCGGTCTCCAACATATCTTCGACACTAACCAAAACACAGTCTTCACCAGATCATTCCTGAGTACGCCAAGAGGCTGGAGACCTCTCCATTTTGCCTTACGCCGTTGGTACACACTGCCTCGCCACCTTCACCCCTCAAGGATAACCTCATGCACAACGAACAGCAGCACCCTACCCGGCCCCACGAGTCTCTCGTCCTCGACCCAAGCACGATGCCCCTCCAGCTTCAGATTCAGCTCGTTCTCCAATCTATCGCGCCGGATGCGCGCCATGTAGCCGAGCATGACCGCCTTGTCGCGTAGGTCGTTCGCGGCGCAGGTATTTGGCTCGCTGGTACGAACGAGGAGAGTCTTGACATGCTGACTGGAGACGATGGGGTGCGGCTTGCGGTGGCGGTGGTTGTCGCTCTCGAAGAATTCGGGCAGGCTGGTGTGCAGCCAGAGGTCGTCGATGCGCAGGAAGCGGCCCGCCATGCGAATCAGAAGGGTGAGTTCATGCTTGAGTTGCTTGCAGGCTTGCACGGATCCTGCGTAGGGTAGATCGATTTTGTAGTTCTTTGTCAAGAGGGCAGAACCCCGTTCCTCGAGGGTGGCCGCCGGTTCATCTGAGTTGTGTGTCTGGCGTCTGCATCTGACTTTGGCGGGGGAGGCGAGGAGGAAGGTCCAGATGCGCTCGCGGATCTCGAAGGGAAGAGTGAGGAGGTGTTGACAGCGGAGGCGGCGGGGAATGCGCATAGTGACTGATACGTACACTACTGCAGGTCTTATTGACTTGTTAGCAGATGTCGACTCTGACTTACGGTCGTTCTCCAACAGCGCAATCGATTTCAACAATGCTGCACCTGGATTACAGTTGCTGAGTGGGGGTAAAAAAGTCTCAGAATATGTAGCAACCATGAGAAACCTGATATGACTTCGTGGGTGAAAGTCATATAAGGCTATGGTGGTATACATCTACGACCTGCCTGGAAGCAAGTTGTCTGGCCCAGTGTGACACAGCAGGGCGATTCTAGCATGCCTGGGTTTACACTTTCTTTCTTGAACAGTGAGCTGAACAACCTGCCACAGTCCATGTTCAAGACAGCAATCATATGCTAACGTACATAGCCAAATACAAAGGCTACTGTCTCGTGGGAACAAGACTGTTTTGCTCTGCTACTGCAACAGTGCTCTAGGTTGCATTTCGAGCTTGACCTCTTCAGGCACCGAGCTAGCCTTATTGGGAATATACCTTGGTTGCCAAGACCTGGTCGCTAACAACCACAAGGCAAAAAAGGGCAGAAAGCTCCTACAGTCTCAGTGGACAAATAAACAAAAGGAAAAAAGCAAGACAACTCACCAGTTCACAACTGCTTTCGAGTCACAATTGCGAGTCAGACTGTCCTAAACAACTCCAACCCAACGATAGTCTAATGTTGGCTGACAAGCGTTAATTGCCACCGTCAATGGAGGCTGGCATGCAAGGCAACAACTACTTAGGGTGGAGCCATTTAGTATCCTGCTGAGCAGAACTGGAAGTTTGAGTCTTGGTGGGTTGTCAGTCGGAAAATTCAAATGTGTGGTATATATGGGATGCTAGGCAGGAGGGGGCTGGTGGTAGCCCTGTTGCCTGGGCAGCGATCTGTGACCTGCCAGGCCATTTCACTGTTGGCCGTCTCAGACGATAATCCGATCGTCTTATCGACACTTACCACTAGAGGCAAGCGGAAGGCCGCTTGACAGTTGTGCTCAAGCCCAACCGCTCCCACTTCCGACTGATGCTCGGTTTCCGCCATGTCGACTCCCGAGCGCAACAGCGATCATCTCTCGCGGACAGCACCGGCGACCCTTGAACCGAAACACAACGAGACCCATACCTCTCGCAATGATTCTACACAAGAGGAAGATCTTGACGCCGGAGCAAATCCCACAACAGCGACGCTCGCCACGCAGCCATCTCAAAACCCCGAAACTAGTCACACACAGTCCGAGATGGGTCGCAGCAACGGAAATGCAGCTACCGCTACGACAAACCGCCGAAGACATGCGCGAAAATGCCATTCGTCGACACCGAGGCAGAGATGGCATGGTATGGAAACGCTGGTGTTGCTCATCAACACTCTACTATAGGGGAGGTAGCAAGAACAAGTTGTGAGGAGGAATTCAATGCCGCCTTGTGCTGCGAGTTCGCATCTGCGCCCAGCGAACCCTAGTGGTCGAAGTTAGCTAAGCTGGATGGATGGAAGATCATTCGAAGGGGTCTTTGCAATGTTCTCGAATTCCATCAGGCAGCATTTGGCACACCAGCAGCATAGCGAAGCGGTTGGCACTTGTGGATTGGGTCACTTGGCAAGAGCATGAGAATTTGTACAGCTTTGGCCTCGATGCAGATAGGAACTGAGCGTTTCCCAAGTTTTCTACACGGGCGGATCAATCTCTCGGCGCGGCGGATCGATGTTGACACGATCTCGGTCCATGCGTAAGCCGCAGATGCAGCGCGCAGGATGATTCCGCACAGCGTGTGTTCATCCGTCCCAAGCTTCGATTCTCCTTCCTCGTCAAAGTGTCCCAAGCCTGTCAAAGCCGGTCCATTTGGGATTTCAGGATTCCTGCTTGAGGACATTGTGCATCAAGCAGAAGATGCATCTCACCCGCCTCTGAAGTTGGCTGTCCGATAATCTCACCAAATCCAATCGGCTAAATTTGGAAGGTCTTTCTCAGAAACTCTACGACACCCGGTGACGACGACGGCCTGCCGGTGTCCAGTCAGGCGACAACGTCCCAAAGCATGTCAGTCCCAGCTAAGAGCTCAGGTTATCCTCATGGCAAACAAGCACGATGAATCTGACACCTACTTCATCAACCACGATGCACGGCCTTGGGGCCAGTGCTGTGGAGAGTGCAAGAACACCATGCAGTCGAGCTCGGCGGCGCAGAAAGGTCTGCCGAAGAACAGCATCGATTGCCTTCAAGCTTGACTCGTAGTGAACTTGATTGGAATTACCAGAAAAAGATGGAAAGGTTACCTCGTGGCATGACCGTTGCTGCTCGTAGTTTTTCGCACCTTCAAATTTTTTCGGGTCGTCTGTGTCATCAAGTAAACCGAGATCACGGCATCTCGCGGCGATATGAGTGGCTTTGCGCGACTGCTGTCAGTGTTTGACGAGCTGCCAGTAAAAAGCGTGACCCGTATCAGGAGGACATGGCTCTGCTTCGTACGTTTCGCGGTAGAATTGGAGAATCGTGGCATTCTCATGCTTGGCAGGATGGTGGTGGCGTGGGTGACGATACCGTGCTCCCTACGCGCCCCACGACAGAGCGCAGTATACGAGCGCCACCCCCCAAGCTCAGCATCCATCCGAGCATAGAACTCGGCAGGTGAGACGCCTCCTTTCTCGTAATCTTTAAGAGCACGCTCAAACGCCCTAAGGTCACGCGAGCTCCAGCGGCATAGCCGCAGGCGCTCAAATAGTGGTACGCGGGTATTGAGAACTCTCACAAACGACGGAGCAAGAAGATGTGGCACCTCTTTTTGGAAAGCATTGACAAAATGATCGGTGGCTGCGATCACCTTCATCCAATCTGGCTTTCAGGTACCGCCGCTAACATTGTCCAGCTTGTCGAGCTCTTCGGCTGGTGGAAGTGTGGAGCTGGTAGAGCTGGTAGAGTTGGCGGAGTTGGTGTTGTTCTACTAAGGCTGGCCGGGCCCGCAAGAAAACCTCCCATCAACACCATAAGTGTCTCATTGGTGGCGAGTACAAGCTCGAGGACGATTTGTTGCTCGTCAAGCATGGAATGGTCAGCCATACAGAGGAAGTTGTAATCCATATACTTCGGTGCTTGTCTATAAGGTCGAAGCCGCTGGCATAGGCGATCCTTTGTTGCAGAATCTTTTGGATCAGCTACACGGTCTTCCTCGTGATCAGTCTCTTGGGCCCATCCGAGAAGCGGGGCGTGGCCCTGTAAGAAGCGTATGTGCTGATCGCCGGTTTCTCCAGCATAGCCGTTATGCTGAAGCTCGACAGGCACATCATCTTGTGGCTCTCTCGATGCCAATATGTAGATGACAGGGCCGCGAGAGATATCTGAAATGTCTTCGGCTTCAACTTGCTTGGCAAGCATACTCGGGATAGATGATCAAGGGCAGGCTGACGAGTCCTCAACAGTGACATAGCCACCAGGGGTCGACAATAATGACGTGGGGGGTCCTCGAGCTCACGTCTCATCAGGACTCCAGAGCCTCTGCCATGGTTCCGGAGAGGCCGCCCGTCAATCTCATCGACCCCTTTTGAGGTCCGACGTGGTCATGCCAGAAAGCCCCCAACTAGCGTCATCAGAGTTTCGTTGGTGGCAAAACCGAGTTCAAGGATGATTTGGTCGTCCAGGAAGCCGGAATGGTCGGCCATGAAAAAAGCATCGTAGCCGTCGTAGTGCTGAGCTTGTCGATAGAGACGCAACTGCTTGACCTTCCCACTTTTCGACGCCGAATCCTTGGGGCCGGTCTGAAGGGCTTCTTTCCGCACATCCTTGGACTGTTGGGCCGAGCTAATCTGTGGTTGATGACCGGTCAGGAAACGGTGGAGCTCGTCAGCAGACTTGTCATCCCAGCCGCCAGAACACAGATCGGTTGACATGGAATCTCTGGCCCCTTTGAGAAATATGGTCCAGATTGCCGGCCGATGAGACATCTTGGAAGTTTGATCGTCTTTTTCAAGCTCTGCGAGCATCTTCGGGAAGGTTGATACCGTTATGAAGGAAGGGTCCAGAAGCAGTTGACGTGCTTTGGGAAGGAAAGGATGAGCACGTAGAAGCTTGAAGCTCTCAAAAGTCTCCAATGAGGTCCAAATCGATCGGAAGAAGCACTGAGTCATTGGAGGGTTGAGGTGCGTGCTGTGGTCTCGCGTAAAGGGCACGCTAAATCAGTTGTCTATGAGTCGAGACCACATCGTTTGAGTTAGGAACGGAGGCTCGACATGGAGGCTATCGGCGTAGTGGATGATACGGCTCTTGGTAGCTGATAGGAGCGTTGAGGTGCGAATGGTCAAATCGGCATCTAACTTCCCATTAAGAGTCTTAGGCAGTAGCTTGGTCGAAACTCGCAGTCTCCATGAGGAGGTGGGCACGCTTGAGGCGTTGCGACCACACCGAGACTGTGGTGCAGCTGTTGAGGTATGTGTCAGGATAGAAGATTTTCGATTTCGCCAGGAGCCCTCCCTCAACCATCGGCAGGCGTCGGAGCACTGATTTTTAACTTCTTCAGTAGTAACTCCTCTCACTTCTGCGTCACTCAGACCTCACTCCTGGCTCCTGACGCCTCGTTGCCTCGTTGCCTCATTGCCTCATCACGCTAGCGTCTTGCCACGAACGTCCGAAGCATTTGTGTGCTTCCCAACGTCTGTAACGAGGTGCGATTAACGGACCATTGCCGATGCTTGATTCAGCTCTATACATATCGGCAGTTCACTCGTATATAGCTTTGAGCGAAAAGCTGATGCTTCCACAGCATATACCTCCATGGTCTCTTACAGGACGTAACGGAAACTGATTACTTGTCCCAGGACGCCCTGGTTCCTCTCCTTTTCGTCCGTGGCCTTATTTAGCTTCCACAGCCAAAACTTTAAGCCTAGACTAGCAATGACTCCCGCGGCCAGACATGCGCACAACACGCTTCCACCGATGCGGTACATGGGCGCATCGCTCTTGGGGTAGACGTAAGCGGTGCTGATGTTCGTGCAGTTCGCTACAGCTGTGGCCAATGCAATTGACACTCCCCTTTTGCTTTTCGGGCGCGCAATGGTGCTGTTGACCCAACTGAGGATGATCTGGAAGGCGGAGAACGCTCCGATCGAGGCAAGGCAGAACGCAAAGTACCGCCCTCCAACATTGGTCACAGTCATGCCCACGATCTGGCCGACAGCGCCTAGCAACATGGCAGCGATAATATGCCAGCCCCGCTCGTTGGTTTTCGCGCTGTGCCAACTGTTGAAAAGCGAAAAGAGGAAGGCCGCAATGTAGGGCGGTGCGGTCAACAGGAGAGTCGGCACGCGTGCGTAGCCGAGTGTTTGCACGATGGATGGGAAGAAGTAAGTGAAAGACATGCCCACGGTGCAGCACGATCTTGACTTAGGTCAGTGTCTGTACCTCGAACCGGGGTCTGCGCAACTTACTGTATAAGGACGAGGAGCCAAACTTTAGGGTCTGCAAAGCACTGCCTGAAGCCCTTCCAGACATTGCCGTTGACCTCGTCTTCTTCGTTATCGGCTTCAAGGGCAAGGCGGTGGGCAGCGAGCGCGCGTTCGGTCTCGGAGAGCCACATTGTGGTTGTGGGGTAGTTCGGTAGGAGCCAATAGGCCGGTACTGCGGCGACAACGGTAGCTATACCTTCAATGATGAAGAGCCATCTCCATGAAGCGTACCCTCCCACGCCATCCATGTTGCCGATGATGCCAGCAGCTATCAAACCTCCTACGGCACTGCTCAAGGTGTAGCCGGAATAGAAGATGGCAATGCGGAATGGGAGCTCAGAGCGTTTGTACCAGCAACTGTTATCTTAGCATGAATACCTGTACAATGTAACAGGGTGACATACCTAAGGAAGAAGATGCAACCGGGAAAGTACGGAGCTTCGGTTACTCCTAGGCGGGGTGTTAGTTGGTGTGCGGCAAAACCGTCCGAGGGCTACCATACCAACAAGGAAGCGGATCGTGACAATGCCGGCGAAGTTCTGAACGAAACCACTTGCGCCGCTGACAATCCCCCAAATAATAACAACAGTCGGGAGGTAGATCCGAGGCTTGAAGATTGAGAGGAGCATGTTGCTAGGAATCATCATGGTGATGTAGCCAGCCCACAAGACCATGATAGCGGTCTGATACTGGGTGTCAGTCAGGCCTAGATCCTCCTCAAGGCTGCCCAATCGGGCGTTCGCGATCGCATTTCTGTCCAATATGTTGAGGAGGAAGAGGAAAATGAGGATGGGAAGACAGCGGAAGTCGAGCTTGCGAACGAGCTTCTTCTCGATATCCCGGAGTTCCTCCGGAGAGTACTGGCGCAGGATCTCGGGGCGATAGTCAACCGGGATGGTAGTGACATCCTGTTGCTCGATGTTGATGGCTTCTCCGCCTTTGTTCATATCAAGGCTGCGAACGGAAGTGGGCGCCATGGTGTTAGACCGGGGAGATGCAGGTTCCTGGACAGCAAGATAGACGAGGCATTCTCCTACCTTTATAATCCGCAGTCCACATGGAGAGTGGTCAGTTTCCCCATGAGACACCCCATACTGCCCACGTTTTCCCCGATCATGGGGAGAGCGAGGTTTCCGCTGCGGCGTTTACGCCGACGAGGTATACCAAAGTATGGGGTGATTTTAGACATTTTCTGGCCAAGACGGCGAAGCTGTGGCCAGACTGTCGGTGAAAGCACCGACTGGACTAAGCCAAGCCAACGGATGGGCGCACCGCCGTGGAATGTCGACCGTATCCGTTGGAGAATCTTCCATGGCGCTCAGGGATTCGCAGCTTGGCAATAGCGGAAAGGATGTCAGCACGAGGCCGGTCAGCTCCTTGTTCAACATCGCATGCCGAAAGGGCAGTTCCAATATATATCCTTCCTCATGCGAGGGATGTGGAAAAAACGAACTTTGCGTGAAGGGCGCAGGAGAGCAGGAGATGTCTTGGCACTCAAATGGGGCTGTTGGTAAGGGGCCAGGCGGATGTTTCGCCGCGCTCAGAGGAGATGCAAAAGCGAGTACATAGTCAACGGCTCTAAAGATCGTCACTATCCCGACAGGAGATCATTCGGGGGAAATCAGCAAGATAAGCTGCTAGTATAGCCGTGATTTAAAGTGACGCCATGTAGTAGTTTGGACAGAGTACCTTCGCACTCCGTAGGGGGCTGGACTCTTGAGATGGGTGCGAGCAAAGGGTTAGGGCTTGTTAGGGGCAACCTCGCCTATAGAAGCGCCTGTAGTGCCTCTCCTGGGGTACGTTACTAAGGAGGAATGTGGTTACGCGTGTAAATAGCCATCCCTTAGACTGAGCGCCTGTCCTTTTCTCGTCGCTTGCTGAGCTTGACCTTTTGAACCCTATCGGCTCGTGTTCACAACGTCTAGCGATGCGAGCTCATCACAACAAGTCGAGGACTAGACTGCTAACGAGTATACGCCGTGCATCCTTGCCTCGGAAGAGGCGAACAGTCTGTGCTGTCCAGTGTCCACTCAGCTAAGGAGTTCACCTCCCTACTGACTTCCGAGCCAACGGGCTATGTATTCTGACGTGCTGGGTCTGGGGGCGGTCAGCCTTTGGGCGACCTGAGCGGAGTCCCTCCTGCGCTTCGAAAATTGCAGGCGCAATAGCGAATCCTGGACCTTGCATGTTGTTGTTTTCGGTGCAACACAAAGTCGGAGAGCACGTTACCCTTTATTCAGAAAATTCGGGACTGACCAGGGCCTTCAAACGCGCAGCTGGTTGAGTCCTCCGTACTGCTTGGTCCTCAAGAGGTTGAGATATTCCAAGCACCGTCAAATTAGGAGCCGTGGGAAAGCACGCCGGGTGGACTATCGCCGATGGCCCAACTCTCATCTCAATATGCTTCTCATTGCCGCGTGTACAAATATTGACCTAGCGTCGAAGATCTACACGCGGTGATGCTTACGATGGTCCGAGTGGAACCGTGGAGTTGTCATTGAGAGACCTGTTTAAGACAACCTGCTGGCGACAAGAACCCTCTCGGGGCGGAAAGGCGCGGATTGCAATTTGAGGCTGAACAGACCTCACTGACTTGCCGAGATGATAGCGCTAAACAAATTCAATCTACCATGGGCTCGCCAGATTTGTTGGTCCCCGACAAGGCGAGCTATCGGAGGAGCCAACAGCGCGACGGACAGCCCAAGACTCGAAAGCAGAAGCGCCCAATTCCCGATGCCCCGACGCGCTCACGGAAACATGATTCTGCAATCGAACTGCATTGTGTGCAGCCACGGGTACCTGCATAAGGCCAACGTGACATCAGCCAGGGGAACTGCCTGTTGCTGTCGTGGTCTTCAGGCCGCCGTGACGTGGTCCTATTTACGTTGTTCCAGGTCTTTGAAAGTCTGAACCCCAGACGGACGAGGTCTAACAATGGCCTAAGATCGGTCTAACAGTAATGGCCATGGGTGCTCTCGGCAGGTTTGATTGATGCTCATTTACGGGCTGGGGATTGGTGTTTCAAGCACACATTGGGTCTCCCACTACGCCAAGAACAGCATTGGCGCTCTTGGTCAGGGGTCAAGCGAAAGTCGATCGTGCGACGACCCCCGGACAACGCCCCCCTTCTGGTGGCCTCTTTGGCCCTCCCCTACCAATCAGCCTCGTCGTCACCGCCGCGGCTCTCTACTTGCCCACCATGGGTCAAGCGTCTGGATGGCTTGCCATTTCGTGGGTGTTTGCTCCTCAAATTTCACCAGCCTTCGATTGGGTGGGTCCCCCTCCTGATTTGCCTACCTATACAAAATGCTCGCTCTACCTCGCTGTCGGTTGCGACTCTCTCCCTTTTCCAGTGCTCCTACTCTGTCGCTCTCTTTCTCTCTTGCGGTCTAAGACCAGCATAGCCACTCATTTGTACCCTTTCAGTCATTCGTTATCACCAGCCCACCCGTTCGTGAATACCGGCGCCTCGCGGTAGATCCGTCACCAACAAACAAACACATCTCAAGAAACATCAGAAGTACATAGGACAGGTTCCTCGCGAAGCAGTGAAACACCTTCAAAATGCAGCTCAAGACTCTCACTCTAGTAGCCGCCTCTCTGGCTGTGGCCTCGGCCAACTACAACGGCACCTGGGGCGACGAGACCAAGGCCCCCGTCCTCGAGTCCACCACAGCGCCGGTCGAAAAGACCACTACCACCTCTGACAAGCCTGCGTGGACCAAGCCTGTGGATGGCGGAGAGACCGATGTCGCTGACACCACCGCTGCGAGCTCCTCTACTGTCGCATACTGGGGCGATGAGTCTTCGCTGCCTGTCGAGGGTGGCAAGACCTCGACCACTACTCCTGTCGCTATCACCAGCACCACTTCTGACAAGCCTACATGGACCAAGCCCGTGGAGGGCGGCGAGACCGATGTAGCGGATAGCACCGCTTCTTCCACCACCACTGTCGCATACTGGGGCGACGAGTCTTCCCTGCCTGTTGAGGGCGGTGAGACCTCGACCACGACCCCTGCTGCCAGCACTATCACTTCCACCTGGGGTGATTTCTCCATCCCGGTCACCGAGACCGAGAGCACCACTGTTGAGGAGGTTGTCTCCACCATCACTAAGCCCGATGGCGGCATCCAGACCACCACCATCCAGTCCACCAAGACTCTCACCAAGACCATCTACCTTACTCCCACTGGTGGTGCTGCCCCCCCTGCGTCCACTCCCGTCTCTGGCGGTGAGGGCGCTCCTCCCGCCGGTGGTCCTCCTGCGGGTGGCCAGTGCGGTGTTGTCACCCAGACTGTCACTCAAACCCAGACCGTCACTGTTCCCGCTGGTGGCTCCAAGCCCACCGGCCCTCCTGCTCCTCCTCCGGCCCCAACCACCCCGTCCGTTGAGACTGCCACCCCTGCGAAGGTCTGGCAAGACCAGCCTACCGGCTTCCAGACCTCTGCCGCTCCCGCACCATCCGCTCCTGCCCAGGGCGGCTACATGGGTATCGTCGCCGAGTGGCGCTCCAAGATGGGTCTGCCCGCTCTCGAGCTCGACACGAAGCTCCAGAACAACGCCCAGGATGCTGCCAACTCATCCGGCGGCCAGCTGAAGCACAAGCTCAACTCTGGTTCCATGGCCCAGGTCCTCGCCCCTGGCTCCATGGATGAGTTTGAGAAGATCTTCGTCGGTGGCTGGCTATGCGAGCTGCCCAACACCCCCGGCCTCGGCTCCAGCGTTTGCAACGAGATGAGCAAGGGCTGGAACTACGCTGGCCAGACTGGCCACGCCGAGATCCTCACCAGCACCAAGTACACCAAGATCGGCTGCGCAGCTGGCGATGGCATCTGCTCCTGCGACTTGGCTTAAGCGATTTGCAGGTAAAAGGGAGGAGTTTGAGCGATATGGCCATGTCACGACCGTAAGGGAGGAAGGGCACATAGGAGGAGCTTTCGGAGTGGCCACCAAGAACTTGAACATGCTGTTTCTTTCGATCTTGTGTATCTTCAAACCAACCATTTTTCTCTTCGTTCTCATGGGACCTCTCAAGGGGCTTTGCTCTGACGCCAGACCCAGTTGGCCGGCGGCCCCAAAGATCCTATCTTACCTTGATATTCTTTTAGACGATAGATGAACAGCATGGTCACGACTTTACGAGTTCAAGAGAATGCTGACTACCTGTCGTCGACTGTCTTCCCTGCGTGAACATTTCATTCCCCAAACCAAGTACGTGCCGCGCCACCCTCTTCAAGTGACGACCTACCTTGGTGCGAAATACTTGGCACAAGCTGTTGTTCAACCCACCTTCGCATCTTGCAGCATATGCTTTCGTCGCGCGACGCCCGGTGACGAAATCTGCCTCGTAAGGTTCGAGATCGTGCCTCTTCAGCTAGGGCCGCACTCACGGCTTGCTTGAATCGTGATTCCTCGCTAGCCGCAAAATTCCCCGAGACGCTCAATGTCGAGCTTAGGCGGGGCTGACCATGCTGCCGATTCGACCATCGCCAATGCCTGACCTCGACTTTACCATTCAACTCGTTGGTATTACCCCTCTAGTTGATTCCCGGGCCCCGCCAACCCATCATCAGGCGTACTAGAGGTTGCATCTCGCGCCTCTTCCCCCCGAAACGCTGCATTTGGAGTGGGCCACGTGCTGTGTACCAGGTTCTGGAAAACGCTCGCCTACCACTGTCAGATCCAATGACGCACCCGTTCTTGTTCTGAGAGCTGCCTCTGGCGCGAGATGCTGTTATGTCATCAGCGCCCCATAGAAGTATACATACGCAGCTGTGAGTAGCCATTGCCCTGTTCTCAAGTTAAGCACCACCATCTTGCAGCTCAAGCCTTTTCTTTCTCTTGGACAAGAAGCTTCCTCTTCATACCACACCCTTTCCTATCATCCCTCCGTGTATCCACAACAATGGAATCCGTAAAATCCACACTCGCAAGCGTGCAGAACGCCATCAGCGGTAACAAGGAACACGACCCGCACTCCTCCACCATCGGGCCCCAGCACGAGTACAGCGGCCAACAACAAGTCGGCGGCAGCGGCCCCACCAGCTACAGCGACAACTCCAGCGGTGCCCACGGCGTTACCCCTAGCACCGCCCACAGCGACATCTCTAGCAGTGGCCAGGGCGTCCACGACTCTGTCACCACTGGCACGACCGGTCAGACAACATCCGACTATCAATCCGGCACCACCGGCACAACCGGTACCACAACCTCCGAGCAACACACCGGCACCACCGGCGCCCCCAACCCCAATACCAACACCACCGCCTCCGACCACCGCCACGGCGCCGGCGCTAGCGACATCGGTGGCGCCACCGATGGCATCGACCGCAGCGGCGGCGGCATCGACCTCTCCCACGCTTCCGACCAGTCCTCCCGCACCGTCGCCGGCGGCGCCCACGACGCGGCCAGCAAGGTTTCAGATGACCACAGCAGCGGCAGCAGCGGCAGCCACAGTAACCTGCCCAACGAGCTGGAGAAGACGCTGAGTGGGCCCAGGGACCCGGCGGTGCAGGGGGAGGGACATCCGAAGATGACGGGCGAGGGTCAGCCGGGGAGTCATAGTGCGTTGTTTGGGTTGACGCCTGATGGGAAGAAGCGATGAGAGCGCAATGAAGCTGCTTCGAGCTTCTGTTCTACTGGCGTCGCGTGGGCGGGCTACGGGGAAGAATGGCAAAGAACTAAGAAAACTGTGGCGTGGTGTAGTGATGGTGGTGGTGCTAGGGTTGCCTGTGTGCCAGACATATATATCGATACGATATCATTACCTACCAGATACTGCATGCCCACGTTGTACCGAAGTATTCAAGCGAAACCGTCGCCCAAGGCCATCCTCAGTCTCTGTACAGCATGCCGGGCTGTGTTGAGCCACCTCCTCGCAGGGACACCCCCGCAGAATCTCAGGCAGTGAATTCTTCTCCACCACATGCGCCAAGACCGTCCATCTCGCGACCTCACCATCACTTCGCTTGAGCTTTCACGTCTCTAGGACTGAGCTACAGCTAGACACATACACAGCCAACGTGGGAGACAGTCGAGCATAGGGACGCTATCCCCGAGGGTCATTCCGCTGCGCGCTCCAGCCGCGCCACCACCTACCCTGAGTCAAGAGGAAAATGCCCGCAGAACAGCAGCCCCAACAACCCTCATCGTCCACTGCGCCTCCAGATACAGAGAACGACATAGAGATGCCGCCACTCCGCACCCTCCACAACACCTTCACCACCGCCCTCTCCGACTTCGCCGCATCCCCCTCTCTTTTCCGTGTGCTGTACACCCACCCCCCTCGGCGACGGCCTTCCCAAGCCCCCACCCACTACCCGCAAAAGCTGTTCGTCCTCGATTCCAGCTTCAACCCGCCCTCACGCGCGCACCTCGCCGTCGCCAAGTCGGCCGTGCTGGCGTATCTGCGCGAGACCCACAGTGGTGGCAATAACAGTCGTAGGTTCAGCGAGCAGCAGCAGCAGCAGCAGCAGCAGCAGCAACAGCAGCCGCGATTACGCCTACTGCTCCTGCTGGCGACTGAAAACGCCGACAAGGCGCCTAAGCCGGCGTCGTTCCCGGACCGCGTTGCTATGATGGCCGCGATGGCGGAGGAGTTGCATGCGCAGGTGCGGCGCGAGGCGGTGGCTCTGCTTCGTGACGAAGCTGGAAGTGGAAGTCGAGGTGGAGGTGCGGCGGAGCTCGAGATCGAGATCGACGTCGACTGCGGCGTGACGAAGAAGCCTTTCTTTGTGGACAAGGCGGCAGCTATCGACGAGTCGGGCGTGTACGGATCACAGAACGAGTCCGCTGGGTTTGAGCAGGTGCATTTGGCCGGGTTTGACACGCTGGTGCGGATCTTTGACAGGAAGTATTATGGGGAGGAGGGCTTGAGGGTGCTAGATGGGTTTCTGGCGAGGCATAGGGTCAGGGCGATGTTGAGGACGGGGGAAGGTGGCAAGTATGGTGGGCAAGAGGAGCAGAGGGTGTGGTTGGATGGAATGGCGGAGAGGGAGGAGGGCGGGTTTCGGAGGGAGTGGCTCGAGAGGGTGGAGGTTGTGGAGGGGTGTGGAGAGGAGGTCGAGGACGTGAGTAGTACGAGAGTGAGGGAGGGGGTGCAGATGGGGGACTGGGGACTCGTGGAGAGCTTGGTGGGGAGCGAGGTTGCGGGCTGGATTCGGGAGAGGGGACTGTACATGGACGAGGATAAGGTGGATGGCCGAGAGAAGCTGTAGTGCTGCAATTCTATTGTGGGCGTGTCATCGGTGGAGCACGAGACGCGGTTTAGAGAGGCGTGGGTTGTGCCACTGCTATATGCAACTGGAGTGGGAGACGGGTGCTCGACAGTAGATTTGCAGTAATCGCTCGTGACGATACATATATCCCCACAAGTCAGACACGTGGTGTTGGTTATTTCCCTGCCACCGATTTCGTAGCGTATTCCTCCTTCTTGTCATTGTATCGATGGCTTGCGCTGAGAGTGACCGCAGTCGGCTACTCACACATAGTCTCGACTAGTTTCGTTGTCTCAAGGCGCACCTCTCGCCAGGAACGCAGCCCCCCAACACTCTGCGTCAATGAACTAGCATGCCTGTTCTGAGCGTGGCATCTGGTCGTCCATAACCATCTCCTTCGGATCGCATATCGGATCATGGGTGTCCACAACGCGCTCGCGCTTAGGTCGCCCCTCCGGTGAGGAGATTTGTGTAGTCTCCTCACAGCTTATCTTTCTCCTCGTCTTCCTTCCTCCGACTCCCAAACGCATATGCCAATCCACCGCCCACGACATTAGCGAGTGCCAGCCCCATCGTCGCGCCGCGAATGATGCCTCGGGTGCCAAACTTGTTCCACACCCCTTGCCTTCGCCTCCCAACAATTACTAGATACGCGCCACTCAACGCTGCCGTCGTGCCGGCGCTGTCGATTTTGAAACCCTGTAGATTCAGGTAGGTGGAGAAGAGCAGCAAAGGCGGGAAGATCATGGGCAGTCCCTGGAAAGGGCGGGCATGCTGTGCGAAGACAAAGGTGGCTAGTGCGGCAGGAGGAACGGAGGACTCTATGAGGAGGTTTAGCAGGTATGCTGGAGGCAGTCAACGGGTGGACTGAGCTGGTGGATTGTACACATGTCCAGAGGGAGAGTGTGGACTTACCTCCCCATTTTTTCGCAGAGACGATGAGAGACTCTTGCTGCTTTTTGGCGCGGACCTGCGGGTCCTCTTGCTTGTCGGCCATGTTTGTGGGTGGTCTGAGATGATTGTCACCGACAGAGCATTTTAATGAGTGGTGAAATTCATGTCGTTTGGGCAGTGGTGAAGCAGTGGTGCAGGTACCGGCGCGAACGTCATCGGTCTAGATTTGGGGGTACTCTTTCATGGGTTGCTTAGCGGGTCGCGGCGCCCGCATCTGCACAAGGCAAGTCAGTAGGCGGGAACGGCAAAAAGTAACCACCTATACAACTCCAGCAGAATTAACAACACAAACGCTTTGCCTCACGACTACTGGAGTCTGCGAATCCTTGAGCCTTCCTAATCTCCTCCATCATCCCTGTCCGACTGCGCACGAATAATCGCCTTTCTTCTGCGGCATGTCCGCAAGCGCATCCGGGTCCTCGGCGCAGCCAAACGGATCAGCAACGAATCGCTCGCATAGTCAGGGCAACCAGGACAAAAGCTTTACCCCTCAGCAGAAAGCCGAAGTGCTGCGGATACGAAAATGTAGTCCAACGTCCTTCTACGAAATCTTAACCGTCACCAAGACGAGTAGCGATGGAGAGATCAAGAAGGCCTATCGCAAGATCAGTCTGTTGACGCATCCGGATAAGAATGGTTATACTGGCGCGGATGAGGCTTTCAAGAGTATGTGACTGCCTCGGAAGATGGAAGAGGCATGCTGACAGACCACAGTGGTATCGCGAGCATTCCAAGTGCTCTCCGATCCAGAAAAGAAGTCCAAATATGATCAGTTCGGCGGAGATCCGGACAGTAGATTCGGTGGTGCAAGCAGCAGTAGTGCTGCCGGCGCATCACCTTTCAGCGGCTTCGCCCGGTCACCGGGACGAGGTCCCATGTTTGACGATGAGATCTCTCCTGAAGAGTTGTTCAACCGATTCTTCGGTGGGGGAGGGTTTGGCGGTGGCCCATTTGGTATGCGTACGTCAATCTCCCTCGCGTTAAACGGACCGAGCTAACAACAGAACAGAGGGCGGTTTTGGTGGACCACAGTTCGTCTTCAACATGGGTGGCGGCCCTGGTTTCACAGTGCACCGCATGGGCGGCGGAGTACCACGGCGACGACCACGCACTGGGCAGGAGCCACAGCAAGGCGGCCTGGGTGCTTTGACCCAGCTGCTACCTCTGCTGCTCCTGTTCATACTCCCTATACTGTCATCTCTTTTCAGCGGCTCGGGATCCTCTGGGCCTGGCTTCCGCTTCGATGCGCCGCAACCACCCATGACTATGCACCGAGTTACACCACGATTCAAGATCGACTATTTCGTCAATCCGGCCGAGGTGGATGGATGGAAATCAAGCAAGCTCCACGATCTGGACAAAAAGGCAGAGCTAGAATATGTGTCAATCATGAAGTATCAGTGCTCAGATGAGGCAGTGCGGAAGCGGAATGAGATACAGGACGCGCAGGGCTTCTTCTTTACTGACGAGGCGCGGTTGAAGCGTGCAAGGGAAAGGAAGATGCCAGCATGTGAGAGACTGGATGAGCTGCGTATTGCGCGAGGGTATTGATTGCTATGTACGAGCGATGCATTGAGTCATGTCTGTCCGGCGCTGGGGTCAACATTTTAGGCTCACGAGGCCCAGCGTCTCGCTCTGTATAACTACCTGGATTACCTACCACACATGCTCGAATCAGAGACAGTTGAAGCATCATCACCAAACGTGCAGCCGACCAGGCTACAAGGCGGCAACAGCAATATTCTGCCTGATTCTTCGCGAATCGATAAGCGTCCTTCCGCGGCCTGCGGGCATCGGCCCCACTTAACTCCGGGAGTAACTGCATCATTCAAAGTCCCCCAGCTTCTATACAGTTCAACCACATTTGTCATCTTCACTGCCACTCACACCATGGCAGAGCCAATGTCAGACGCGGACAAAGTACGTCTCAATTGGCGGCGTGCGGCTGGGCTAACCAGCAACAGATCCGCAACAAGAGACTCGCCAAATTACAACAGCCATCGTCAGCACCCGCACAAGATGGCGGCGATGTATCAGCCTCGCAGTCTTCAACGCCCCCACAAGTTCCTACACCTCAGATGCCTACTCCGACTGATACCCCGAGGCCTGCAGCCCCATCCCCCGGCTCTACCACGCCTGCACCCACCACAACCATACGGATATCGCCCGCAAACATCACTCCTCAGAAACGAGAAATGGATGGGCTGGAGAGGCCTTCTTCACGGCCAGCAAGTGCTGCAGCGCAGAAACAGAACGAACCGATCGAGCAATATGAAGACCGCACACTACGAAGTATCTTCCGGCTGACCTTGGATTCCTCACAAGCCAAAGATGCCAGTGGCAATACAGTCTACCCCATTCCGAACCTGCGGGAAGAGCTGGAGTCTGATAGCAAGCCGCTCCTATTGAGTCTTGAGGCTCTTGAGCAAGCAATCATGGAAGGCGGCCAGAACCTGGGCAAAGTCAAGCCTCATGACTGGCTACTGGCATGCTGGAAGCGAGTGAACAGAATGGGTCGTAACGTGCGGGAAAAGACACCTGAGAACCAGAAGTGGGCAATCATCGTCGAAGCTCGAAGGTTATGTTTGAGCTGGGCCATTTTCTCCATGACCATGCCCGATATGTTTGGCCAGGAATACGATGGTACCGTTGCGCTTGCTGATCACCTACTGGCAGATGAAGAGGACGATAGGGGCGTGGACCTCGAATTCCTGACTGAGATCGCATTTCGCTTTGAGGAAGACGAAGCACTCAAGCATGCCGTCGTGGGTGCTGTAGAAGAACATGCGCGACGACTGGCAAAGATGACGATGAACAGCGAGTATCAGCGCTACACTGGTAGCCTCCGGCGCGTAATACGCTTCAAGCCTATCGCTCTCGCAATCGCGCAATCGTCTATGTTCGTCGACGCATCTGTGTCGCCCGCTACTCTTGAGGCATCAACGCTTTTAGGCCCATACTTCGCCATCTCGCCCCTCCAGTCGGAAGTTACCAGGCAATTCTTCCCCGGACCAAAAACACTTGACCCAAGCCGTATAAGAAACGCCCAACAAGCATTACAAATGTCCTTGAGGACCCATCAGGCTGAGCTGTTCGACATTGCGAACACCTTGGTCCGTTCATCGGAAGCTGTGCGTGAGCGGATTTTGGACTGGTTTGCCCTTGTCGTCAACTCTAATCACAAGCGGCGAGCCATGAGGGTGGACATGTCCACTGTCTCTAGCGATGGCTTCATGATCAACGTTAACACAATTCTCGACCAGCTCTGTGAGCCATTCATGGATGCAAGCTTCTCTAAAATTGATAGGGTTGAGATCGACTACCTGCGCCGGAAATCCCGAGTCGACCTGAAGGATGAAACCAAGATCAATGCCGATCAACACGAATCAGATGCATTCTATAACACACCTGCCACCGGGAAGAACAACTTCATCTCAGAATGCTTCTTTCTGACCGCCGCTGCCCATCATTACGGGACCGAGGCGGCCAGAAATCGTCTAAAGGACATGGACCGTGAGCTAAAACACATGGGGAAGCAGATCGAGCAGTTCGAGACAGAACGTCACAAGTATGTGAACAACCCAATGCAGCTGCAGCAGTTCGAAACGGCACTCAAGAAGTTCAAGGACCAGTACGACAAGGGCCTAGCGTACAAGTATTCCGTGCAAGGTGTACTCCTCGACGAACTAGCCCAGACGCGATCCATGCAGTTCATGCGTTTCGTTACTGTCTGGCTCCTTCGACAAGTCTCGCCGAACGGCAAGTACCCAACCGAAGCGCTCACGTTGCCATTGGCCAAGGAGCAACCGGAACGCTTCAAGTGCTTGCCCGAGTACTTTCTGGATATGATTAGCGGCAACTTTGGCTTCATCATGTACAACCTTCCTCAGGTCATTTCGGCACACCAGTCAGAGGAGCTGATCATGCTATGCATTACCTTCCTCCGGAACTCGGAATACATCAAGAACCCGTATCTCAAGGCGTCTTTGGTCACTATTCTTTTCCGCGGGACATGGACCTGGCGTCAAGGCGGACGAGGAATTCTCGCAGACCAATACAACAGTATGGACTTCGCCATGAAGCATCTCTTGCATTCACTTATGAGGTTTTTCATCGAAGCGGAGTTCATGGGTGGGCATGGCCAATTCTTCGACAAGTTCAATGTGCGATTCGAGATCTTCCAGATCATCAAATGCATCTGGCCAAATACGATATACCGGGACAAACTTCTACGAGAAGCGAAGGTCAACATAGAATTTTTTGTCCGATTTGTGAATTTACTGTTGAACGACGTCACTTTCGTCCTAGACGAGTCGTTTACGTCGTTCCACTCGATCTACGACCTTACGAACGAGCTTGCTAGAGCTGGCACGACACTGAGCGAGGAGCAGCGAGGAGAGAAAGAAGAAGCGCTGGAGTCAGCGAAGGGCAAAGCCAAATCATACATGCAACTGACAAACGAGACTGTTGATATGCTGAAGCTCTTCACGGAAGCTTTGTCCGATGCCTTCACCATGCCAGAGATTGTGCAGCGGCTGGCTGACATGTTGGACTACAATCTCGATGCTATGGTTGGGCCCAAATCGTCGTCCCTCAAGGTGGACAACTTGCAGGAGTACAACTTCGACCCTCGAAAGCTCCTCAGCGAGATCGCGGATGTCTATCTCAACCTGCGTAACAAGGAGAACTTTATTCTGGCCGTTGCGCGCGATGGTCGGTCATATAAGCCCGAAAACTTCGTCAATGCGGCAGCCATCATGCAGAAACGTGTGCTCAAATCTCCAGAAGAGATCCGAGTTTGGAACAAGCTCATTGAACGAATTGCAAAAGCGAAGCAGGAAGACGATGATGCCGAAGCAGAGCTTGGCGAGATTCCGGAAGAGTTCCTTGACCCGCTAATGTATACCCTTATGGAGGATCCGGTTATTCTGCCCGTCAGCAAGACTATCATGGATCGCAGCACTATCCGAAGTCATCTCCTGAGCGATCCTCATGACCCGTTCAATCGCGTCCCCCTGGTTATAGAGGACGTCATCCCTGGTAAGTCTAGATCCCTCTATTCGCGTACTTCAACTAACTGGGTCCAGCAACGGAGATGAAGGATCGGATCGAGCAGTTCAAAAACGAGCGTATGGGCGACAAAAAGAAAGGGTTCGTCGATACAGTGACGCAAGAAGCTCCCAAGTCACGCGAGGAAGCGGATGCCATGGATGTGACAGATGGTTAGCCATGTCATGCGGTGAGGCGCTGATGCACATTAGCCATGCATAGACGGCGCGTAGCATCACACACTCTCAGTAGCTAGTACCTCAAGAGCATGTGCGCAGACAGATACGCGTCGTCATTGAAGCCACCCCCCGTTCCAATCCTTGGACAGGCTCACAGTCCGGTAGCAAGCCTGCAGGCCTCTTCCCCAATTGCTATTAATGCCAAGCCTGGGCATCCCGCTTCGCGCCTTCTTCTTAACGGTGCATGCCGCTTTCCTGCGACTACATTCTAATAGATGCTTCCCATCGCAGATCGATCGATGAATGATCGATCTTCGGTTGTAAATCAGCAGCTGGTCCGAGTCGCCTGATGCTGCCTATCGCTGAGAGATTGGCTTTGCGAACATCATCGGTAGGCTGCAAAGCTACAGCTGGTTGCCTTGCCCAGGCATCAGCCCGCGCGAGTGGGGGCATCCTGGGACTCGCCCAGCTCCCTATTGAGTCCGCCCTGGGGATCTTACCAAGACGATCCGATATGGTGCATACATCCAAACCTATGCTGCGAGCGGTGTTCCACGGAGAGAGGCTCAGAGATTCAACTCACCGACTCTTCAAAACACAGGCACCCTAATTGAGGCGGCTCTCTCCTTGCGTGGGATTGACAATAAGGTACTGGGGCTGATCCAGCTGTGGTGCTGTCCCGTCACTTTCTGACTCGAAGATTCACCGTGATATCTCTAAGCAGACGGGCTGGTCTAGAACCAGACTCAACACAGCAGCAGACAGCACTGGCCGTCCCGGACTATACCGGAGATACTTCAGATTCCACACCAAGATCTCTACGAGCCATCAAAGCCAACAGCTAATTTTCTTTTCGCTGAGCATGACTCCCTCTCGGAGTCTTTTGAGCCTTCCGCTCGAGCTACTATCCTACGTCTTTCTCCACCTGTCAACAGAGTCATTCGTTCAGATCATCTGGACCTGCAAGCAGCTCTTCAACTTAGCAAGCCAGAGTCGCGATGCCGTCCTTCTCCATCTCAATAACGTTCCTGGCATCAAGCTTGGCTTGAGCACGCACATGCTCACCACTCCCGAGCTATTCCTGATACTCCGCCAGCGAGCTTCTGCAAATTTGTACGGTGCCGCTATTCATGCGGATTGCAAAGACGTGCGACTGCGTACCGGCACTCTCGATGCTTCAGCATCATGTCTTCGCAACGCCCAAGACTACTTCAACGTCTCGCTCGCTCTCAAGGAAAGTCTCAAGATCCGTCACTGGAGTGTCAATTGTCGGATGCTTAAAGAGCATATACCTTCGCCATACGCTGACGGTACTGGCAAGATCCTCCAGGTCGTTCAAGGCAAGCATACTGTCAGCGTCCTATACAAGTGGATACCCGACGAAACTCCAGACGAGATTGCATGTCAAGCGTCCCCGACCCTACGCCCGCAACCGAGTCATCTAGGCACTCGTCGGAACACCATTGGACGAGGCTCCGATCACTCCTCAGTTCCAGTCACAGAGGAGACACTCAGCAAACAGAAGGGCAGTCGATCTGGTGTTCAGTATCATCTTGTGCACTACAACGCTTACAACTCTGACAGGCCCGAGTTCTTCATCATTTTCCCACCGAGTCCGGACGGAGCCCGCCTCGACTGGAAGGATTCAGAAAGCTTTGGCGAACAGGACCCTATTCCAGCCCACTTAGCTGTTCACAGCCGCCTCAAATGTGTCATCATTTGGGATCTGCTTCCGCAGAACTCAAAGCCACCCTACCTCGATCGACGGACCTCGGTCGTGATCTCTTATGTAGCAGACAACCTACCTGTCGCAACGGCAGGAGTCTACACCACCAAGATCCTATATCCGCTCCGAAAACCGGCAAACATCAACATGATGAACATCGACGATGACGATGATAACGGCGCTCAGGATTCGCAAGTATGGGAGGAAAATCATAAGTACCTCAAATCATGCCGCGCCCGAGCGAGTGCCTTCTCGGACAACGGAAATCGGCTCAAGCTCTACTCAGCTGGTAGCCTGGCGCCGTACGCGGCCATTCCCACCCCCAATTCGTACATGCCTCACAGAGAAGACCCTTCGCAAGACAGTAGTTGGCGTTTGCATAACAGGTTCCTAACAGCTCGTGCAATCTTTCGGGCGGACGCGCCTTTCTACGGCACTCACCGATACGGCTCGTCATCTAGTGAAGATGATGCCGTGCCTGAGTGCACTCTCAGCTACCTCTTCCTTGCGTGGCGGGCATATGAGACCGCGTCGCCCGCATTGGATCGGGAGAACGAGACGCTGTACATCGCGCAGTCCAGCACCTCGGTCGACTCGGATGACTGCGAGCACCATATCTCTCCAGACCTACCCATCGCAGCCGGCGGAAATTACACCAGACGCATCGTTGCACGACTGTGCGGTCTCGCAGAACACTGGGCGCCTACCACCATGACGGCACTAGACACGATGTGCGTCAGCAAGAAAGGGACGCGGATCGCCATCGCCGTCTGGAACAAAATTCTCGTCTATGCACTAGATCCAGCCATCTTCGTCGAGCCGTGGGCGGGTGAAGTGACGCATTCTGAAGATGGCAGTGACAATGGCCATGGCAGCGATGATGAAAGCGTCTTCAGCACGCATTCCGACTCCGATAACAGCAACGCGCAGAGCAGCATCGACGCGCCTCCGATCATCGAGATTATTGATCCATTTCGGCTGAAGATCAGTAGCAAGGCGATGATCAAAGCCACTGAGTACTATACACTGGTCGATGATCCAGACTTTGGGGAAATTGTTGAGTTGTGGCCGGTAGTGCTAGAGTCGCCGGGTGGCGTGGTGGCGCGCAAGATGATGTGGGGTAACTCTACCAAAGACGATGAAGCCGGAGAGGATGGCTCGGAGGAGACTGACGAGGGAGAAGAGGAGGATGAGGAGGAGGGGGATAACAGAAGCAGCGAAAACAACGACACTGTGAGCGAAGCATCAGTGCGGACAAGCAGACCATCGAAGTCTTCTCCAGCGGCTTTGAATGCCAATGCAGCCACTGCAGGAGACAATGGTGCAGCCACACACTCCGTCCCAGCCGATGATGTTGTGAGCGACCTCGACGACATGCACCTGGCTTCCGCCACCGAAGACAACGAAGATGACGATGCGGACCTGCGTATCTACCCCACCGACTTCCACCCAGATCGCCGCAGGGAAGCACGCGAGCAGCTCGCGAAACTCGCTTCGTCACGCGATGCCAGCGCCAAAGCACCCTCCATGGCGATCGCCAACATCGGCGTCAACATCAACAGTGATGATGATGACGACAACGTAGAAGATGTCCCACTCAATGACCCTTCTCTTGCCGGTAACGGTAGCGTTGCAGCCTTCACAGCGGGAGCGGCCGAGCGCCCCTCCCTCTCGAGGAATGAGATACCAGCAGCTGCGATATCAATGTCACCCGTCGCGGATCGCAATAACGACAACACCGCCGCCGCCACCGAGTCCGATGCCGACTGGTCCTCAGGAAAGCCATCTGAATTTCCCCGGAGAAGCAGGAATAAGGGCAAGCGGCCGCTGCGGCCGCGCAGGAAACGCAGGACGGAGGACGAGCTGGTCGTGCTGACGGATCGCGGGCTGCAGGTTTGGGACCTGGGTGCGAGGGCGAAGGGGAGGAGGGGGAGGCGGTGGCTTTTGGATGAACCCGGTGGGTAATTTGAGGCTGATAGTGATAGAGGGAAAGTGGGGAGATGATGATGATGTTGATGAGTCAAGATTATGAATTGTGAACGGGAATCGATTTGACGAAAACTGAAATGGAAACGGTAACGGAAACGAGATAATGAAACGAGATGAGATGAACGGCCATGGTGGATTTCACAGCATAGCGTTGCAGGGCATGGCGTCGGAGATCAAGGAAAGACCTGGGAGAAGGAGAAGGAGAAGGAGAAGGAGAAGGAGAAGAAGGAGAAGAAGAAGAAGAAGAAGAAGAAGAAGAAGAAGAAGAAGAAGAAGAAGAAGAAGAAGAAGAAGAAGAAGAAGAAGAAGGGGAGGACGAGGAGGAGGCGTAGAAGAGGAGAGCAAGTAGAAAAAATGGAAGAGGTAACGAATCTCCTTTCGAATCGCGCCACAAGGAAGAATAAGACAGGCTTGTCCAACATCTCGTCTTCTGCTTTGTGCATTTCCAAGTCACCTGTCGACTCAGCCTCGTAGATCATAGAGAAGAGGGTATCATGGCCACCAGCAGTGTTAGGCCCTGCTGCCTGCACCATACGTTCCCACGTAGGGAACGACTGCCATACCGTATAGGATTCAAAGCTAACGGTAGGACTTGACGGAAGACACGCCAAATACGGCACCTGGCTCTGTGAGTCAAGCGTTATGGCCGGGAATGACTATGCATGCTCGAGATTCCAGTCTATCGCGACCTGTTCAGAGAGCTGTCCGTCTCTGTACGGTAATCACCAAGATCTTATGTCTCGAGAATTGGCGACCTCACTTTCCTTCCCCACCACCCATACCCATGGTCAGAACCAGACCTGCGACCAGAACCCACCAGTACTTCTGCAAGAATGTCTTCTCTTGCTGCTCGGCTTGCGGTACCTCGTTGCCATGCTCATCAACCACAGGCGCAGCCCGGCTCATTAGCTTGGGGCGCGGCCCTTCCAGCTCTGGTATCAGGTTGACTTTCGGTTGCCCCTCGGGAGTGTCATCTATGGGCGTCTCGGGGACCACAGGGACAGGCTGGCCCTTCTTTGGTTTCTTTGGCTTCTGCGGTTTCGGTGGAGATGGCAGTGGCTTGCCTCGGGCTTTGGCGCGCTCAAGCTTCTTCCGGTAGTGTGCCTCTTCCTCGGTCAAGGGTGCCGGGCGGATCGATGTTACTGATGCGGAGAGAACGGCATTGTCGGTGGATGAGAGGAAGAGGTTTATGTTTTGCTTGAGGTCCGAGGCAAAGGTAGATAACGTTGTAACGGTGGAGGAACCGCCAGGAGTGAGGATACGGATGAGTGGGGCGGAGGTAGGGTCTTGGGAACTCGACTTGAGGTCCGCTATCGACGGTGGTGTCCAGGAGGAGAGGCTGTAGCGGAGTGTTGATGGGTCATAGCTTATGGTGGCTAATGGTGACGGTTTAGAGGGTGAGGATATGAACTCGTAAGAGAGGGTGATGGTGGAGGAGTACTTGGGGTCGGCAGCTAACGCCTGAAAGATACAGGCGAGGAGCAGGAGGACACCCCGGAGCATGAAGGAGGCTGGCCGCATCGTGACGAGCTGGTTTTTGCGCAAAGAGGGAAGGATGGGGAGTGGTTGCGGTCTCAGAGTCGCTGGTCTGATATACCCGGAATGGAAGGTGGGCCGAGCAGCAGGAACGACGTTGGAAGCACTCCACCTTCTCTTTTCTTTGGCTTCTGCCACGAGTATCTCAACATGTGAGCTACCACCACATCAAGCTGGGGCTGCAGACCCCATATATCCTGTAACTCAAGCCTCTACTCGCTGGGTTCCAGCCGTAACCACAGCCACCATGACCAGTACGCCCACCTCTGTCTCCTCGGAAGGTTCCATCAATCCCAAGGACATTCTCGATCCAGTCGTGCTTCAAGACCTCGAAACACATCAGAAATTCATGCAATGTGCGATTGATACCGCTGAGGAAGCCCTCAGAGGGGGCGAGACTCCTGTCGCTTGCGTTCTCGTTCATGGCGGTAAAGTGGTTGCTCGAGGCATGAACGATACCAACCGGTCACTCAACGGCACACGTCACGCTGAATTCCTCGCGATTGCTCAATTCCTCGAGCAGTTTCCACCGACCGAGATGAAGAACACCGATCTCTACGTGACGGTGGAGCCGTGCATCATGTGTGCTTCCGCTCTGAGACAGTACGGAATTTGTACAGTCTACTACGGCTGTGGCAACGACAGGTTCGGCGGTAACGGAAGCGTGCTATCGGTTCATTCAGACCAGAGTCTCGACCCAGGCTATCCCAGCTATGGAGGTGTGTATAGAAAAGAGGCCATCATGCTCTTGCGGCGCTTCTATATCCAAGAGAACGAGAATGCACCGAACCCAAGGGCAAAGGGCAACAGAGAGCTGAAGACGGTGGTGTGAGAGGGTAACAGAAGACATATGATTGGTGGTACGAGTTCATCGTCCGCGAGGTATGGTCCTATGTTACGGCCCCGTCGGCATTTATTAGACGCCGCATCGAGGGAGGCTGTTGCGGAGATCAGTCAGGTGATACAATACAAACTACAGGTATAAGTACGAGGAATGATAATGATACGAATGTTCATACACAAAGCCCTGCCTCTTCGCTTTCTCTAAGCCTCTCGTCTTCTTTGTCTGCAATGCTGCAGTCAGGTCTCAAAGCCTTAGGTGGGTAACGATGACAGGCAAAGCGCGTCATTAGTCAGCTGCCTCGATCGACCAATAGAAAGCAAGGAACTCGCACCGGCCAAATGTTTTTTGAGCTGCGCGGTCGCGACAGTTCGGGGCACCGTCGAGGACTCATTCACCTTCATCCCTCGACAAGGCGCGTCACTATTGTCGCCATTCATCACGCGTCTCCCATCATCCCAGCCTTCCTATCGTTGGTGACTCAATAGCCTGTGTACAACTATAAGCAGAGTCGAAAAGTTATTTAGTTCTTCGCATCCTCGTTCATCTTTGCTTTGCAACCTACTTACCACCCCTCGACATCCTCGTACTACATCATCACCTCGCGCGAAGCTACGATCAAAGCCTTCTAATACTACACACCTCAATACTCCTGCCCACATATTCCAAGAACACAATGCCTCCCAAGAAAGCTGCTGGTTCAGCTAAGGGTCGCCCTGTCAGAGCCGCTGCAAAGCCGCAGTCCTCGACGAAGGCCAACGAGTCTACCACTCGCGTCAAACCTGCTGCGAAGAGTACTGCCAAAGCTCCAGCGAAGAAGGCCACTACCAAAGCTGCTGCGACTAAGAAGACTACCACCAAAACTGCAGCTAAGAAGCCTGCTACCAAATCAGCAGCCAATACTGCTGCGAAGCGCAAGGCGACCGAGGAGCTCGAAGATGATCGTGTCAATGGCGTCAAAAGGTCCAAGTCGTCCAAGACCCCAGAGCCCAAAGCACCTCGCAAGATTGCTCAACCCAAGGCCAAGAAGCCTCGCGCCAAGGGTCCTATTATCAACCATGCTCCTACCCAGCCTCTCAATGTCTACGTCTTCGGTGAGGGCTCATCTGGTGAACTCGGTCTCGGTAGTGCCAAGGGTCAAATCGAAGTCAAGCGTCCTCGTCTCAACCCTCTCCTCAGTGCTGATGAGGTCGGCGTTGTTCAACTCGCTGTTGGTGGCATGCATACTGCCGTCCTGACCAAAGACAACAAGATTCTTACCTGGGGTGTCAACGACCAAGGTGCCCTCGGCCGCGACGTCACCTGGGAAGGCGGTCTTCGCGATATCGACGATGACAAGTCCGACTCTGGTTCATCCGATTCTGGCAGCGACACAGGGGTCAACCCGCGCGAGTCTACCCCTGCTGAAATCGACATGACTGGCCTCCCTGATAACCTTACTTTCACACAAGTCGCCTGCACCGACTCAGCCACCTTCGTGCTTACTGACGAAGGCCAAGTCTACGGTTGGGGTACGTTCCGCAGCAACGAGGGCATTTTCGGCTTCGATCTCGACACCTGCAGCGACAACAACAAGATTCAGCCCCGTCCCAAGCTCATTCCTTCTCTAAAGAAGATCACTCAGCTTGCCACCGGCGCCAACCACGTCCTTGCTCTCTCCTCCACCGGGCAGGTCTGGGCTTGGGGCTCTGGTCAGCAGAACCAACTCGGCCGTCGCGTTCTTGAGCGCTTCATCAACCAAGCTCTTGTTCCTACCAAAGTCGGTGTCCCTGCCGCCATGGTGTTGGTCGGCTGTGGCTCATACCACTCCTTCGCGGTCAACAAGAACGGCGACGTCTACGCTTGGGGCCTCAACTCTTTCGGTGAGACTGGCATTCCGCAAGATCTTGGCGAAGGCGGTGAATCCGATGTTCACGGTGCCACCATCGTTGAGGCTCTCCGTGGCCACGGCAAAGTCACCTGCATCGAAGGTGGAGCGCATCACACCATCGCTGTCACCGACTCTGGCAAGCTGCTCGGCTGGGGTCGCCTCGATGGCTACCAGCTGGGTTTAGACATTGCTTCCCTCCCTAAAGACGATCTCGTCTACGACGCCAACGGCAGCCCGCGCATCCTCACGACGCCCACGCAAATTCCCGGCATTGACGCCGTCTTCTGCTCCGCAGGCAGTGATCACGCCATTGCGGTTGCGAAAGATGGCAAGGCTTACAGCTGGGGTTTCAGCACCACGTACCAGACTGGTCTCGGTACCGATGATGACGTTGAGAAAGCGACGCATATTGACAACACGGCTGTCAGAGGCAAGAAGCTCGTATGGGCCGGTTGTGGGGGTCAATTCAGCGTGTTGGCGGGCATCGCTGGTGAGGAGACGATGGTCAATGGTGTCCATTGATCTTTCGCAACAAGGATCTAAGACTGGTGTGAGCCCAGCAAGGTGAAAACTGAGCGCATGAGTCTGACTTGGTTTGGTGTTATTGGCGGTAGCGCACGAAGAGGTCACCTGAAGACACCACAAAAGGAGCGGCCTACCCCAGTCCGTCGCAGAGGTGAAGAAGAAGAAGAAGAACGAGCATTCGATTCAGTGTACGATAGCCCCGCACAGGGAAAGTCTTTCTAGACACGTCTTTGAGGAGCTGAAATGCATACAGAGCAACTTTTGCATGGCATGGTTTGGGCGTGGCGTTGCACGGCATGTAGAACCAGGGACTTGGTGCAGATTCCGACAAAAGGCACAACAGGTTCCAAGATAGTCACAAGTCCAGGCTAGAATAATCTCTTCCAATTGAAAAGAAGCATCAGAAAAGCACTCGCATCTTCTCGCATCTTCGTCGTTTGCGGGGTCAAATTCAAGTCAAGTCAGACATGACCTTAGGACCCCATCCATTACAAGTGAAGTATATGTACAGCCACCAGACCACACATACGATAAGACAGACACCTCCCGGCCATGTAGTGTAAGTAAGTGATAGCTCACCAAAAGTCTGAACAGTTCGCGTTTTGGACATAATCTCTGTTGAGCCCTCTTCCACAGCCGGAGCGGAAAGTGTTTGATCAGATGTACGTCTGAGAACAGGGCTGGAAACGGAGAGAGGCAAAAAAGCAAATGGCCATGTCGAATGTGCTCTCGCGATGTCTGTCCCTTGTCCCCCGTTTCCTTAGGAGCTCGACTTCGGCAAATCGGCGCAATGCTCTTTCGCGAAGGCGTCGCACTTCATACACGACTCCTGTACAGACACAGACACGGTTAGCGCCCATTCTCCAATTTTCTCTCTCGTCCTTGGGATTCTTATCTGTGTGGCTTTCTTGTATGCTAAATAGCCGCCATCAGCGGGCAGGCTGGCCCGAGAAAAAAGAGTTCACGACGTGAACGGAACTCAAACAAAGGAGACTTGGGAAAAAGACTCACCTCCTTACAGCTCCGGACGTTGCACAAGCGCGCGCAAGGGCCGGGGTTCAGGATCTGCTGGCCGTAGCAGAAATTGTAGCAGTGCGTGTAGGTCTTCTTGCAGGTGGTGGCGCATTCGTCGGCACGCTGCTCGATGGGCGTGGCGAGAGCGAAGGCGGCCAGCAGGGGGAGGATCAAGGTTGAGATGTGCATAATTTGGTATGAGTTGTGAGGGGAACCTCTGTTTGGGCGTGAGTTGGTGGCGACTTCCTTCGTCCTTCTTGGTAGCTTGTTGTGAATCCCGTCGAGAGAGTGATTGTATCGGGGTGCAAGATTGAGGTAAGGAACCGCCAATAGTGCTGCTGGTACCGGGAGGGATGGAAAGGTGCAAGTCGGGGAGAGACTTTCACGGCACCGTTGACGGGTAGGGTCGATTCACCCTCGGATGAGGTGAGGGCCACGCCCATATAGGCAGGCGGAGCTCCGGCTCAGAGGGAGGCATAAAGTTGGTGACTGACGCAGAGCTGGGGTTGTTTCAATTCCCCGGATGGTCTACCCCGCAAAATGCTAGGTTGTGTAGAGCCAATGAGGAGATGCCGATCGAGAGTAAGCTTCAGGGGGAAGATCAGACCGGGAGCCAAGATTAGACGAACGCGTACGCGATGTGTGGATGGAGGATGTATTTGGGATGGTTCGTCAGAAGCGAGGCTGTGGTGGCAGTGGAAGGTCCCAGATGAGCAGAAGAAAAGAGAAGTATAGCAGAGAGGGGAATAGGGTGGAGGAGGTCTCGATGCTTTCGTTGCTCGTATAGTTCTCTGGGCGCGTATTACTGGTACAGGTTCGTCGTATCTCAATAATGCACAAGTCGACTGCGGACCGTCTGGGATTCGATCACTTGGGTGCAGGATCGTTTCTCCATCATACAAACAGAGTGCTGATGGACAAGGCCGCGTCCGTGCATGGGAGACGTTCATTTGTGGCGCCATTTGGTGGTCAACACTGCCTTCCCTCTGAGCAGCAACCATCGATCTGTTGTTTCCCGGAGATCGAAGGCAAGGTCGCATTCCTCATCCAATACCCGCAGACGATCTTCTCCGGTGGTCCCGTCCGACATAGTTCACAAGCTAGTCTGCTGTTCATACTGGTAGCTCTGCGTTCCTTGTCTGGAAGGAGATCTTTCGTAGCGCCATTTGAATATACGGTCCAACAATCGGGATGTTGCCAGCGAACGACGCTATTGTGGCAAAGAAGTCGCCAAATAGGATGACAATGCCGTAAGTCTCAACACAAAACCCGACCAGCGGCCACCGCAGCAGAATCAGTAGTATACCCGCTGCGAAGGCAGCCGTGCCCTTGAGTTTCTGTTTCCTGGCGAAGAAAACAATTGTTTTTTGTACTCCAATAATCAAGGTAAGGCCGATGAGGAACAGGATCTATGCATGTTAGAACAGCCGCCGTATCCGCAGTTTCGGGTACTGGTACATTTCCCATGGCAAGCCTGAGAGTCATGTCAGCAACATCGACGTTGTTCCTGGCAGGGCAGGCTCACATCGACCGATCGAAGAACATCAGCACTCCTCCAAACAGGAAGAGACCCCCTGAAGTTGTTAGTGGCATATTCTTGGAGCAATGACAACCAACGTACCGCCGGAGCAGAAGGCAACGCCAATTTCTGTAGGCACGCATCAGCATACTCTTGAACGCTATGGACATCGCGGAGACTCCGCTCACTTTGCATATCCGTGAGCCACATGCTAGGCATCTTGACAGTATTGAGACCCGACGTTGGGTCTAGCGGGTAGGGATATTGGGATCGTTGAAGACGTCGAGAAGGGTCGCAAGCAGCACAGATCTTACGTAGTCAGCAAGACTTGGTGCAGAGTCGCCAGAGAAGCCACGTATTATGTTGTCGCGTGCGGGCGCAGCGCGTTGTATCCCAGGGCTCTGCGACGCATCTGCCATCTGTTCCCAAAAAGTCGACTTGGTCAAAGCGCCGTCGATCGCCGACCCCACTCGATTGCTGCAAGGCTGCGCAAGGCTGCGTATTCCGCCGTCGTCACTCCGCAGACTGACAGGCAGTGGTCGGAGACACGACGCACCCAGCTGCCAATGCTCGACTTGATCGGGGCTTGTCGAGGTATCGACAACTAACTCGAGCCACTGGCCCGTGGGAGAATTCTAGGCCCTTTGCCATCATTATGTCGTGGTTATGGAGGGTATGTGTCCAATCCTCGCATTAGAAAGTGCCACTAACCTGAGTGCAGAATGATGCCAGCTCACCGGCCTCATTCGAGAAGGCTCTTCAGAAATTGTCCTCACAGATCACAGCAGCGAACCTATCTGTGGACACTACACGCAGCCGAGCCAGGCGGGTCAAAGCGCTGTGGACACTTTGGACGACAATCACCTTCCTCCTCTATGCTCTTATAATAACACTCGTGCTCGGACCGCACAACTGGTCCTTACCGCACTATTCCGGGCTCGTCGGCGCGCCAGTGGCGATATATGGGGTGCGGAAGATACTCTCGATTTTCTTCGACTGGCGAATAAATCGCCAGCAGTCGCACCTAGAAGCCCTCCAGAAACAGCGAGAGTCCAAGATCGCAGACCTGAAGAAAGCTACAAAATACGACAGTACACAAGAGCTTCTTCAAAAATACGGCGGCGGCCCACCCAAAGAACAGACACCCTCCAAGAAGGGCGGCAAGGCCAAGGATGGCCCACAGCGCTCTCCGCAGCAACAGCAACCGCAACAGCATCAACGCACCGGCCTCCCACCGCCCCCTACAGCCAATATCCCAGGCCGCCACTTGCAGCAGAATCGACCGAACATTCAACCGCCCCCTACCGCCAACATTCCCAGCAATCGACCCCAGCCCAACTCTCCAGGCCTCACACAGTCCCCTGCAGCTTTCTCCCCCGACGCTCCGGGCTTTGCTCCCAACGCGTTTCCTCTTCCACCACCCACCGCCCCGCCCGCATACGTACAGCAGCAAGGCCCGCACTGGTACGACCGCATCCTCGACGTCATGCTCGGCGAGGACGAGACAGCCGCGAAGAACCGCCTGGCCCTCATCTGCAACAGTTGCAGATTGGTCAACGGGCAAGCGCCGCCGGGTGTGCGAACCCTGGAGGAGTCGGGCCGCTGGCGCTGCGGCGGGTGCGGGGCGTGGAATGGTGTTGACGAGAGGGGGAAGGCGAGGGAGGCGGTCGAGGACGTGAGGAGGGAGGTTATGGGTGCAGGCGACCCCGTGGCGGAGGCGGAGGAGAATGGCTGGGAAGAGATTGTGCGGGCTCAGGATGAGGGAGCCGACGTGGCTATGCAGGGCACAGAAGGCACGACGGGAAGAGAGGGTGGTGATGAAAGCAGGGTGGTCACTAAAAGGGTGACGCGCAGTATGGTTGCCGACGAAGATTCATAGCCTACGTCTGGCAGGTCCGAAACGTAAAACCTGATTGACGCTGCGCAAATATCAAGCTGCTGCCGCTATATCCAAGCACCAGCTCCATCTTCTGCATGCACACCAAAAGCCCTCCGCTTCTTCTGTTGCCCACGAAAAACCTCACCGCATCCTGGTCGCGTTCCACGCCTCAAACCCCTCCAACATCTCCTGCGTGATCCCCCTAACCGCGCCCTTCACGGCCTCCTCCACATCCAGAAACTTGTAATAATCCCTCTCGGAATCCAGCGCCAATTCCGCCGCCTGCTGGCAAATGCCCACGATCTCCGCGCCGGAAAACCCCGCGGTGCGCTCGGCAAAGTACCAGACGTCGTCGTCGACGCCGCGGGCCGTGCTGTGGTAGGCCCCACGGACAAACTGCGTCGAGAAGATTTCTTTGCGGGCCTCGAGGTCCGGAGGGGCGATGTAGACGACGTTGTCGAAGCGGCCGGGGCGGAGGAGGGCGGGGTCGACGGTCTCCGGGCGGTTGGTGGCGGCGACGACGAAGACGTTGCGCAGGTCTTCGAAGCCGTCCATTTCGTTGAGGAGGGTGGTGAGGACGTTGAGGTTTGAGGAGGATGAAGTCGCAGACGAGCCGGTGCTGCCGGAAGCGCGGGAGGCGATGGCGTCGATCTCGTCGAAGAAGATGATCGAGGGGGACGCGGCGCGCGCTTTTCGGAAGACCTCGCGCGTCGCCCGCTCGGATTCGCCCACGTACATGCTGATGAGCTCGGCGCCTTTGACGGCGAGGAAGTTGAGGCCGGCTTCGCGCGCGAGGGCCCGGACGAGGAGCGTCTTGGAGCAGCCGGGGGGGCCGTAGAGGAGGACGCCCTTTTTGGGCCGGAGGTTGAGTTTGGCCATGCGGTCGGCGAGTTGGAGGGGTCGGGTCACGGCGTTGGAGAGGAGTTGCTTGTTGGCGTGTTGGCCGCCGATGTCTGACCAGCGGGTGGACGGGGTTTCTAGGAAGATTTCTTGGAGCGCTGAGGGCCGAATCTGGGTGAGGGCCTGGGAGAGGTCGGTGGGTGTGACGGTCCAGGCGGGTGGGGGGGACCCTATGGGTACAGTCGTGGCGACTCCCGTGCCTGAAGTCTCACTGCCAGTTTGAGCTGTCGGTGGATCTGGCTCACTGCCGGTTTCTGCAACAGGACGTTCGGAGGCGAGCTCGAGTGTTCTCCGAAGAAGCGCATGCAAGTCTGCCCCAACATAGCCATGCGTTCGCTCTGCCATCTGTCCAAGGACTTCGTCATCTGGTGTAGTCTCCTCACCTCTCAGAGCTGTCACAATCTGCTTTCTCTGCAGGGCTGAAGGTATCGGTATTTCAAGCTCCATGGAGAACTTGCCCTCGGTTCGCAAATAAGAATCAACATCGTTCGGATGCCTAGTCTCGCCAATGATCATGCAAGGCTTGCCTTTGATGGCCGTGAACAGCCGATCAACCTCGCGAATGGCAGGCTTCGAGCCATTGTGCGCGGGTGGCAGGTCAAGCTGGTCTATGATGACCAGAGTACTTGAAGTCAGAGAACCAAGCTTCGTCCCAGGCTGCCAGCGAATGACAGACTTCCATCCTGCTTTCGACAACTCCTCGATGAACGAACTCTTGCCGACGCCTTTGGCCCCGTAGAGGAGAATACCCTGAACAGGCGCATACTTTGGCGAAATCCGCGGACGCAGCAGTCGATCGACAATCCTTTGAACCTCAGCAATCTGGGAGTCCAGCCCGCCCAATGCCGTGGGTTTAAATTCAACCCCATCCACCGATACTGTCGATCCAGCATCCGAGATAGAGAAGGTGGTCTGGTCAGTAACTCGGCCAATAGACATACCACCAGCGCCCGGATCAGCAACCTCAAACTCCTGCAGCTCCGGCCCTACCTTGAACGACAGCTTCTGCGTCTCCGCCAGGCACTCGTACGAAGACTTGACCGTCAGCTTAGCAAAGTACTCCCAGAACTTCCTCTGCTGCTCGTCCAGCGCCGCCGCACCGCCCTTTGAGCGCAGCAGCACCACACCGGCGTCCTGCAAGCTCTCCTGCGCCCTCTGGATAACGATCCTGTCACCGAGCTTCAACCCATGCAGCTCCTGCAAGAACTTGGACGTCTGCACGATATTGTCCTTCATGCCATTACCGGAGCTCTCCCAGGCGATGGCGTACCTTTGCCGCTGCTGCCGCCGCCCGCCGTCATCATCATCCTCCTCCTGCAACTGCACCTGTTGTTGCCCGTTGTCGACGACTTCGCGCGCGATGCTGCAGAGGTCGCCGGGCTTCAGTTTCAGCGACAGCAGGGATACCGCGGTTAGCTTGGCGCGGAAGGCTTCTTTCTCCGTGTTGGACGGCCGGACCAGAAACGTGTGGGACATGGCGACTGCATGTGGGCAATACTGGCGCACCGCTGCTAGGAGTCGACGGGGAGGGTTGCGGAGAGATATATATGTGAGCTGGTGCGCCGGAGTGTTTGATGATTCATGATCTGAGACACTCGCACACGCGAGTCAAAGGCTGAGCGTTTGCATTAGTCGAGGCGGCGGGCGGGCGGGCGGGCAGAGATTTTGCGAGGCAACTTTTAGCCCGTCCGTCTTGGCGCCTATGGTCGCTATGAGAGAATGGCACTCCTTGTGAGGCAGCCATACCTTTGTCTCTGCTATAAAACTATCTACGCTGTAATTTGTAGGACTGGAGGCCTATTTTATGCATGTGCCCGCCACAAAATCACTTTAAACACCGGGACCCGTTCTTATCTGTACCCCCGCCTGCAAGTTAGGCGGCAAGCGGTTTTGACCGGTCCAACCTTTTGCATTCCCTGTGCAACTGCTTCCGGCCCCTTAAAGATGCAGGAGGTATCGTTAGCTCCTGTACGTCCAGTTTAGACCAGCTCTTTCGAGCGCGCTAGTTCTGAGCCCCCTCGAGCACCGCATCTCCAAGCTCAGGCAGTAAAAGTCTTGGCGGATATCTATATCTATCTAGAGGTCTATGCGCTCACTCCATGAAGACATATACTCGTAGCATTGCAGGTTAAGCAGTAACTCTGTATCACCAGAGTTATATGTCGGAGCCGTACGCGAGATCGAGCATCCCGGCTGACGGTTATTGCCTCACCTGTCCAAAGTATCGGTAATCCTGCCCCCTTCAATACCGAAAACGAGAGAGGGAAGGACGTAGGAGTACGTGAAGCGCCAGAAATTCAATGGTCCTATGGCTCAGGTCAAATTTCAGACTTTGCAACTTTGCCCCGCGCCAGTCAGCTAGAGGGTGGCATGTCGAAGTACGAACAAGCCCAAGTGCACGCCAAAGGCACCTACACACGGGCGCTCGCAGTCTCGTCTTAGCGGCTTGTAGCGGTAGCTTATGGCTGGCACGGGAACCGAAGTCCATTTTGAGCGACAGAAAGGATACAGCTTGGCATATGGTGGGTGGGAGCCCTTTTGCTGCCTTGCTGCCTTGCTGCCTTGCATTAGTGTCCACTCCTCCATAACAATCAAAAATCTTACCATGGCTGTCTAACCTGTCCGCTTTCGACACGGATCCCCTTCACCAGGATCTCAACACGCACCCGTCGCCGAGCGCTTCTTCGCGCTTCTTCGCGCTTCTTTTCGTTTCGAAATGTCTCACCCATCGCTCACAAAGTACCGTTATGCGCGATTCGTAGCGAACCGTGTAAGCAGTCTTCAGTCTTCGCGTCGAGGTATTTGAAGCGCATGGCTCGATCTAGATGTTCTGAGAATCCTTCGTCGTCTTTCTCTGATGCTGAACGCACGTGGCTTTTCTTTTGTTGAAAGTCAGTAGTCTTTCTAGAACAGGTACTCGTAGCTGTGGATCTCGGGACGCTGCCAGAGCCGCATCCCCGAACGCATAACCAAGGACCTGCTGAGCACGTCATCCCGGTGAGGCTCCTCAGCAAGATATTGAGGTCTTCCCATCACATGATCAAGTGGATTGTTGCCGAATTCCGAGTCGAGGCGCATCGCATCTGGAACACACCTTCACACATTAGCGCAACGAACGCAACACTGCATGGAGATCTAGCGACCCCTCAGCCACTGACTGGCTGCAGGTTTCGAGGTCAGTCCACAAACAATTGCGATAATTGTGCGGTTGGTGCCTGACAGGAAAGCGGAGGCCGGGATGTTCAGCTTCATTGGCCTCGGTGAGCACGTTCTGACGATGTCCTCCCTCTGGTCTTCTGTTGCGACCATCGGTTCGCAGGCGGCGACCAGACACGACAATCCAGTCAGTCGTAGTTGCGAGCATGTATCACACACTCAACGCTCCTTGATAAACTTCGGCCTCACAACGCTCTGGTCGGATCGAGGAACGCAGTCGTATGGGACCAGAAGAACCAACAACGGTGGACTGAAGTCGACAGGATCCAATGGTACTGCAGCTCTCTCCCGAAATGTGGGTATGTGAAGGCCTCAAGATGTCCGGCGCTCCCATCGCGGCGCTGTGGCGGGCTCAACGTCGGCTTGTTCGATCGGGTGCCCTCCCATTCACTGTTCGAGTATCTTGTGCTGCTTTCCCTTCCCCTTTCTATTCCTTCTGCTTCATCTCCCGCTCCTCCCTTACACAAGTCAGACATCGATTGCTGTGCTTTTGGCATTCTTCTGGCCTTGAGCCTTCTTGTTCTTCGAAACAGCCAGCGAGCAGGCCAGCAGCACTTATCATCTCATTTTCACAGCCACAGAAGCGCTTACTTCACTTTCTCGTCTGTTTTGCCGGCGGGCCCATCTCACATTCACTTATTTTCTCCACCTTCTGGTCTTCCTCGCCCGGTATTCACTCACTCTACGAATTCACCTCCCATATTCATTCTCGCCATGGCTTCGGAACAATCTCGCTCTCGCTCTCGCCCTCGTTCTCCATCCATATCGAGAACTTCCCTCCGTCAACGGTCTTCGTCGCGGGCCTCCGTCTTGGTCGCCTCACCTACGTCCTCAAGATCCAACTCCATTGTCCGCTCGGATACATGGAGGGATCGACTCATGATGCACCTGAAACCCAACCAGCGGGCACACATGCATCAACGCCTCAATGACATCCCGTCCAGCGACCCGACAACGCTCACAGACGACTCAGGCGTGTTGCTTGAGCTGTGGCGTATGCGCGTCAATGGGGAGACTGTAACGCAGGATGGTGAATTTGCGACGGAGGAGAAACAGGAGGCGTACGATCGGGTCCACGGAAAAACACCGCAAGGACGCACATTCACGGTTGGGGGAGTGAATGGCGTAGCGGAGACTGGTGAAGCAGTGGGTGGAAGTATCCCCGGCGAAGGTGTGGAGGTGAATGGGAGCCTCCGCGGCGAAAGCTCTGGGCATGGACCACTTGCGGAGCGCTCCGCGCATCCGGGATCAAGTGCTTCAGCGCAGCCATTGAGTCGCGGGTCAACAGTAGCATTGGATGAGCTGCGCGGCGTTGGAGCTTGGGTCACTTCCGAACTAGAGCATGAGGCCGGAAAGCTAGAGATCGAAGATGTCGATGACGAAGCGGCAGAGGAAGGGGCAGGGCAGGAACATGTGTGAGAAGCAGAGGGTGAAGAAGGAGCAGCCGAAGGAGCGGGAATTGAGAACGAACACGACGACCGCGATGGCTGCGAAATATGGAGACCTGCTCCGGGGTGATCAGCTCTAGGTCGGGCGCTTGACACCACTTTTACTTTGGGCACTCAAGCAACGCCTCGCCTGGTAGGGATCAACGACCGTCGTGTTGATATGGGAGATGGAATTTTCAATAATTGTGCATCTTCAGGCGTTCATCTACTGGAAAATGTAGCGTGGAGTCGAGGCGTTCGTAGGGATTAATCAATGCGCGGTTGGCCCTTTGGAGACGATAGTAGGGTAGGATAGCGGTGAAGTTCGACATGGTTGCCTTGCAGGTACACTTGCCAAGGCGTCGGATCTTCTGTCGGAAAGTCCCTAACAATATCACAGGCTACCACTGGCGATCAATGCTGATTTGTGTACACGTTAGAGAGGGATCGAGCAGATCGGTGTATTCTTGTATCTATCTCGCCGCTACCGAAAAACAAACTCATGATGATACATAGCTTCACAGCTCATCCTTCTTCGGCTCGCCCTCGGTAGCATTGGTATCACCGTTGCTGGCCTTGTTGCCATCTCTCGTAGCATGGCACACAGCTGGAGTGCCGACCTCCATGCGATACACACACTTCTCACTCTCGCTGACCTTCCAGATCTCATCGTGCTGAGCACAAGCCAAGATCACCCTCGTGCTTCTGTTCGGCCCATTCCAGCAGTGCTGTCCGTTCTCGTACTTCATAACGATACGCTCACCCTTACCAAGACCTTTGCCGTCAGCCGACACATCTTCATCGACGTCTTCCACGTCGAAGCCAACGAAGTTGCCCATGGTGGTGTCAGCACCGCCTTTCTTTGGCTTCTGCTTCGTCTTTCCGAGGAAACACAATTCATAGTTGTATTCGCCCGATTCCTTCAGAACACAGACGTCTTTCAGGGCACGGAAGATGCCATCTGGACCGTAGTCTTGATTGAGATCGTCCTGGGATTTTGTGATTTCCTTCTCCGCATTACTCAGATCCTTCTGAGCAGTGTCAACCCCCTTCTTGGCCTCCTGTACTGCTTTGCTTTCACCAACGTCTTGGTTGTGTGCAGGCAGAATCCCATTCTCGACCAGCAAATGCCGGAAGCTGACGATCTTTTCGTCCACCCAACTCTGCAACCCGGGCGGCAAGTAGCTCGTAAAAGAGTACAGGGCCGCAACGTCGCTCTCAGCGCTGTCGTCGGCTTGAAATTCGGCCCAATTGATACCACTCGAGTCGGAGTCTTCGGCCATGATTGCCTCCAAATCACGATCCTCGGCTTCGGACCAGTGATCGTTGGTGTCTCTCGCAGCATATTCTTCCCATCCTTGCACAGCAGCCTTGACACCTGCGTCGTTGAAATTGGGGTTGTGATCCTCCTTCAATCTGGCCAGCATACCCTCGAGCTCAATCACCCTGGCGGACATACTGTCTCTGTGAGCCTTCGTCTTCTGCAAACTGCTCCGTAGCTCATTGACGCGCTCTTTTGCCAGATTTACCAAGATCCCCAGCTTGCCCGAGCCACCTGTCACGGCCCCTCGCACCACTCGCAGCTTTTCTCTGTGTTCCACATCGGCCAGATTCGTCTCCGCATCATTCAGCTTCACCTTCGAGGCCTCAACCTGCGCATGTGCCGCACTCAGAGCCACCTCTGCCTCTTTCCGCAGAACAGCAGCCTGGCCCTGGAGCTCCTTCTTGCGTTTCAAAGCCGCCGTCAACGCCTTCTGCCGTATGTCCTCTTGCTTTCTATACTCCTTCCCGATTTCACTACAGCGGCCGGGGCACTTGATGCCGCCCACGCCGCCAAACTCGTCGGAGCCGTCACAGCACACCTCGTAGTCACAGCGTCCATCGTTGACGCTTTCGAACCGCAGGTATGAGGGGACGTGCCCTTTGTTCTTGCAGTAGAACCCCGGTAGAGCGAGTGAACTGTTTATCGCAACCGACGCTGGGACACCGGGCCCAGGATGATACTGGGGTGGCGACAAGGGGGAAAGGTACGCGCAAGCGGATGTGCCGGGCTCGTCCGATCCGTCAGGGCAGTCGCAGTAGTCGTCATTCACCCGTGAGAAGGGAATGCTTATGCTGGGATTGGAAAGGCAGGTAAAGGTGGAGGATGAGGATGGCTTGAAGAACTTGGCAACTGCACCATCGTGAGCGATGATATCCATTATCAACAGTTGTTTTCGCTGCCGGCCGTGATGTGGCTCGATCGTGGCGGAGGGGTGGGCTTACATTCTGGCCCAACACCACGAGGTCTGGCCTCTGAGGACCGCGTTTCAGCTGCAAGCACGGGGCTTGAGAGCGCAGCTCCCAGCAGCAGGACATCCGGCCGTAGTATCATCTTTAACGACCTGGATTGCTAACCGTGTCCAGGGCCGTGGAACTGGTAAATCTACAAGTGGGTAACTGGGTCGACAGAGGACATGTGTATCAAAATGTTCGGGTAGGTTACCTCTTTGAGAACGGGGGGTAAGAGCCTTGTCAAGGGGGTGTCGCAGGGCTGCAGGATGCCTACGTGTGAGAAGCACTAACTACTTTGCAGAAGTTCATAAGAGAAGACAGCATAGATGTTCTACAAGAAGAGATCATGGATATCCCATCATATCATATATTGATACTGACTACCATGGGTTATCATCAAATCTGTTGTCATAAAGAAGAATCATAATTAAGCAAAATGTCAGCACAAAACGCAGGGTCGGTCCTCAAAATCTATGTACAACCGCAGGGTCGCACGTGTCAGTCCATCTCCGTATCCTCTCTTCCCTTTCATCCCCGCCCGTCAGATTTCCCGAGGGGCTATTTGATCCCTAGCATGCACCACGTTTAGATGCTGGTAGTGGAGGAGGCGGAGCTCTCAGTCGTCGAGACCGAGCTAGACTCGCTCGAGCTGGCAGAGGTAATGGTGCTCTCGGCCGAGCTGGAGCTGGTCTCGGCGGTGGTCTCGGACGCGCTGGAGCTGGTCTCAGCGGTGGTCTCGGACGCGCTGGAGCTGGTCTCGGCGGTGGTCTCGG